CCGTCGGATTGAATTTTTCCAGTGTAATCTGGACCGTCCAATCTATTAAAATAATAAATTAATAAAATATTAAAATAATAAAATATTAAAATATATTAAAATATTAAAATATTAAATATTTAAAATTTAAAACCGGTAGAAGACGCCACCGGTGGCGGCGTCTCCAGCCGGTGCCGCCGTTGGCGGTGGCGTCTCCGGCTGATGCCGCCGTTCCCGGTGGCGGCCAACCCCAATTTAATTACTACTCCCAAAACAGCCCCATTTTAAAAACTCCCCCCCAAAACAACCCCAAAAAAAAAATTGCCCCTTATTTTGTGTGTCAGTGATTTTTCGGGGTCCGAATTGCCTTCTTCTAACTTTGTTTATTTATTTTATTTAATTTAGGCCACTAAATTTTTTGGTTGGTTCAACTTGTCTAAGAAAATTCATTTAATCCTCATGTTTAATGACTACAGAGTTTATATTACTATGAAAATTCCATAAATGCAAAGCCAACTCGGTAATAGCTTTCAAAATCATCAAACGGTAAAACAAAATTAAATAGGGGAAAATATGGTGGTGAGAATTGTGAACTCATTTATTGTTGTGGGGGATTTGAGGTCATCTTAGTTGGTTTTGTGGAGGGGGTCATAAATAAATAAATAAAAATGAGAGGTAGATGAGTTTTGATTAAAATAAATAAATGTTATGGGATAATAATAATAATTATTATAAATAAATAAATAAAAGAGAAAAGTGAGTGGGAGGTTTGTGGGCTGGCAATGGCAATGGCAATGGCATAGCAAAGAAAAGGAATGAAGAGTGAAGAAGATAATGGGAGGGATGAGGAGTCCGAGAATCAAACTACTAATTTGTATCTATTATTAATATTCACATAAATTATAATAGACTAGTGCTACTATCTATTATTATTATTATTATTATTATTTATTAATTAATTAAAATAGTTTAGTTTAGTTTGCATACAAATCAATCATGTATGATGTACCCCACTTGCATATGAATATGAATTATGTATTATGAATTATGATTAACAACAAGAGAAGATAGGAGGAGCAATTATTTATTGACGAATAATAATAAATATTTTTTAAGTTTTATATATATATATTATGTTTCGGCCCGTTATTATGCTATCCAATCGTGTATATAAAAAAAGGCCCATATCAAATATATTTGTTCAGAAGTTGGAGACTCAAAAGCCCATTCAAATTTATTTGACCCGGACCACAATCCATTTTATTTCAAGTCAAATTTAAATATATTCTCAATTACTATATAACTTCACAATTTCTATAAATTAAAAAAAAAAGGTCTTAAACCCTATACTATTGAGCTTCAATTTGGAAGAGAAAAACTTAAATATTATAATATATATTGATAATGACACGTGCTCATGATGCATTTGTTCGTTTAGTGTCGAATTCTTATATCCCGCCATTTTAAAAAGTATTGCACACTGCCTTTAACTTCCGTTTAGTTGCCCAAATATGAACGAGCTTCCGAAAATTTAGGCGATCACATGATTGAGTAGTTTTGCTCCACACATGACTTTACACGTCTCCTTTATTAAATCCAACTAAAGAACGTCGTCACTCGCTTCAACATATTTATTATTGTCGTTATCTTTATTTCCAATTTTAGTCGTCATATTTATGATTGTCGTTCTTTATTAATTTGTTGCGCATCTGACGACTTCCTCCAGTTGTCCGATTATTAATGGGCTCTCGAAAATTGAGACGATCAACATGATTGATTAGATTTGCTCCATACATTACTTTCCACGTTAAATACTCGTATGGCACGTGTAATAACCTCGCTTATTATCAATATCGACAAAATAGGAAAAAATCTATTAACACGTACGTCATCTCCTTCATTAAACCTAAAATTTAAGAATGTAACTCACTTCAACATATTTATTATCGTTTTTTTCTTTATTTTTTAAGTTTAAGACGTTATGATTGTCGTTCTTTATTTCTTTGTTGCACATCTGCCGACCATCCTCCAGTTGTCCGAATACGAATGGGCTTTCGGCGAAATTCAAGTGACACGATTGGGTAGTTTTGCGTGCTCCATACATTATTTTCCACGTTAAATAATCGCTCTAAGAATTGTAAGTGTGATCCAGGGCACACGTAATAACCTAACTTATTAGCGATATCGACAAAATAGGGAAAATTCCATTTAGTACGTACGTACGACCAAATCTTAAGTCGTCATCTGCTTCAAATGTAACTCGCTTCAACATATATATCTCTAATTGTCGTTTTCTTTATTCTAATTTTAACTCGTCATATTTATGATTGTCGTTATTTATGCCTTTATTGCACATTATATTGGAATAAAGCAAACTTAATACCATTTATCAAGCTAATTAAGTTTTGGTAGTTAATTTTGAAGAATATTATTTATATGTACTTTTTATTTTATTTTGGATTAGTAATTTATTGATGATCAAGCAATATGAAAAGAAAAGAAAATAGTATTTTTAAAAAAAAAAAAAAAGATATATATAGGGAAACAAAAATGGAGGGAAAAATAAGATGAAAAGAAGGAAGAAAAGTAGGATTGGCTCATGAGTAGTTTGACATAATGTGGAAAATGTAGGTGAGAAGTTACATATATATATGAATATGAACATGTGATTAAAGTTATAATTTTATTGTCATCGAGAATCTTGTCTATAGGAATCCTCCTCGACTACTTCGTCATTATATTTCATCTCGCAAATAAATATATATATATATTAAAAACATGGAAATGTAGATATAAATATTATAATAAAAAAAAATGAAAGAAGGTGAAATGAATAGAAAGAAAGAGACAATAAAGGTGATGTAATATAAATATTGGAGGGGTGTGGAGGTGGCAAGCACACAGGTGACGGTTCTGCATGGAGTGATATATAGCGGTTTCATTTTTTCAAAACCGCTTTCCCTCTCTCTACTCTTCGTCTTCTTCTTCTTCTTCTTCTCTCTCTCTCTCTCTCTCTCTCTCTCTCTCTCTCTCTGCGTAAGCTAACTTAGAAAAATACAAACAACCCTCCAACTCCATTACTAACCACATTCATTTTTTCAACAAGAAATTAAATTATTAAATAAAATAATAGTAAAAGGGGCCGGGTCGGAAGAAAGGCCATTGCCATTGCCATTGCCATTGATTTCAGCTGCATGCCAGAAAAACCTCAGTGCTTTTTCAACACCTGGACATCCTTTTCTTCCACCACCTCATTTTTCCTTTTTTTTTACCATTCGTCATTCCAAATTAATTACTATTTTCTTTTTTTTCCTCGCTCCCTTCAATGCATGTGGATTCTTGTTAGGTTGCAGCTAACACCCACACACCCACCAATTAATTTCCTTGTCTTAACTAATTAACTCTCCTTAATCCTCACTCTCTCTCTCTCTCTCTATCTCCACTTTCTTTATATTCTTTTCTTAAGGATTAAAAATATATAAAAGGTAATTAAATAATTAGAAAAACTCTCACTCCCACAAAATAACAAGAGGCCAGCCAATTAACCTAAGAAAAAGAAAAGAAAAGAGAAGAAAAGATGAAAGGAGCGGCAGCATGAATGAAGATTGCACAAGTGTCACCTCTGATCACTCCATTGTTGCTAAATTTAGAACAATTAAAATCAATAAGCCCATCACTCCTTACCTCATTATATATCACCACCTCCTCCACTTACCTGTACCATCTCTCTCTCTCTTCCCCCAAGAATCTCTTCTCCACCATCTTTACTACACTGCACAGACTCTCCATTTCTGCGCTACTCATTAGCTTCAAAAAAAAAAAAACGAAGAAAAAACCCAGAAAAGAAATGGAGAGAAACGAGGCAATTAGTTACAGTAATGGTGAGGAAGTGAAAGTCGTTATGGGTAGCAGCAGCAACAGCAACAGCAACAGCATTGCAGAGGGCGTGAGAAGGAGGAGCAGCAGCCGCCTCCAGCAAAACAGAAACGTGGAAGAGCCGGCTGAGTTAGGGGTTCAACGGCCCGACTTTTTCTCCACTCCGGGCTTCGTTAATATTCATAGAGGCCCTAGAATGCCCAGGTCCAGGCGCGCTACCCCTCTCTCCCTCACTTTCCCCGCCTCGCACGTGCCACCCCCTCCTCCTCCTCCTCCTCCCGCCGCCGCCGCACGTGTAAATTCCCTCTTTCAATTTCTACATACTAGCTAATTATTCTTTTTCGTCTCTTTCCGGTCATTGTTTTTCTTTTCTTTTTTTCTCTTCTTCTTCTTCTCTTTTTTTTTTTATATAATAATATATATACTGCATTCGTGTGTGTGTGTGTGTTACTTGGTATTTTATTGAGACTATTTTTTGTTTTTTATTTTTTTGATTTTGTGAATGGGATGAAAGAGTTGAATTTAGATTCACTTCAATTTTCACTTGAATTAAAAAGTCTTGTATGTTTTTGGGTACGAAAGACACTAATTTTAAAAATTGAGTTAAAACACTGCTCACCGTTGGATCTAGAGGGCCGTCCCCCCTTTAGTTCCCTCGATCCAGCGGTCTGTGGATGCCTGATGCTACTACGTCCAAGATTTTTTTTATTTTCTCCTTTTTGGAAGCATCATTTAACTTTTATTTCCAATTTCCTATTTTTCTGATTTTTTTGTAATGGATTTGAAACTAGTTTTTCATTTCCCAAAAACAATTTTTTTTTTTTTTTTATTATAGAATAAAAAAGGTTTTATATTGGTGTTGGAAGTTGAAAATATATTAGATTTGAAAGAATTAGATATGATGAGTTAAATGAGAAGAGTGAAGAGCAAGTTGAATGTGGTAAGCGGTTGTGGAAATTGAAGATGATTAATTAATTATTGACAAATTTTTTGACGTGTCTAGGAAATTGATCTTTCAAAACTAAACTATCTTTTCAAGAAGCAGCTCAAGAACAGTGACGTAAGCGCCCTCAGAAGAATGGTTCTTCCTAAGGTTTGCATTATCTCACATTTGACGATTAATGTTTCATTTTATGGACTAATTAATTAATTTCAGAGAGATGCTGAGATTCATCTCCCTGTGCTTGAGTCGAAGGAAGGGGTTTATATCAGCATGCTTGATATGGATGGCCTTCATGATTGGTGGTTCAAGTACAGGTTTCCATTCTCAACTTATAACTAACACCTTTTTTTCTTCTTTTTTTTTGAAGTTCATATCTTTCGTTGTTTAAATTATATATCCATATCCGTATACTACAGATACTGGCCAAACAATAGCAGCAGGATGTATGTGCTTGAATCTACTGGTAAGTTTTATATGTTTCCAACAAACATGTATTTTCTCTCGAGCTAAAGTCACTTTGATAACCTTTCAGGGGAATTTGTCTACACTCATGGCCTGGAAACTGACGATTACATCCTCGTGTACCAGAATGTTGAAGACGGAAAATATGTAAGCAAACACTGCTAGCAACATTTGCATCTTTATTCATTCTATCTGAGTTTGATGAACGAGAGGAGTAACAACTCTAACTATATTAATATTATTGCCAATTTTGGGATGATGATGATGATCGATCAGGTGATTGAAGCAAGGAAGAAAGAAGAACAAGATGCACCAAGGATATTATTGAATGAGGTTGTCATTCGTGAACCCACTGCAACTGACATGGCACTCTCTCTTATTGATGAAGGCATGGAAGCTTTATACGAATACAATGCTACCTTCATGGATGACACTCCCCTTGACTATCTTGGAGGACCAATCACCTTACCAAGTCTTGGGATCAACTCCTCCACTTATGAAGCCATTGACAACTTCAACTACAATAATGCTCCAGACTTCTAATCAACTCATCATGGTTTCAGGGTGTCGAAATATGTAATTTTACTTTTGTTTTTGTTTTTGTTTCTGATATATATATATATTATATAGCTGAAAAATAAAGGGATGCACCAAGAATATGGCACTGGTCATAGTACTGCCCTTCCTTCATGTACTATGATGGATGATCTTTCGGGCCTAAAAGATACGCTAAGGCCTGCTTCTTTTGTACTTTATCTTAAACTCAGTATGTATTCTCAGTGTGTTGTGTAATGGACTGAGTTATCCTTTATATCACAACTATGTCTGAAACACACCTCCAATGCAATAATCACTTCATCAGAGAAATATGGGTTTAGCATGTAAGCCAGCCATCTACTAACTTTATTTCACTAGTGACTAGTAAAATGCTTGTTGCTTCCTCGATGACTTGTCCAAGACAAAATAGAGTATAAAGCACTAACGTCTAAACATAAACATTTGTTAAAGTGCAAGATGACAAAACCAAGCAAAACTTATATTCTCAATGAGCAGACGAAAACCCTACATAGATAGATGCCCATTATTTTAATTGCAATCCTAATGCAATGCCGATTCTAGGAATCCATAAAGATTCAAAGTACGTGGAGTATTCAAATCTCCACGGTCAAATTACTCGATCATAAAAATAGTTTCAGTTTTTTTTTTCTTTCAAAAAATATATATCTCCTTATGCTAATGTGCTAGAAGATGATCAATCAGCTTCTACATTTATTGCCGTTTCAGAGAAGGTACTGTCTCAAAGTTTGAACTCCAATAAAACTCTGCAATTTTACTCTAATCCTCTGCAAGTTCAGCAACGACTGGTGCAGGAGCAACGCCACCAGTTGTCGGCCTGTAATCAAAGATAGAGAAGTCAACAAGTTATGTCACACACACATAATAAATCCACAGGGAACACCACCAGTTTTTAGAAGTCTGAGGGATGGTAAAGTTTATAGGTCAAAAGAAACCAGTCCAAGAAAACTTACAGGCCAACAAAAACTTTGAACGCATCATAGATACCCCACTGAGCTCCTGTGAGGGTACCAATCATAACGATACGAAGAGGAAGACCCCGAGTAAACAGACCCCACAGCCCAAGCTTCTTTACGGCCTACAGCAATAAAAACAGGAACATCATAATAAGTTACCAGCACATATGTTGGGAAAACTTAAAAACAAATTATAAAGGTGATGAACTACAAGCACAACACTCACATCACCAACAGTAGCACCCTTGGCATTGTTCAGGAAAGAGACGAGGTTGTCAGCAGGATGTGACACAACAGCACAGAGAACACCAGCTACATATCCACCAGCAAAACTTACACCAAGCTGGAGGGGCTTGCTGCACTCACTTTTAGGTCTGGGAATCACATGCTTGTACATGAGCTCCACAATAGTCTCAAAAGATGCAAATTTCATCATTGTATCTGAAAGTTAAACCACCCGTAACAAAGTTAGTACTTTGTTGGTGATACAAATTCGCAGCATATATAATATTACAGAGACAAAGTACAAAAGGTAAGATTCTAAAATTATCATTTTCATTCATCTAAAAAATATATCAGCTAGTAATGCAAAATCAACAAGGATAAATTACACAAACAATCAGAGGCAGCAAAAAAAAAAAGTTAGAAACTGAAGGAATCAACTGCACAAGCTCTCAGAACTAGCAATCCAGATAGATGAGCAAGGAAATAAATAGCAGATGATCATGCATCATAAATAGGTCTACCTATTTTGTGTCATCTTTCCACAAAGCATCATAAAGTTCCATAAATGAAATCTCACAATATTTTCAGGAAGGCAATTGATACAACAATGTATATTCACAAGTAGAAAGGCAATTGATACTACTAACCTTGATCAAATTGTTTACCGTTATAGCAAGGTATTTTTGGAAATTAAATTATGAAGAAAGACTAGATCATGAGCAACAAAAATAAAAAGAGATATATGCATCCCAAAACTTACATGGAATCTGACGCCCCCAGAGAGGAACCAGTCCCTTGTATAACCTGTAACCATTTATAAATATGAGTTTCAAATAAATACATTTACAAGACATAACAAGGTCAAAACAATCATCTGACATACCCAAGAGCACCTTCAGATCTCAAAAACTTGGGAAACCCATCAGACAAGCCTCTAGCAAAACCAGGCTGAGTCTGAACACGAACCTTAACAGCTTCAAGGGGGCAAAGAGCAAGGTCTGCAATCACCTCAGCAGATGCAGAACCAGCAAGATAGATCACAGTCTTGTACTTAGCTGCATTTTCTGGTCCAGCGAGGTCAGAATAGTACTTCTTGAAGAATTCATAAAATCCAAATTTGCAGGCACCCTGAGCACTGTAACCAAGCAAGGTAGGTACCCAACCCCTGAAGAAACCTTTGACTCCCTGCTCCTTGAGCAACACCCCAAAACCTGATGAAATGCTCTTGTATTTTGCAGGATCGATCTGGTTGATGTAGACATTAGACAAAACTATTAACCAGATGCCAATAACTAACCAGCAACGTCAGGAAAGCATAGAGATATTTGAACTTTGAAGCTTTTTATTTAGAAGATACATATTATCCCCTCCCTAACTCCCAATCTCTTCCAAACTCCTTTAAACTTTTAAATTTTTATGTCATGCGTACATATTTTTGCATAGGATCGGTCTAAATTAGTTATTGAGTTATGATTTCAAAAGTATGTATTCCATTTAATTAATCTAAAAACCAGATGAAGAAAACACACGATTAAACATAGTGCCAGCAACCAAGACAAAGCACATTGTAGTTCATGAAGAAATGCAGAAGTCATTCACATTAATAAAATAAAAGTGTTACGTGGTAATTTGAGCGAGAAAACATAGTTTGAGAATTAAGAAGAAGTCGAGAGATGTGAATTAAGAGAATTAGAATTAGAGAAGATAGAATAAGAATCGAGGAGATAAAAGACAAGAGAATATTGATTACAATAAATTTTCTCTCCCGTAACATTCTAATTACCCTATTTATAATACTCATCATAAATAATAATTAAACTTCCACCCCCCTAACCCCTTAATCACACTAACCTCGATTATCCTATAAACTTAACAATCAATAGCATCCGTAACATAACGAACAGAAGGATAAAACGAATCACGGATCTAATCAAGAGACGAGTAAAACCAAGGACGACTCAAGCCTTCAATAACAACAGAAAGTCAAATAAGAATGTTACAGACGAAAATAAATTTAGAGAAAAAAATAAATAAAACAGGAGGGACAGCTGAAGAAAAGTAAGTGTCAAAAATGGAAAAAACATAGATCTGGACCTGCATATTACATTTGACGAGATCAAGAGGAGTGACAGCCATGTGAGTAAGACCGCAGCTTAGTATTCCGCCAAAAGTACAGGCGGCGTAGTACTGAGGAGAAAATAACTCGATTTTTCCAGGCTCGCTTGGAGATGGAATAACAAAGTTGGTCGAGGATGGTGGAATAAAGGTAGGATCGGACATTTGATGGAGAGGTAGGGTTTTGGAGGTGAAAGAGGTGGAGTAGAGGAAGGGTGGTATGAGAGACTGGCGATCGGAGGAGAGAGCCATGAGGGGAGGCGAGGCGGCCGGGGGCGAAATGAAATGGAAATTTTATTTGTTATTGGTGAAACTCAAACATCCTCCTCCTTATTTATACGGTGCTCTACCTAGTTTGAATGAAATATTAGTCATATGTTGCACTCGTGTAATTAGACTCTTTTTAAATAAAAAAAATAAAAATCATGACTAGTTTCATAATTAGGTTGTACTACGTATTTTATTAAATCAATAGTTTTTGCCTTTTTGGTGGTCAAAAATTAATTTATTGAAGAATTGTGTGTATTTTAACACCCCAAGTAGAATTAATTAACTCTATATATTAACAATCAAAAGAGGCACAAGCATATACTTAATGAACAAATGCTTCACTATTCTGCTTTTAAATTGTAGACAATTAAAAGCTAATATTTCAATTCACACACCTCTGCATGCGTTTGGATTAACATAAATGAGAAGAAACCGGCAAGTAAATAAATGGCAAAACTGGATTTCATATGTATGACAATTGACAACAATAAATCTTAATGCTACAATTACAAACAAAAAAATAATCACTCTCATGACTGTTGCTTTTGTCCGTTGGAACTGGAAACCATCAATCATGGAAGTAAATCAATATAATATAAACGAAAATATATCGTGGACGTGTAACTGTTAAATTATCGGACATTGAGACAACCAAATAATATGTGGTCTGGTCAGAGAAGCCTAAGATGGGAAGTATCGTTGACTCTCTTAATTTGCCAGCCAACTCTCCAAGAGTGCTGTAAAACGGTAACTGAAGAATCTTCTATGCATATCTTGTGTGACATAACTGGACTGCAACCAAGTAGGCCCGTGAGAAGACATTTGATTGGTGTGGAGTGACTGAAAACACCAACGCAAGAAGAAGACACAACAAGAGAAGGGGCGGTTGTGTTGTTGGTCCTGACATTAATATCACGAGATTGGTTATTGGGTTCTCGAGGGGACATTTCATCATCCGCCTCATGATCTCCAGTGCGTGTCACAATTTGGAGCCTGCTCTTACCAGATTTCTTCCTTGGAATCCCCCCTTGTCTGTGCCTTTGCAGCAAATCCCAGTGGTGTGGTGCCAGAGATGAAGCCCCCCCTTCTCTATCTCTATCTCTCTCGCTGCGGTTGGTAAAACCTGGGTTGTTGTCACTCAGATCTGGTGGGGAGAAATCCGACCTAAATTTGTCGTGAAACGTCATGACTGTACCGTTTAGGAACTGCGCCATTCGGAATTCTACCTGCCTCAATGATTCCCCAGATGGCGCCGAAAAATCAGGCTGGAATTTCTCCATTAAACTCAGTGTTTCCGGTGTTAAGATTTCTGATCTGTGGCATCCTTCCCAGTGCCCTTGGCTCATCTCCACAAGGGCATCTGATGATTGTATATGTTCCTCTGAGAAATTTAACTCCTACAGAGTTCGATTCAAGGATAATCTAATTAGTTAAACAACAGTTGCATGTAATGTCTCCTTTAAATAGTTAGAATCTCAATATTTTGTATGCAATTGATAAATGATCATTATCAGAAAGCAACCCAACAAAACTAGTACTTAGATACAATTTGATTAGAGACGATGGTGCTTCGTTATCCAGCTAATGAAGAACATATTTGACTGTCGACCGAGTCACTTAATTCTACACAAGGACATATTATATTGAGTTAATCCCAAGAAACGTTAACCCCTGACCCCATAAATACATGAACTTATATGAAAATACCAAGTGCATCTTTTTAGAGCCAAAAGTTTCATACTATTACTATTTTTTATTCCCTGAGGGAGTAAGTACTGAAAACTATATCTTAGCTATGCCTAGCGAATTCCTGAAGCACCACATACCAGAAGGTACATGGTTTTTGACAAGAGATTATTGCACTGGCAGTTTCATAAAATTAACTAAGTTACATCTTTGATCAAGTAATCAGGATTTGGAGTTATAATTTACAATCCTTACTATAAATATCAATCCACCTTCAAGATAAAAATTTTGAGCACGATCACTAATATTCCACATAGAACATTCATATGCAAACTGACGTAAATTGGCAGGCCAACAGATCATCCAGCGCATTTACCATTAGAACTTCAAGTAAAAAGACAAACTGATCCTTAAGGGATACTGTAGGAAATTTAAATGGCCTCATAGTCATACATGGAATGCCGTGGAATGGCAAGTAGGTGTGATGACAAGTGCTTATCAAGTAGGAGAGATGAAACTCTCAGTCCACGGTTTAAAAGAAAAAAGAAAAAAAAAAAAACTTGCAGTCCACGGCAGTAGAAGAGTATACATTTTCGAAGCACTTCAAGCTCAAATTAGGAGGTTCCATAAATAAGTGGTATGTAAGAGAACTCTCCAACATTTATATGGGAATTAAAGAAAATATATTGTCCCTAATTAAGTTGAACATTAGCATCTTCAATTTAATATAATGATTCTTATTTTGGTAGAACGAGATCGCACTAATTTAGTAATGCAAAAGAATGATTCCTACATCTCTTCCCTATTTAAGGGATTACCATGGTAATAATCTGAAATCTCTTTTAGTGACTTTATTTCATCAATTCGCTTTCACATGGCCTAGAAATGCATTTCTTGTTGGAAAAAAAAGAAAAGGAAAGTAATTAAATTTCACTTAGCTGCTCAACCAGTTCACCAACATTATGCAGAATATAAGAGGAAAACCATTGAACAGAAGTGGTACAAATAGGGAGTGTGTGGCCAATCATATGAATTACAATTAAAGACCATTGCATCTCAGCCAAACTCGGATTATCTGGCATAAAATACACATTTGTTTTGTGGACGATGCTAGAGAGTACCATGGAGCTCTACTTTTGCCAACAAATGACAAAGATTTCAAATATCACTCAATGACAGGACTTAGCAAAAGTTTCAATTGGCAAATCAGATGGTACTTGTTCTCCAATTTTTCTGTTTTCTTTCTTGTCATGGTTCAGGTCCTAGGTAAGAGGCATTGCATGCCCAATCTCAGTGGCTCAATCAAATTAATTAATGGTAAGCACGGCAAAAAGTTGAAGATGTAGAAATTGTCTAAAAAATCATCATTTTGGTTCAGCTTATAAGAATTAAGTATGTTACAAATGAAAAGGGCAAACTAACTAATGTTTAATAAAAATATCCAAACAGCAACAAAATTGGATGAGAAGCAAGCAAGCAAGGAAGAAGATGAGCATACCTGGCAAACAGATATGGCGGTGGAGCGGACTCGATCCAAAGGCGAGGTATAAACTACATTGAATCTGACCCCTTGAGACTTCAAAAACACGGCGAGTGCTCGAGCCTGGCGTTTGCCACTCGGGGTGAGGGCAGCATCGGGGCAGCGACCGGAGATCAAATCGGGCCTCAGATTCATGTGGCACTCGCCGTGGCTAATCAAGTAAACCTCGGTGATAGCACGATCGTCGTCGGAGGGGGAAACAGAGAAGGTGCGGTGGAAGGGAGGGAGGGGTGGAGGAGGTGCGAGGACATTGTATGGGTCCCAAACCTTGATGGAAGGAGCTATGCGTGGGGTACCGTAGGTGGAAAGCTGCGGGGAGAGAGGGGAGGCGGAGGCGTGACAGGGCAGCATTTCAGGCTCCTGTTGGAGAATTTTCTTGACGAGGGCGTGATGATCTCTTGTGCTGTTTGGAATGTTGTGTTGAACGTCGTCGTTATCGTCATCATCTTCTTCTTCTTGGTCTTCTTCGTCATCTGAGGGCAATTGAGCGGACTGCGAAGAGCCCATGTGATGAGATCTATGTGTGTTTGTAGGTAATGAAATTGGTTGATTGAAATCGAGAATTAGATTACTCTAGTCTGTACAGATTGGGAAATGAAAAAACATAAAAATAGATCTGGGGGGCGAGCAGAGGCAGAGAGAAGAAGAAGAAGAAGAAGAAGAAGAGAGAGAGGAACCCCGTCGTCGATGGAGTGTAGACCCAAGCCAAGCCAAGCCAAGCCAAGCCAGGAGGACAAGTAGATTCGCATTAAAAAGCCCCCATTTGCCCTGACATGCGCATCTATCTAATCTATTTTAGACCCTCTCCGGTTACAGGTCATCCAGTTCTCTACAGTTTCATGTACAATCGCACTTGACTATTAAAACAAAATGTATTTTTTACATTATTCCAACTGTATGTTAAAACGAAAGTAATAAACATTAATTAATGATTAATAATAATAGACTAAAAGCCGTTTGTTTCAACATACATGGATTGAATTACAGAAATCAATAACATGGATGGATTCATTTCAACAACAAGATACTTATTAAATATATATATCAAGATTATTAAAAAGGGAATAATTGAATTCTGAAATCAATAATATTAGTAATAGAGAAAACATGCATGCATGTGATCAGCTGACAGTAGGTAGGCAGTAATGATGGAAATTGAGAGTGAAGCCCAATTTGTGGCATGGCATCTAAGGTTGGTTGGTTAAATATATGTATGAGGCCAAGGTGGAGGAGAATATGATTTGTTTTTGGGTTGGGATATATGAAGCCCGGCCCAATACATATTTTATTCGGCAAATCCAGGAATTAATTAATGTCCTCTTCTCTTGTCACCCAACAATTATTATGCAAGTACCCATTAATTAATCATCATCAATACTAGCTACTAGCTAGTACTCCCTTTTGTGAGTTAATAATAATAATAATAATTAATTAGTTAGTCCACCAAAGTAGGTGGTTACGTTCGTTCTACTACGTGCATATATACAATAATTAAATTACTATAAATTATATATGTACAAATATATATATACAGTGGCACATACGTGGGGGTGCTGGCCTGCGGTCCGATCGATGGACAAAAGCCACCCCGGGACATATATATATGGGCAGCAGTGTGGATGGATGGATGGATGACTAGTGTATATATGATGATGATGATGAGTTGCATGCATGGTGACCACGTGTCCTCTATATCTTCAATATTACTTATTGTATTTACGTGGTGGTGGCCTGTATGTAGGAATGGATTCACGTGAACTCAAATCAAATCAAAACAAAACCCATATTAATGATATTATCATGATCGATTTTCAGAATTTAATTATATTATTAAATATGATTTATTAATTAATTATTCAGTTTATAAATTAATTAATTAATTTAATTGAGGCTTCCGTTACTTGTATATAGACGACGTACAACAGTAGTGAACTAACTAATTATAGAGTGGATTTATAAGTTGTGTAGTTGAAGTTGCTGAATTAGAGTAAAGTACTAATTAATGTAAGCAAGTCCAAGTCCAAGTCCAAGTGTAGGTTGGTTCAAGGTTAGGTGGCGGTGAATAGAAAGGAGTCACGAGCAACTTGTTTTGTTCTCTCTCTCTCTCTCTCTCTCTACATATTTATATATATTAATAATAATAATAATACATTAGTACCGCCACTCATTGATTATTCATCATTCATATATTATTGAACCAGTACGTAGAATAGTTAAATATTTAGTTTCAAATAAATAGGAGTGGACTAGGACTAGGACTAGGACTAGGAGTAAGGATTAGGAGTATTCAAATTTGGGACTGACTTCAACTCTCTCACAAGTCATAACACTAGTAGTAAACAAGTCACTTTCTTTTTTCTTTTTTTTCATTAAACTCATTTTCTTTTTTCTGTTGAGAAATCAGATTAGTACGTAGGCTGAACACTCTATTCTTTTAGTTATTTTTAGATTAAAATATTGTTTTTGAATTATTGGATATAAAAAAGTAAAAACAGTAGATATATAATATAGTTGGGTTGGGCTTCTTCTTGTATATTCATTCATTTTTAGTTTGGATGATGATGGATGGTTGGGCTTCTCTTCTTCTCCTTTTAATTTCTTTCTAATAATAATAATAATAATAATAATAATAATAATAATAAAGACAAAAAACACAGAGCAGAGCAGAGAGCGGTGGTACCACACCACCATGGAGAAGAACCACAACTTCTTCTTCTTCTTCTTCTTTCAAAAGAAGACGACGAAGAAGATAAGTATTGTTGCCTCACACATACTCCATTCAATTTTACAGATCCGCCATTTCTAATCCTTTTTTTTTTTTTTTTTTTTTTTTTTTTTTAATTATTATTCAAACTCCCACTCCCCATCTCTCTCTCAAATTCGCAGAGAAGAAAGAATATTATGCTACCACCCAGGTCGGTTTGGATGGACGGAGAAGAAGAAGAAGAAGAAGAAGCAGCACCCATGATGATTTCTTCTTCATGGAACAACAACAACAACAACGAGATGGACGACGCGGAAATGAACATGAACATGAACGCCTCTCTTTCATCCTTCAAGTCAATGCTCGACAACAACCCAGTTGATTCTTCTTCTTCTTCTGCTGCTGCTGCTGCTGCTGCTTTCATTAACAACAATGGGAATGCCAGTGCTTCTCCTTTTTATAACATTAATAATGATTTCTCCACAAACCACCTTTACTTCAATCCTCCATTGGACTTGGACTCCTCCTCCTCACTCTCAAACCCCCCTTTCATTCTCGACAACCACAACCAGATGCCCCCCAACAACAAATCTCTTGTAATCCCTAGTCTATTTAACAACATTTTCGACAACCCCTTCGATTTCTCCTCCTGCGACCCCCCTTCTTTCTTCCCTTCCCTTGACCCTCCTCCTCCTCCTCCTCCTCTTTTCATGGGTCCTGCTGCTGCTTTCGATGCCTCCCTTACTTCCCTATTTCACCCCACTCCCGACTTCTTCCCTCTTCCTCACGACACCACCTCCGCCGCCCCCTTTTTCGAGGGTTTTGATTTAACTAACAGGTCTAAATTGTTGAGGCCCCTTCAAGTTTCCCCGCCCCTTGGAGCACCACCCACTCTCTTTCAGAAGAGAGCTGCCCTGCGCCACACCTCCAAAAGCGATCAAGGACTCACGAGTTTGGATGACACTGTAGGGATGGAGGAGTTGGAGTGGGGAAAGAAGAGGAAGAGGAATTACGAGGACGACGACGAGGACGAAATGGACGATGAAATGGCTGCTGCTGCTGATATCTCAACTATCAACTATGATTCCGACGAGCCTACTGATAATAAATTAGGGGGGGATGACAATGCCAACAGCAGCATTACAGTTGGGGCTGGTCTGAAAGGAAAGAAGAAGGGGGGGATGCCAGCCAAAAATTTAATGGCAGAGAGGCGTAGAAGAAAGAAGCTCAATGACAGACTCTACATGCTTAGATCTGTTGTCCCCAAGATCAGCAAGGTACTTGCTTACTCTTCCTTGTTAAACTTCACATTAGGAAATGTTATCGTTGCAGAATTCATACTGCATTATTGTTCAACTTGATGAGCTAATCAAATACTTGGCATATTATTATAATATGTTCTCTCTCTAAGAATTAATAATGGGGTTAATTAGTTGTATGAGAAGCAACATTTCAATCTCCAATGCTGATTTACTCTTGTGTTTTTTTCAGATGGATAGAGCTTCAATACTTGGGGATGCGATTGATTATTTAAAAGAGCTATTGCAAAGGATAAATGATCTACACAATGAACTTGAAGGTACCACCCCGTCGTCGTCGTCATTGGGATCTATGATGCAGCATCAAAGTACAGCAAGCTTCCATCCATTGACACCAACTCCTCCTACTCTACCTTATCGCATTGTCAAGGAAGAACTTTGCGCTAGCTCAACTCCCAGCCCCAAGAACCAGCCTGCAAAGGTACAACAAGACTAGTCTTTCCAATGTCTTCCAATTATTTTCATGTCAATATTTTGATGTCCTTGAGTGTGTAGGTTGAAGTAAGGTTGAGAGAAGGTCGGGGTGTGAATATACACATGTTCTGTGCGCGCAGACCAGGTCTCTTGCTCTCCACTATGAGGGCTCTGGACAACCTTGGACTCGACATTCAGCAAGCTGTCATTAGCTGTTTCAATGGCTTTGCTCTCGATGTCTTCCGTGCTGAGGTATATTATTATTATTATCATATTACTTATTAATTAAGATTCAAATAAAAGCATTATTAGCATTAGCATTAGTAATGTGGTAAGTGTTATTTACAAAAGTATTTATATCAGCAATGCAGAGAAGGTCAGGATGTTTCGCCCGAGCAGATCAAAGCAGTGCTTCTGGATTCTGCCGAGTTTCATGGTGTTATGTAGAATCCACTCTTGTTCAAACAATCTACCTCTACCTCCACCTACTCTTCTGGATGATTTTGGGACCTTATTAATATATATATATGCCAATCTCGTGTTGTTGTTTTTGTTGCTGTTGATTAATATTTGTGAATTTAGTTTGTTAGTATTATAGCATGTTGATGAACCAACTACAAAAGTCAGATTGATGTAGTATGTTCAACTGTTGTATGTAGCACAATTATTGGAATATGAGCCAGTCTTCTAAATCCTTAAGGTTGTGTTGTGATTTTGATTTTGAATCCAATTGGTTACAGACAGCAAGCAATTAGGACAAGAAGGAAGTCTCATTGCATTACATAAACATATACATGTACATGTACATATATCCAACATCATCATATTATTTGGGGTATGGCGGCTCACAGAAGTCTCCTCCCAGAACCTCGCAAGCCTCTCCCAGAAGCACCCTGCACCACGTTATAACAACAATTACTATATATTAACAAAAGCAAAAAGGTATATACGTATATATCGAGAGCGAGAGAGAGAGAGAGAAATCATACGTCCTGGAATCTTGCGTGTAATCCAAATACTCCCTATCAATAGGCTCAGATGCTGTCTTTTTTGGGATGTTGGGCTGAGCTGGTTCGAGCTTCACTTCTGGACCTATGTCCGCAAGACATGCCTCTCCACCAACTGTTTCACATGCTTCTGCTGGAAATACACTGCATTGTACAAACAGTGTGTGTGTGTGTGTGTGCATGTGTGTGTGTGAGAGAGAAAGAGAAAGAGCGAGAATCTTCATTCAAAGCAAAGCATGGATGAATATGAATGGGAGGCGCTTACGAGATTGGGGAGCTGTAGTTGACAGACTGCGCATTTGATCTGATTGAATCAAACCTGCAAGTCTTGGAGATGGAGGCAGGCAATAACTGCAACTTTGGTGGTGGGTTCTTGTTATTCATGATGATGGACAATAATGATGATGATGATAAGGCAGTCTGCATTTTCTCTGGTCTCTTCTTTTGTTTTATGTTTAGTTAATTCTTTCTCTCTTTCTTTGTTTGGTGCTCTAATAATCATGGGAATCAACGATATTCCTTTTTTTATAGAGCTCCAAAACCTCATTTTTGGTTTTATGAGTGGTAAAGATATTTAGTATTTGGATAAGAGGAACCCCACCCACCCTCTTCAACAAGTCTTTTTCCTTGTACACAAATAATATCATCATTATCTTCTCCTCCTTTTCCAACTCGGTCATTTCAATCATACTTTGCTATCTCTTTATTGCATTATCATTAACAATAATTAAGCTTTATCTAGTTCGACATCAACACGAGTTTAAAAAAAAAGAGAGGGAGATGGCGTTGACATTCACTGCTATTGAACATCTACACAATCCAAATCTGAATTTCTCAGTACATACATACATACTAACATACATATGCTTAAACATAAGCTGATTTACAAAAAGAAGCAGGCAGGCAGCCTTTGATAAGTCAGCATGAAAATTCAAGAGACAAAGAAAGCATTCATTGCCTGGCCACTGTTGATCACGCATGTCCTCAGCATAACCAACCATTTGTCTGAACGAACGCTCTCAGTTAGTCAAAAAAGGAGAGAGAGAGAGAGAGAGAGAGAGAGAGAGAGAGAGAGAGAGAGAGATGCTACTACGGCAACCATCACACTTGGGATTTGAGGGAATGCCTCACACAGACTAGATCGTCTAATTTATTGCCATCCATTTTATATAAAGACACCCCCTCCATCTGACTGAATTGATCTCTTGCTGTTTCACTTAGTTTCTCAAAAGGCATCACCTCCCATTTGCTGTAACTTGATTTCTTTCTCACATCACTCATATCTGGCGATCCTGATACAGGCCCACTCCCATAAGGACCAGATTGCCCCCACACTTTACAGTTCCGGAATTGTCCCAAATCACTGTCTTCACCAGCTTCATTCTTTTTCAACCGTACAACAGCAGAATGAGCTCTGCTTATTGTTTCTCGACTCGGTATATCTGACCAATCTTGCTTCCTTTCAGCTCTCATTGGAGAATGGATCCTAATTACCTGTTATATGTTTATTTTCCACAATAAGCACATACATTTGCTATTGCTACTTATACAACACCCAACCAGCACCAATAACAAAAAGAAAAAGAAAAAAAGGATAACTTATACTAACACCAAGGCATTCTAGAAGCTGGTAGTATGCTCTTCCTTGAAGTGGATTGTGTCCTTTTCTTGGTGTTGAAAAGTACCGAGTCCTGAATTAATGCAAAAATTCAAGATTCAAGAAGCAAAATCCCCAAGTAATAATAAGATACCAAAATTAAGAGGAAAAGATGAACTAACCACTCCGTATATCCAGGATCAACAGTGAAACCATAGATGTCAACAATGTCACACATGGAAAGTGCCAGTTCAATTGATTTCATTCCAGTTCCCTTGGCACCTCTACGAAGCACAATACCTTGGAACAGATAAACGGGATTTGGGATCCTCTGCATTGTTTCATTAAGAACTTATGAGAAATGTCATTCAAGGGGATATATAATGAACCCATTGGTTTAAAAACCTTATCACCACCTTTATAAATCATGTATACAATTTAAACGAATCAAAGAACATAATGAATGATCCACCGTACACTATTTATACGTTTCATAATCATCCAACAAGACCTACCTTTATCATTGTGTTGAAATCTCTATGGGTGAGACTTTTGATAATAAGCACTTCATCATCTGCAACAAAATAGCTAAAGAATCAAGATTACGATTCTCTATTCCTCCTTAAAGGATCTCTACGAGGAATTAAGGAATTGGAATGCCAAGGCTCAACCCAGCTAAGTCTGTTTCATACTCTCATATTTCTTGCCCTAATGTCATGTCTGCTTGCCTTGCAGTACCAAGAAAAATATCCAGAATAGGATGACAAGAGGATAACGAGAAAGACAACTGAAAAAAAACATATAAATGACGGTGCAGCGACTCAGCATTTGAAACAAGTTAAAATAATGTACTTCACCTGACCCATTGAGAATTGGAATCATGTTACGTGCAGCACCCCTAACTACGAGGCGAAAATCCCTCTTTAGTCCAACATACTTGGCATATTTCTGTATAGCATGAACAGAAACAACATTCCAATAAAATTATTAAAATCAACATCCTGAAAGCCAGGTTTTAAGAATAATACATCTCTAGTTAAGTTGCAAAAGTTACTATTACATATTAAAGGCGGTATGGTAGTTTATGAGCAAAAAATGATATAGTCCACACCAACGTGCAAAAAAATCATTCATGCACCAAAATTTATCTAATCCAAACCAAAGATTACAGATAAAATCTACAACATCCGAATTACCATGTAGAATAAAATTATAACAACTAATTATTAACATTTCAATTCTCACTCGAGGCATAGGCACAGACGCAATAAATCAACCCAAAACAGAAACATGGACTTATAAGAAGAGATCTATGAAGAAAGAACAAGTGAGGACAAAACTATTTACCTCATTAACAGGGGCCTCATTGTCTCTTATGACAGCATCATGACCGTCAATTTCCTCACCGAATTCTGTCTTTAAGAGGTCTCCCGAATTTCCAACAACAGCACAAGTTTGAAACTGGCGAGGATGGAAAGGTGGCTTTGCTGGTAAAAGCACATTAAGATGTTCTTCACAAAGGGTCCTATTGTAGCATTTGTCTGCTCCTCTACAATAATGAATAAATGGGGAAAATTGTAAATTTACAAGTAAGATAAAGTTTTCCATCTCCATTAGTTTAGAAAAAAAAAAATGAGATGACAGCAAATAATCACAGTAAAAAGAAAGCTGTCAACATACAACTGTGCTATTCTTTTTGGAGCATAATCTAGCCACCCATCAGGCCGTGCATCCAGATACTCTCTTGTCAAAACTGTAGTCATATTACGATACTGCATTTCAGATAATTTATGCTTATTTATGGCAAAGGGAAGCAGAGTAGTTGAAAAAAAAATCATGAACAATGATAGAACCTGTTCCCACAATAATATGGCTTCACAAACATCATACTTGTATTCCAGGGGCTCAAAGATTTTAAACTGCTCATTAAACTGCAAGAGATAGATAGAGCTATAAATGGTTTGTAGGTTACAAAGGCCCTTCAAAAGTACGAGTGCCCTAAAAAAAAGGAGCAACATAACAAGAGACAAACCCAGGTGCTATTAGTGCCTTGAGGAAACTTGAGAATCAAATTACAGTGATCGATTATCTGAGCAGTGAGTCCAAGACCTCTGTTTGCCTACAAGAATCATCCAAAGCTAGTGATTAAACAATCTTTCTAAACCATAATAAAGGGAACTGGGGGCAATAATTAAAATTTGAATAAAATTACAATAAAGTACTGCTACTGCTAAAAAAAAAACAGAATATAAAGACTGAAAATTGAGAGAAACTGAGTAATAATTGAATGGAAATCCGGAGAAGTGACCAAAACCCGGCTAAAGACAAACATAATAAGTAAATCCGGTATGCCAAATTAATAAAAACAGACTATCTTAAAAAGTAACTTGTAGAGCAGATCAATATATGATGTGTGTTTGAGAGAAGAATAGAAATAAATGCAATATGTAATGAAGGGGAAACTGACCACGCATTGTTGAACATTAGACTGGAAATCAGATAAAATCCGAAGATCGAGTGAGTTAGTATCTGTGAATAGAAGTTTGCCTGGAAGAAAAAAAAGATGATGATGATGAAGAATGAAAGAAATGGATGGGTAGTGAAATTGGAAAGAGAGATGGAAAAAAGAAGGTACCACGGAAAGAGAAAGAGGAGCGAATGGCGGCGAATACGAAGAGAGAGAAAATGGAGGCGGCGAAGACAAGATGGAGGAGAGCGGGTCTCCTACTGTATGACTGCTTCAGAGCCATCATCGATCGGATTTTCCTTTTCCTTTTCCTTCTCCGACCACGATCCTCCGCCTCTTTAATCAATCAATTAATCCTGACCCTGACCCTGACCCTGACCCGCACCCGCACCCGCACCCGCACCTATACGATTATTATAATAAATTTAAATATAAATATATATATTAATTTAAATATTAATTAACCAACCCTCATTAGGAGAGTTGGTACCTATATTAATTAAGAGAACACTAATAATTTATTGGGCATTTATAAAAAAAATAAATAAATGAGAGAACACATAAATAGTTTTCATTTTAATTGTTCATATAAATCATTATTCCAAAGGAAATTATAGTATACAACACCATCTTAATGTATTTTATTTATTATATGTCGAAATTAATTTGTTAACCAATTCATAGTGCAGGTTATACCTTCATTTGTTAACATATGTGATGGTCAAATTATGTTGAGTATCTATATAATGAATGAGGTTACTAATAAACAATACAGTCGTAATACTAATCATCAGATATGAATAATAAATACTTGTACAGCTGAAAGTGATCTCGATCACACAACATATAAAACACACAACACTAATTATAGACGGTAGAATTTGCATTGGAGAAATTGATGATCCGAAAAGCAAGCAGAAATTCGGTTTTAAGAAGCAAAAAGTAGGAGATCATCATCATGATCATGATTATCATAAGAAAAGTGAATAATGAAGGTACGAATCTCCATAGGAGCAAGTTGGACAACAAGCTCAACTGGATCGACAGGTCCTCCTCTAACTGAAGGTATTTCTTCTTCTTCTTCTTCGTCTTCTTCATCAAACTGCACCTTCCACTTTAACCTCTTCTTCTCCATCTCTATCCTTTCTTGGTTCCCAGATAAACTCATCTCTTTCACCTTCACCACCTGTCATTCCAAACATTCCTTTTCAATTTACATCTTCTACTATTACCACCTACACTTATTACACATATTACCTTCTTGTCAGGGAACAGCTTCTTCAGTTCTACGCTCGTCACTCCCGACTTATCTTTATCCTCTCCCGTCTTTGCATACATGTCATTAACACATATCCCAATTCTTTTAGTTTCTCAATGCAAATTTAGGATTTATCAAATGCTTTTTGGGGATAATTACTTGCAGTTAAATAAACTCCTATACATCTAACTTATAAACTAAAGTAACACAATCTCATACCTCATATAAGTGAGCCAACCGAAGAAGAACTCTGCCATTTTCAAGTTCCTGCAGGGTAATAGGAAACCAAAAAAAAAAACAAAAAAAGAAGGGTTTGAGTTGTAGACTACTCTCAGATAACATCTACAATCACGGTTCAAATTCAGAAAATGAATACCTGGAGGGTAATTAATGCAATGTTGTCTGGTAGACTATAGGAATGATCAATAGCTGAAAAGGTAGTTATATGGGAACTCATCCAATTGTTTCCTTCCTGTTTGAATGACATTAATTAGCTTTTTCTGGGGTCTGGGGGTACTAGTCTCGTTTATGTTAACAGCAAACTAATTCTCTCACCTCTTCAGAGAATGCCAGAAGCAGTGGAGAGTAAACCTCTTGTCCAAATTTCCGGCGCCACTTGGCTCCTTCTCCCCGTGGATCAATTCTCAGGTAATATTTTCCTTGAACCTGAAAGAAAACCACTATTTAGAAACAACTAGAAGAAAACACTCATTTTTTACTTTCTACTTGCTATAATGATAATTTTGGCTACAGTGACAACTTTGGCAGAAAGATGGAACAGGGAAAATCAGGACGAATAGCTTTGAGAAACAAAAAGCAGTTTGTTTTGAATTGACACAAGTGAATATGATTGAAATAATTACCATCAAACCCTTGCAACTGTCAAGAACACAAACTTCTTCATTAAGTGCCTCACCAACACCTCTAGAGTCATCATTCAGTAGCCTCCTATATAAACAAAAAAATTATATATGAGCCCATAGGTATCCCAAATGCAAACAGCAAACGACCAACGGAAAATTGGATGATAGGCATGAAGAAGACAACATTGACCATACCTATGAAGCATCAGCTCTATTTGACCATCCACCAAGCTTGAACCACCAACTGCACGATCCACCAACACAGAAACCTCTGTAGTTTCATCCTTCAGATAAATTCCGAGATTTATCTACAGAACATAGAGATTCAGATATGCATTTTAGCACCCACAAAATACCAACATATTACATGCCCAACACTCTTTGCACATGTCAATGTATGGATATTCATTATTCAATGAGCTGAAATTTTCATAAAGCAGCAAAAGATTAAGTTAATGCTAATATATTATACAAGCTTCGTTGACATACCGGGTAATAATTCCCAGCAATTGGCTGGTGTACTTCCACATCCCAATCAGCTCTATAATCTCGAATCTGCAATCAAATAATTTTACCGCAATCAAATAGATAACTGATATATGTACTAATTGAGTTGATTTTTTTTCCTGATACTCAATTCTCCATATTTATCACAAGTCTGAAAAACAAAGTATACCCTCTTAATGAAATCACGCCCATTGGAGTCCGTATAAAAAGTCTTATTCGTATTCAAGCCAGTGCTTATCTGAGCTATTATTTCCTTTCCAAATCCATCATCCACAGGTATAGGTCCAATCTGAAAATGAAAATGGCATGAGGAGATCCAATTTCTACAAGGTAATGTTTAATTCATAGGACTGTGCACTCTACAAGGCTCAACATAGGTAAACTCACAGTAAACTCAATTTCAGCATGTTCCTTTCCCTTGTAGACCCGGGTAACCTGCACAAGTTTGGTATTTCAGTGAATCGGACAGTTGATGTACAGAGAGAGATAAACGAAGAATGAAACAAGAAATTACTTGTGTGGCTAGTAAAACCAACTAAACCATTTTTTTACGTCCTAACTTTTAACGCCTGCACAAAATTGGACGTGATAGCCTGATAGGAATAATGAATGGTGAGAATGGGAAATCACCTGATATAACCATGTATTCAGCTGCTGGTGCACTTCGTCCAGTAATGGACCACGAATAACAACTGAAGTAACCTGGAAACAAGAGACACGCAAATTTACTTACGGACCTTCAGTCAACAAATCTGGATGAATAAAATCTTGGATAACAAGTTACAAATTGGTAGATATGAAGTCTTGAATAAAAAAAATTAAGCGAAGTGTTAACCTGGCCTTCAGGTTTAATTGAGAATGAATTATTCGGGCGGAAAACATAAGCTCCAGATGCCTTCAATCAAGAGCAATAACTTCACATAATTACCATTTGTGTAAAGCAGACATAAATGAGCAACTCAATTTTTCTGCAAAGAAGAAAGCAAAAGGAAACATATATCGCGCTAGAAGTTTTACAAGTAGGCTAGAGCACCTGGAATACTCTGTCAGTACCATTATACCCAGTGTAGTAACTATATGATTGCTCGGCAAGTGATGTGACCTTCACCAGTAAAGCAAAAAAGAACCCATCAGCATTATTTGCGCAAGAAAATCCATGACACCCTCTATTCTATGAGATTTACAAGCACATTATAAAGCTTTACCACAAAATGCGCCCATTATTTATGGTCGAAAAAAGAATGTGTATATGTCTATTGTCATTTACAGATAAGTCTACGTGAAAACTGCAAGAGTCAGTATAAGAAGACTTAATAGACAACTTACCGAATTTCTTCTGTTTGTATAACGTGTGAGCTTTCCTTCATTCGCTGAGTAAAGTAACTGTAAATTTCCTTGACCCACTTCAAATGTTTTACCATTGCCTTCGTCTGGAGTATACACTGATGAGGAGAATGATCTGGGTTCTGATAAAAAATTGTCAAGACAAGCAACATTAAATCACATGTGTCTGTGACCATGGATACTTTTCTAACCTACGTGAACTCAACCATCCTACCTGACATTTTTGCACCCGAGACAGCATAGGTGCTGAAACCAAGGGGTGGGACAGATGCTGAAAAAGCAAGCCAATATCTTGCCAAGCTACTGGCTGATGTACCTAAGTATGCTTTGGTGTGAAAATTGATTGTAAGCAACGAGACGTTGGAAAGAGGAAGGATCTGAGATTCGATCTCTCTGCCATTAGAATCCAAAACCACTAAATCATCAGAAGAAACCTGCAAAAGATATGACCAGTTATTTCTAATTTGGCAGGGGAGCCAGAAAAGTATGACCTAGTAACTGTCTAAGTTTGGCCACAATATATCATGTACTGCCCCCCACAACAATCTTATTGCTAACATTAGTAGTGCAACTGTACCAAAGTATTTGGTAACCAAGCAAGCTTACAAGAGAACATCATTATTACATTTTTCTCGTAAAAATGTAGAAAGAGGGCTTTCTTAGTTGGATATTATGACTGCTTGGTAATTGCAGGGAACAAAGTACTGCTATTTAATTATCCAAGTAATCCATCAACTACAATATGGTAGTTGATCCGCAATCAAATGAAAGTAAAATGATTAATCTGCAGTAGGTCATAATACAGAACATCGCTAAAACACTGATTGAACAGCACCAGAATACTCACAGGAATGCGGATGACCTCCTCTCTTTTCCATCCTACAGGATTGTATGCGATGATGACCTAAAATATAGGGATAAGAAATTTTCATGTTAAAGCAATACAACGTAACATTTATCAGAAGGAGAAAACAAATGAATGATATTTCTTTGGAGTTAATAAAAATAAAAGTAAATGATGCTTACCAAGCTTCTAGCATCAGACAAATTAGCTTCTGATGGAGGACAATAACTTATGTTGAGCAGAGGACACTAACATAAAAGCAAATCAAGAAATCAGAATATAGCAAGTTTTTCTCCATTAAATCGTCAAACTTTGAAGAATAGTAAAGGCCATACAGTTAGTTTTAAATGGTGGCAAGAAAAAAATATGATACTTTTGAGATGGTTATCAATGGGCCAAAAAACCTTGATGGAATCAATTGGACACTGTATGACTTCATACTCTTCACATTTTTCCCCACTGTCATGCAATTTTCTACTTAAGCTTAATGCAGTGAAGCGGTAAAACTCAGGTCATTTATTGTTGAATCGTGTGATTGTTGATGTATAATCTTCCGAATGCCACAAATGACAAAACTACAAAACAATCTGGTGATGAACACAGGAATGAAAATAAATAAGGATGTATTGCCTGCTGAAACTGAGGGACTGGATCTGTGTGCATAGAGTTCAATTTTGAGCCTGTTAACGCAGCCAATGACGATGATACCACCTTCTCAGCCTGCAAATATTACAATACCAGTCAGCTGACTTCAGCTACTTATAACCAGTATGAGTCGCCACTCTAGGATAAAATTGCATAGGTGAAGAAACTGAGAGCAAAAGGTAAAACAGCGTGAATTTCCTCAATCTAAACATAGAGGTACGTACCTCTTTATAACCTATTGAAAGTCGCATAGCATAATCAGCAGCCACATGTTGCCTTTGGGTCCCACTAACTGCATCATGATGTTGAGCTATAGACAAAGCATCAGCTAATGCATCTGTGCTTGGTCCAGACCCAAACCTGCATGCGAAGAACTCCAACTGCCTTGCTGCCTAAAATTCAAACCCCAAAATGAATATGGATATGGAAAGGGTTTTTTATAGATATCCCAGACAACTGGATTCTATCTACACATTATTACGGTCCTATAAAAAGGACAGAAGAACTTACTAAATAGTAACCACTCAGCATTCTCACATATCCTTTCAGTGCTGGCCTACTTGTAAAGTAGCCTGTCCAGTAAGCATTCTCTCTATCGGCATACCTGGTAAATGTAATTACAATTTAAAACAAATTGTTACTTCAGAGTAACTAGGTGTGTTGAAATTTCAATCATCCGAATTGCACTCACGGGAAAAAGTCACCAGTTTTTAGAGGCCATTTTTCATTTGCTGCATATTTTGCATCAGTGTAGATAGATGGTGTAGAATATAGAGCGTTGACACGCCCATCCTGAAATCAACAGAAGGATGGAAAAATAATGTAGAGTTATCAGATCCACACATACACAGCAGAGGGTATATGAAAGTTTAATATAGGATGAGAAAGACAGGTACCAAATTGACATAATGAATGAACTTGTCCATCTGCCTGAACCATGAAACAGCGTATTGGTAACGGAAATCAGTTCCCATAGTCCACATTATATGATTTGTCCTAGTCAAATTAGCCTGACATTGGAAGAGGCAGCAGTTATTTAAAGGCCAACCACAAAGTTCAATGAGATGGAAGGGAAAAAAAGAAAAAAGGAAAGGACAAAAAAAGTGAGACCTAAAATTCATATATTTTGGTACTGTGGTAAAAGAATATTTTAACCTGCCAACCCATTATCCAATATGTTTCTAAATTTCAACTGAAATTTGATTTTCTCAGAAACCACGAAGACACGGAGTATGATGGTACCGAGGATACAGTCAAGAATAAAATTTCAGGTTCCAATTGATAGTGAGAAATGATGACAACCATACACCGTACCTGTGCTACAGCAGCTGCCACAAAATCATCCACTCGCTGTTCCACATTATAATCGAAGAGGAGATCATCATCCTGAATCAACTCTTGCATTTGTAAAATATTTGAAGAACGTAATCCAAGATTACAGTGCTTTCGTGTTACAATATATAACCTGAATGGGAGCAGAGACATCATTTATTTCAAAGGTGAAACCATCTGGAGGCTCATAATGGATGGGGAATATCCCTGTGAATATCTGGACATGAACTCATGAAGAGAGAGTCAGAACTTTTAATTCAATGTTATATGTATGAGTGAAAGAAAAAGATCTTCCATAGATACTGAGAGCCCCATTTTAAACTAGAGAAATGGAAAATAACGGTGACAGTACAAGTAAAATAATCAAGAGGGCAGGCGTGAACTTCCTGATAATTAACCTGAGAAGATGAACCTAGGGAAACTGAGCCCCGCCACACAACCTCAAGAGTTTTATCATCTCTCCGTTTGGCTCTATCTTGGTAATCAATTCGAGCAAAAAATAGTGAGTCAAACCCCAGCTGCAGCATGATAATTTAACAAAAATGGAATCAAATATCTGGTGCTTATACTGTGGCACATATTCTGTAAAACCGGGACTACAGAAATACCATTTTTTTTTTCTTACAATATGATGTGCATAGAAGGGATAAAGTATTGAGCCATCAAAGGATTTTGCATAAGGGATACCTCTGCGCCAAGCAAATAGGCCTGAACAGCAGAATGTCCGAAAGGGTCAATCTGCCATCCAACTCTTGGTGTCTTGCCAAATTCATCAAGGATAAAACGATGACCCAGAGTTGTCTGATCAATCAAATCAATGTAATGTGGGGTTGCCTCATCATGCATACACATACCCCCATTTCTGTATACACAAAAGCAGTAAGAAAGTAGGAGTAGTAACTAATACAACAGAAGCAAAAGGGAGAGTGAATACATGAATTCAAGTTGACCAGAATTGACGAGATGTTTGACTTTAGCCTTGAGAGTATCACTCTGCTGTCTCCACCATCTTTGGAAGAATGCCTGATTAAAGAATCACAATGAGATCTTTGGAAGAATGCCTGATTAAAGAATCATAATGAGAGAATATAATATTGCAAGTAGTTTAGTGGTGGGAAGAAATAAAAAAAAACTTGCCATCTCAACATAAATAAACCTCCGATTCTTGTCATCCAAGAGAGCGGAGATTACAGAATCCAAAACGTTCTGGACACAGGCTCCCTGAGAGAAGAAAGAATTAGAAACAGGTGAAGAAAAATGAGAGTGAAGGAAGGAAGGGAGGGGTACCCGGATGGAATTGTTGGCACCGGCGTAGTACTGATCGACGGTCTTGAGCCATCCGACGTCGTCGTGGGAGTGAGGGACTAAATGGACGTTGATCTTATCGGGGGCGAATCCCGAGGTGGTGTTGTAGGGAACATAAGTGGAATTGACTCCGGCGAATATTGTGGCTATACTAGTGAAGAAGAGGATGTTTTTGAGTTCCATTATGACGGACTGACTGATGCAGCATAACAAAGGAAAGGTGAGCGAGTATTGTTGTGTTTCTTCACTTGAGTGCAAAGCAACAATTGATTATAATTCTAAATCATATCAATTGATGATTCTGATTAGTCATTTCTCACTTTCTGAAAGAGGGGGGAGGGAGGAGCCGACGACGGCGAACAATTACGACGGAGGTTGTATAAAAGTGGGGAATGGGGAGGAGAGTAGCGGGGACCATACTTTGCGGAAATGGAAAACATCAAAATTGAATTATCAAATACTCATTTGATAATTAAGATAATATTTTAATATTTATTAATAATTTATCTACTCCAACCATGGTCATCAAAAGTAATAATCAATTGAAAGTTTTTTATTATTTTTATTTGTAATTGCCATGTGTCATTTTGTGATTGAATGTGTAGGTGGTTATTTTTTTGATAACTCAATTTCCAAGATGTATTTTTACATGCAAAGAGGTAGAATATCAAAATACTTACCTATTTTGATACTTCCATTGAAGTAGAATTTTTTAATTTGGGATATCAAAAGATAGTTATTGGGTTTGATAAGAGCAACTCCAATGAAGGCACTAAATGAAGTACCAAACTAAAAAACTACCACTTTGATGCTCTAAAATTAAAAAATTCTTCTCCAATTGAGGCATTAAGAGCAACTCCAATGGTAGGTATTAAAATGAGGCATTTAAACCCTTAATTGATGCTTGAAATAATACTTTGGTACTTTGAAAAAACTTATATACTCCAACCCGTAGGAATCAAATAAATTATTTTATTTTTAAATATGTATTAAACATAAATTAATAGATTTATTTGGTCCCTATTCCATAGGAATTTGTTAGAAAATTTATTTTTTTTACGTTAAAATTGCAGTTCCTAATTTCTAGGAATATTTGATACTTGTTTTCTTTGGGTGCATTTTTGCACCTCTAGGATATAAAGTATCAAAAAAACTACCCATTTGATGCTTCCGTTGGAGAAGAAATTTTAAGTTTTGGGAATCAAAATGGAAGTTTTATCATATAATACTCCATTTGATTCCCCCGTTGGAGTTGCTCTAAAGGGAGAACTATTTTGGTACTCAACTATACCGAGGTGCAAAAATACTCCCTGGAAAATGAGGTATCAAAAACATAACCACCCAATTAACCTATCACTATTTGACACGTGGCATTTAAAAATATAATTATTTATATACTTAAAATTTGATAATCTATTTGATACTTGTGGTTGGAGTGAATTTTTTTTCAAGAAGTATCAAAATATTATATCAAGTATCAAATGAATATTTAATGCTCCATTTTGATATCTTCCATTGGAGTTGCTCTAATCTATTTGCTCTTATTAATTTATTATTAGTTATTACTTATTACTGATCTTATCCATTTATTATTATTGTAAACCAATATCGAACAGTATAATAACAAGTTTAAGAGAAAAAAACTTGTTTTGTTATTAACTGATAGCGACAGGTAAAGAAGTCAAAACATGTCTACAAAATATAATAAGGGATATCTCTAATGCTGCACCTATATGCAATACTAATTTCAATCGTGTAAGACTAAATTAAAGAAAGATTTCAAAAGATTCCATTTTATTAAGATGAAATGACAAATATATCCATAAATTAAATTGTTCTTTGTTTGCTTATGCAAGACCAAATAACAAATAATGAAAAAAAAAATCAAAAAGAAAGAAGAAAACGTGAAATTAAAAAATCACCCCCGTGTGAAACCCTACCCTACGCCCAAGCTCCGCCGCCAACCACCGCTCTTGATGCAACGTTGTTGATGTCTTGTACATATTTTTGACACCTTGGTGAATTTGGACAATAAACTGCGTCTTCGCATTCGCCTTTTGCTATAAAAAATAAATGAATATTGAAACAAAAAGTAATTGGAAAATAGAAAGTTAAAAAAAAACATGAACAATTAAATTTGGACATTAATGTGTCGAATATATGTCCATAAATTCGACACCTTAATGTCGAAATTTAGTATATATGGACTAATAACAGTTAAATTTCGACACTAGGTGTCGATTTTGTACTCCAAAATCGACATGTACTTGTCGACCGCGTATTCGCAGGATTTAAAAAAAAAAAAATATGAAACAACTAAATTTCGACATTAAGGTGTCGAATATATGTCCTTAAATTCGACACATTGATGTCGAAATTTAGTATATTTGGACTAATTTGCTAACAGTTAAATCTCGACACTAAAGTGTCGATTTTGTACCCCAAAATCGACATCTCAATGTCGATTTTTACCTATAAAATTCGACATGTACATGTCGACTGTGTCTTCGCGGAATTTTTTTTCGAAAAACGATATTTTAGCTAAAAAAACACATAAATGCATATCTTCTTGGATTTTATTCCACCGTAGAATCTTCTATTTTGATTTAACAAGTAAGAGTATTATAGTATTTATACAACATATAGCCGCAGCCTATCTTTAATTATTCTCCCAATATAATATGGACTTATGAGAGACTCTGAGAAATAATATTTTTAAATAAATTAAACTAAGAAATAATATTTTTAAATAAATTAAACTAAAATATATATGTAGACAAAAAATGAAACTTCATCGACGTGATGAATAAAAAAGGTATTTTTTTAAAGTAAAATTAAGGTGGGAATGAAGATGAAAAGTCTAACAATATACACCTATTTAAACATTTTGTTTGATAAACAAAGCAAAGCAAATCAAATCAAATCACTGATAAAAAAAAATAAAAAAAATCAAATCAAATCAAAGCAAATGGAGCTCGAAAGAGTTTTAATGGACATGTCCATGAATTAAGCTCAAGTAGCTTAAACAACAGGAACCAAATATGAAATCTCCAAGATACAAAGTGTGAGTTTGTGTGTGTGAAATAGAGCTTGCATGTGATGGTGTTATTTTTAGTATAATTCGAGAACACTAACTAAAATAAAAGTTTACATGAATAATAAATCACTAGAGTCCACATCTACAGTATGATGTTTTACAACAGAAACAGAAAAAATATCTTCAGGGGGCCGGGTCGCAATTCACATCTCACCAATAATACCCTGTGCCTCAACCCCGTAATCATCATAGTAGCTCGGTTCTGGCCGAGGAAACAATAACTTGAGCCGGAAAGCATCTACCCCATTCAAGTAGTATCTAAAAAGCCTCTTTGCCCTAATAAACCCCAGACGACCGTATAGTGCAAGTGCTCCTTTATTTGTAACTTCTGCTTCCAGTGTTACCTTTCAAACAAAATAACTCTATTTATGTTTCCATCATATCTACTCTCTACACGAACAATAATCATTTCATACATTTATTCGTCAGCCAAAATTACTTCCTTATGACAAAACAAGAAAAATTGGGGGGGGGGGGGGGGGGGGGGTTTTTATTGGAAGGGCCTGATTTTTCCAAGAATTAAAAATTTAAAAAAGGAGAGGCCTGTTTCCCTGGAAGAAAGGATGGAGCAACTTGGCTATAGAATATCATATTGATGGGATGTTGGCATATGCATTGAAAGCTAATGAAATGTATATTGATCGGAAGTTGGCATAATAAACATGGAAAGCTAATGAAATTTATATTGATGGGATGTTGGCATAATAAACATTGAAAGCTAATGAAATGCACAGTGATCGGAAGTTGGCATAGAAAGTAAATGAAATGTTGAGGAGGAGAAGAAGAAGAAAGGGTTGTTGAATGAGAGACTTACCTCCTCACAACCTGATTCCATCATCACTTTAATTGACCTAGTAACAAGTTCAGTTGCTGCACATTTGGGGAAAAGCAAATCATTTTGAACAAGTAGTAAAGAGCAGATAAACCAAACCAGTCAGTAGTTGATGCTTTTTGGCATACATACATAGAGACAGACAGGCAGACAAACAAACAACATAGTGTGCAAATATTATTCTGGGATATAGAATAATAAAGTAAAAACTGAAATATGAATCGGGTGAACTGACCAATGCCTCTGCCTCTGTAAGGGTTGAGAACAACGAGCATGGCGATGTATCCTCTGAAAGTATGGCGATGATCTCCCATCTTGCACACCACCGTCCCCACGCATTTCCCTTTATGGAATGCCTGTAATTTTTACTTCCAATCAATCAATCAATCAAAACACAAAATTATTCATATTTTTATATCTAAAGGAGTAGGAGATGGAGGACGGACTAACGAGGAAAGAGAGATGTGGCCAGAGATAGACGAAATATCTGTAGGTGAAGATGGAATAGGGTTCGCTCAGCTCCTGATCCACCAGATTCATAATCAGCGGCAGGTGATGCTCCCCTCCATAGCTCACGTACTCAATCTCCGACGCCGATAAGCCCTCCGACGCCGATAAGCCCTCTTCCTCCTCCTCCATTCCCAATTTACAAACCTAACCTAACCTACTGTTTGGGTTTCGAATTTTCAATTTGTCGTCTACTCAATTCAATTGGGCCTTCTCTTATTATCCCAATCCCCTTATTATTCAATTGGGCCTTCTGCGAACTATTGTTTTGTTATAAAAAAGGCCACGTCGACAGACCCCCACCGTTTTTTAATTGCAGAAATATATTTATTAATTATATAATATTTCTGATACAGTACCGTGACTGCGTATTCACTCCAATCGGAAGAAAATGTTGAGAGTCGCCGCTGTTCGGAGGCTTTCGTCCTCTCTCTGGAGGCCAACGCACGTTGCCTCCTCCTCCTCCTCCTCCGCCATCGCTCACTGTCCCGTCGGTGGAGACGATTACGGAATCTACTCCTTCAATTCCTTCCTTTTTAACTCTCACCCTCTATTCCACTCCCACTCCCCCTCCAGAGGTCTGTTTTAAATGAACTTACTTTCAACTATCTCTCATGAGATGGATTACTGTAAATTAATTTCTTTTTCCCATTTTTGGTTTACCTCTCTAATTCAATGTTATTTTATTAATTGCTTGTCTGACGTTCTATCTTTAGACCTTCTTCTAGCTTGATCATTATGACACTGTATTGGAACCAAAATAAATAGATGACCTTGGGTGTGAGTTATGACATTGTACTATATATGGAACCAATATAGATAGATGAAGATGACCTTGGGGGTGAGTTACGACACTGTATAAACTAGCTATGTAATGCATATGATTCGTGAATTAAATTGAGACATTTCACAATGTTTGGCAGAGACAACACATTTCAATGTTTATCAGTAGTTTATAGATTCAGGTATCAAGCATGTTGACATGATTGGCTAATTGTGTTCTCAACTTAGCTTAGATAATCTAACCTAACCAAGAGATGGACAACAGATTAGGGAACACCATTCAAGTGCCAACGTGCACCTACACCAGAGGAGAAGTAAGAAAGAAATCAAGCTAAAGTTCGGATGAAAACAATTCATTAGGGTCCAAACTGGTTTTGTTTTGGTCCCGTAGATGCTGGTGCGGGTTCTTTTCAAATCGGTAGGGAGGTCTGTGCTCCTGTTTCATTGTCATTTCAAAGTTAGCTCTCTTGTGCACAAATTCACCATACGATACACTCGCATGCAGTTTTAAGGCATGCCTTATGAGATAAAGTTATCTATGCAAACACTTGAGTTGGAAATGAATTTCACATTTGTTGCGTTTCTAAACAAATTCACATTTGTTGCTCATTAATGATCTTCTCTTTTTAATGTCCGTGTGATGATTTTCTCACTGTTGCAGGTTTTGGTTCTGGTTCTGGTCCAATATCACCAAAGAATGAAAGAAGGTCATCCATTCCAGAGGTTCCAGCAACAGTGGCTGCTAAGAAAAGTCCGACACCGAAGATAGTTTATGATGAGCATAACCATGAGAGGTACCCTGTGGGTGACCCCAGTAAACGGGCGTTTGCGTACTTTGTGTTGACAGGTGGGAGATTTGTATATGCTTCGTTGCTGCGGCTCCTGGTATTGAAGTTTATACTGAGCATGTCTGCGAGCAAGGATGTGCTGGCGCTTGCATCCCTAGAGGTTGATCTGTCAAGTATTGAACCTGGTACAACTGTCACAGTGAAGTGGCGTGGAAAACCAGTGTTCATTAGGCGGAGGACAGAGGCAGATGTGAAGATGGCTAACAGTGTTGAGTTGGGATCTCTGCGGGACCCACAAAAAGACTCGGAGAGGGTGAAGAATCCAGAGTGGCTTATAGTGGTTGGGGTATGCACGCACTTGGGTTGTATACCATTACCAAATGCTGGTGATTTTGGGGGATGGTTTTGCCCATGCCATGGTTCTCATTATGATATATCTGGAAGAATACGAAAGGGACCTGCTCCATACAATCTCGAAGTTCCTACTTATACTTTCTTGGATCACAACAAGCTATTGATCGGATGATCACACCCCAATCCCGACCGACTTGTATGTGGGATTTCCTCGGTCTTAAAATGATCTTTGTTGTCAACATCCATTCTCTGGAAGAAATATCTATTGACGATTATTTAATTATTTATTTTTAATTAAATAAAAAAAATACTAGTACTGATGGTATTAAATAATAAATAGTAATTGATGCCATCTGCATAACTAACAGACCTAACCTAATGGTGTGGGTGTTGTAGTACTAATAATCTTTATAGGTGTCCAATTTGAATTTGTGAGTAGTGAGCGAAGAGAAGGCCCATAATAACAGGACCAAGCTGACAAACCCATTTAGAGGCCCAAATATCTTATGAATTTTTACATATTCGCATAATTAGTGTGTAAAATACCTATACATCATTATTTACAAGTTTACACACACACACACACACGCGTGTATTTGTGTGTCTGCGTGCCCCTCTCCTGCTAACCTCCTCCTCCTCCTCCTGCCAGTCCTTTCTCTATTATTTGTTTTTTCTTTAAATTATATATATATCTTCTCTCTCTCTTCTTTACCCGCTCGGATAACGCACAACCAACCCCCTTCCTTTCTCCCATGCCTTTACTTAATCTGTACTAGCCTCTGTGTTCTTTTTTTCTTTTATATGTATATATACACATACCTCTATTTTCCTTTTTACTTCACTTATTTACTTATTTATTTTGCCCATTCAGTTACGCCTCCGTTACAGGTACTTCGTTTTTCTCCATTTTTTTCTTCAATTTTTAGGGCTTTTTTCTTCTTTATTCCTAGGTTTTTTTTCTCTCCTTGCCCTGGATTGGCTTCTAGATTAACGATTATTTTCCCCAACTCTGATGTTTGTCTCTATCTCTACTGTTTCTTGATTCTTCCATATGTAATTGTTCGTTTTCCTTATTTTTAAAATTAGCTGCTTTTAATTTGCTTATCCTTCCATTATCTGTGAAATCTTGCATGCAATTTTCCCATCCTTGTTTGATTTTCGGCTAATTATGGGATTTGAATTCTGTTTTCTTTCTGCCCAATGGTCACTTACTACTTGCTCGTTGCCTCACTACGTGCATATTTTCGTGGTTGATTACTAATAATCTGATTCCTCAATTCAATTCCTTTTTTTAAGCTGAGTCAATCCATCTTACTCTACTTGGTTCCTCGACTTGCGGAACTGTAAACCTATTTTACCATAGAATATTAGGAAAAATAATTGGTCAATAGCTTCCGACTGCACTAGTTTTCAACTGTACTGGTATCCTCCTTTGGGGGATCCTAATTGGGATACTCTCATGGGATGCATTGCCAATTTGTTACGCCGATATCCTTTGTTGTCTTCTCTTCATGATTAGGGTATTTGCCTTTTGTAATTTCAAAATCTAGTTGTTTAACTAAGATTTTCATTCTTCCTGTTGCTGTTTTCAGTAGGAGACTTTTTTTTGCTCAAGTCAAGATAGCAAATGCTCCATTGAGACTCTTGTCATATAGTATTTTAGTTGGAAAAATGGCAGCTGATCAGCACAAAAAGAGGCTAAATGCTACCAGTTTAGTTGGCTGTACATCTCGTGAACAGTATAGGGTAAAGAGGAAAAAACTTCAGGTAAAACACCACGGTCTGAACATGAGACCTACCATCTCTCTCGAGTGGGATAACAAGAAGAAGAGTGTAGTTTCGAAGAAGGACCAGATTGGTATTAAACAAAGGCACATGCTTCCATTTATTGAGCCTGGTGCTCACAGCCACAACATTTTGGCTGACGTATTCCCTGTTCCTCAAGAGATTTTTGAATTAGAAAATCTCTCCAAGGTTCTCTCGTATGAGGTAATCGTTAATTGTCAAATCCAGTAGGGATTTTCATCTTCTTAAGGCGATGCTTTTTCTTTTTTTTTTTCTTGAAATTTATCTATTCACGTGAACTTGTTGTAGGTCTGGCAGAGATATTTATCTGACAATGAAAGAAGCTTTCTGTCACAATTTCTACCTAAAGGATCCGAGTCAGATACAATTGTTCGAGATTTGCTTGCTGGGGATAGCTTCCATTTTGGAAATCCTTTTGTAAAATGGCAAGTGTCGTGTGCATTTGTTATTTCGAGCTGTATGATTTAGTTGTATGTTACTTCAAATACTGATTAGTATGCTTATTTGATAGTTCATTTTGACCAAGGTGATTCTTAGCTATCATGACTTCGGTTTGTATGCCAACGCAACTTGTTGGATTGCCTTCTTTTTTCTTCATAACTATATTTGATGTTTAGTCTTCCATTGGCTATCACCAGTTTGATATTATATTTGTTTAGGAGGATCTTAAAGTCTTTCCAGTTTGTTCTAGTTCACTTTACATTAAGCAGCCTATTCTATGACTTTGCATCCAACATGAGCCCAAGAGAAGCCATCTACTTTCGATCCGGATGATTTTCAGCTTATACTTCGTACCCCATTCCTACCTGATTTATCTAATGTGATTATATTACTCAGTTTTTTATTAGCATTTAGGATCTGTTTAGATGCCTTTTCTGCCATTCCTTTATTCTTTCTGGTCCATCTTCATTGTTTGCATAATTCGTCCACATTTATTGTTATCTTAATTTGAGTTCATTCATGTCTTCTCACTTGATGAGTAATAAATGAAGGTATTTTCATTTATCCCGGTGTCATCTTAATTTTGTTTCTTTCATTTCTTCTCACTTGATGAGTGATAAATGAAGGTATTGTCATTTATCCTGATATCACCATCACATTTTTTTTCCCATATTTCAATTGATTTCCTCCAGTGTCTTGTCTTCTGAGTTCTGACTAAGAAATCGATTGGTCTCATCTCTTTCAGCAATATGTAAAAAAAGAAAAAAAGAAATATTGGCAGTCCAAATTTAGGTCTATTAAAATTATTCATTACAAATAGTTCCCAATCTATTTTTCTTTCATAATATTTCATTTATCCTTCGATGTTCTTCTTTGTCTAAGTTTGAGTGGTCCAGTGATTTGCAATGTGTTGCTGCAGGGGTGCTTCTATTTGTGTTGGAGAGCTTCATCCTGATAATATTCTTCAAGAGGAGGTATCTCTCAAAGCTGGCAAGAAAGCGTACTGCTCAGATTTACATAAGTATCACAACGAGTACGTAATCCTGTTAATTTTGTCAATCTCTTTGATATAATATATTTATTATTTTCTACTGCTTTTTTGCTTTGCATTGTCTATTTCATAAAGCTGTGGTGCTTTTGTTGCCAGTATGATTATGAATTTACAAACGTGGAAGGAAAAATGGGCTAGTTGCAAGGATCCTGAAATGGACATCGTGCAGGATATATGGAGGTTATTATCTCTCTTCTTTTTTTGTGGGGTGCGCGTGTGTGTATGCGTAAGAGTATCTCTCTTCTTCTTTTTTTGTGGGGTGCGCGTGTGTGTATGTGTAAGAGTTATATTCTTTTTGTGACCTCAGCATCATGACATTACATTACACACCGTCCTGTTTGATTCTTCATCCTTCTATTCATTTATGTAGGTCCTATTAAGGAATTGTTTTACGGACCTCCTACTGTTGTCTCAATTTCAAATGAATGATGCATATTGTAAATCTTTGTGAAAGTTCCTTTCATAAATTTTGACATGGGCATGAAAATCCATAATATGATTTTTTTATTGTGATGTTCTAAAAGTTCCTCACTCTCTATGTTTAAACTTGTAAATTATCCTATTTTGGTTTCCCGTGGAAATTATATATTTGCGAGTTTTGCCTTGTTTCTTTGTCGTATTGGTCAAGCCATTTTAAAAGTGACATTTTATATGCAGTTCTTGGAAGCATGCTGAGTCAACTGTGCCTCCAGAGACTAGATTCTGTGGTACTGAAGAGAACCTTGTTGCCACACCAGAGTCTTGTTCATGGGCTAATTCTGATGCAGCTGATAGTAGCGACAACCAGAACTTGGGAACAGTGCATGGACAGTCTCAAAGAAGGTAAGGCTGCTCTTACTTGCTCCATTTTTTGCTTACCCATCATCCCTCGAAAGACCTAGATAGATGGTTCTGCATAGCTTAGAGCAATTAAGAGCTGCTTTTGTTGTTTAAATTTCTTAAGTACATGGCAAAAACTCTTACCACCGTCTTGCGTTGAATATGCAGAAAAGAGTTCTGGAAAAAGTTATCTGATAATTGCTCTAGTGGGCTCAATGTGGTGGCTGCAGTATCTAGGAAAGGAGAAAAGCTACACAAGCGAAATATCCAGCATAGTGATGGAGCCAAATATATGTCATATATCAAGGTTGTTTGGTTTGGCAGACAGTCTATTTCGAAAATTGATACTTGTCAACTTAACACTTTTAACTGATATCATCGGAGGACCATCACTGGTGCCCTTTATAACTTAGCCATCTGTTTAGGAAATCCTTCATTTTCATTTAACATTTGCCCTTATAACTGGCAATGCCCAATTGTCATATGGTCTTTTGTCCAATTGGAGGCTGTTTTCCTGCTATTATTCTTTTATAGAAAGTGTTCATTGCATTTGGTTCTGCAGGTCAGCAGGGAACAACACGAACGTTTTAAAAGCAGCATGAAGCATTCTGGTAATAGCAGTCAGCCTAGGGCTTTAAACAATGTTTTAGGTGTCATTGATGCCCTAAATGTACAACCATTTGAAAGATTTGAGGAAGAAGAAAGAAAGAAGCTCCATGAACACTGGTTAGTTATTCATTTTGTTTTAATTTTGTATTTGAAGCTCTGTGAGATCCTCAACTTCAATTATAATGATGAAATTTCAGGTTGAAATTGGCAACCAAAGATATCCTTGAAGGTTTTGTTAACTGGAGAAAGAGACAATTACAAAGAAAAGAACTAATATGGTCCATGGTTGAAGAAATAGGGCAAAAAATGGAAGGTCACGAGGTTAGGCATCTTAAATATGACCTCCATGTTTTTGGAAAATCTCCAATTGCTGATACCTTTTGACTTGTTACTTTGCTGTAGAATACTCTCGGTGAGGATGAAGAGGGTTCTCAAAATAAGCGAACGGAGCTCTCAGATGATGGCATAGAAGAAATTCTACCTTTAATCACAACTGAGGTTTATCAGCTGGCCCGCGTTTCTTGCGTTTCAATAAACTGCTTATTGAATTTTTTGTACCATTGTTTATTTGAAGTGATGGTGTAGTATAATTCAATAGTGGGCATCTCAAATTCCCATTTTTTTCGGCCAGGGTGGACAAAGAGAGCATTCCGATGCCTTGCTTCAGGAGCAGATGGGAAATGAAGGAGCTCATGAAATCGAAACAGAAACAGAAACCGAGGTTGATTTTACTGTTTCTTTCTGGTGTTTTTTTTTTTTTTTTTAAATTAATTTCTGCCTTCTATTTTCGGCTGCTGGTATATGGTCTCTCTGAAATCAGGTTTTTTACTTAGAATGTGTAGATAAACATGACTAGTACTATTTTGCTGCGATGAAATTTTGAAGATGAAGTTAATTGTTTCTGGTCATCTTTTATGATTATCAGGATGAAAAGGATATGAAAAGTGACTACATATATGAGGAGCGAACAACTGATGATACAGAACTGTTTGAAGATGAGGGTGCTGCTCCCAACCAAGTTATAATCCGGGACGAGAATCAACAGCATATTGTTTCACTTAATAATAGCCCTAGGAGCACAACGATAACATCACCGAGTTCTGGTTTCCTTCATGATCAACATCAGAAGCGACTGAATAGTAATCTCCAATCCAATTCCATAGAGATGGAATCTCACAACAATAATGCAAGTGGAAAAACAGATGAAGATACTCCAATTGAATCGGAATACTCAGGAAATCTGAACCGTGTGGATATTCATGTTAGCCAAGGGACTCCACTTCCGTCTTCTTGCGATATTTGGCCCTTGAGTGATGTACATGATTCTTATTATCAATCTACTGCCACAAATGCTAGATACGCCTCTGCTCAAGAGTTGTCGATTAGGAATCCGCAATTTATACAGGAGCAAGCAGTGCAACTGCTTGATATGGAGACAGGCAGGCAGGATAAAAGTACTGGCAAGGATTTTCTGCATAGTAGACAAAGTGATGATATGTCTTTCTTCAGCTCTTACCCAAATCAAGAGAGAAATGAACTGCTTCATTCTTTCTTCAAGGATCAGGGCAATCCTCCGTACCATCATCAGCAAAAACATCTAGGTCTAGAGTTCCAGGCTGGGAATGAAGTGATGATGGAGGGGGCAGGTCAGTTTTCGGGACATTTTAGGGAGCAGGTTCATCCATCACTTGCTCCTCCGCACAAGAGTCTGCTGAATGATATATACATGCATCAGAACATTCATATTAATGAGAGTATGTATCCTGGAGGGCGTTTTGTTATGTCTAGGCAGGAGGAATTGCCAGTAAATATTCATGATTGGGCAACTAGTGTACGCATGCCAATTCCCTCCGTGCAATCTCAATTGAGTCAGAACAACTGGTATGCAGGGGGCGAGAATGGATGGCCTTTGCAGGTTGCCAACCATAATAATAATAGCATGATGGGCAGCAGCAGGGGACGTAATTTGGACCAATCCTTATTCAGTGTCCTAACAGAATGTAATGAACTGGCACCTAGAGCCAATTATGAAGCTGCAATGGGCCCCGCAGAACGGTTAATCCAGGCTGGAAACTACAACTACAGTGGAGGAGGGATTCCTTCGAGCAGCAGCAGCAATTTCTTGCAACAACCAACGCAGCACTCATCACTTAATTACTTTAATGGTGGTCATGAGGTAGGTGGTGGTATTAAGATGAACAACCTTGGATGGATGGGATTGTCACAGCAAAATTCTGGACTGCAGCAACACGATTCCATCAGTAAGCCCTTCCTAAGGTCGTGGAATCAGTGAGATATAATACCACTACGACTGCTAGCTACTCTTTTAGCAGCCAACAATGGGGATTTTAAGTTAGGAGAGAGAGTTTCACAAAACATGCTAAAAGCTCTGAGATAATGGTGGTGTTTTTGTCTTTTCTCATTGTCAAATTCAGACCAGAATTCCATATGTTGTACATACATAGGATCCTATCTTGATGATGCCAATATGTATATTGCTAGTGAGATGTGTAGGTTTTGTGTGTGTGTGAGAGAGAGAGAGAGAGAGAGAGAGAGAGAGAGAGAGAGAGAGGGAAAGGGAGAGAGGGTGATATTTTTATTTTTGATGCTCTTGGATTTTTAGATTTCTTTTTTTGGTTAGGGACTAGGGAGTGCTCTAAATGTTAATGGTTTTGGCAGGCCACACAGCCCACATGAGTATATTATTGGAAAAATACTTTTTTAGGGAATAAATATTCCAATTTATTATTATTATTATTTAGAAAGGGTTAAAATAACATTGCTATTTAAATGCATTGTATAGACTTGCAAACTAATATTGAATAGTTAATTCCCCTGCCCTTGGAATGCATAATTAGCACTCATAATTATTTATTTCTGGTTTCACCTTAAATAATATATCTCTGGACAGGACACACATTAATTAATTTACTAGTATAACGGAGGGGTAATTAATTAGTGATTAATAAAAACATAATTCGGCAACGTTAGAATCTATTTTATTTATTTATTTTTCAATATAATATTATTATTAATTACTTGGCATATTGGGCGTTCTCGATTCTGTGTCGGTTCTCAGTTCTCTGGATTACAACGAAACCCAAAGCACCAAGACAAGAAAGAAAACCCGCTCCAGCTGGTATGGCGTATACTGTAAATCTGTATGTATGTATGTGTGTGTGTGGGGGTTTCTCTGGGAAATCTGGATCGAACGTTGTATACCTCAATTAACAAACATGCTGTAATTCTTCTCTCCTTGTATAATTCAAACATTGATTTTTGATTTATTTGGGGCGAAAAGAAAAAGAAAGAAAGAATGGCGACAACGGAGACGACGGCGAAGCTGAGCAAAAACAAAGACGTGATCCGGTTGGAGAGAGAATCCGTTATTCCTATCCTCAAGCCGAAGCTCACCGTTCATTTGGCTAACCTCATTGGTACTCACTCTTCTCCCCCTATTCCTTTTCTTTTATTCAATTATTTATTCTCATCTATATTTGTCATCGTTTTCCTTCAGCCTTGGTTTTCAATTGATTTCATACATACAAACTACAATATATCTATATAGTTCACTCTTTTTAGCCTTCATTTCTTCCGTACATCACCTCATTGCAATTTCACCCACCTTTGCAACCTACAGAACATAGTTCTGATCGTGCTGAGTTTTTGAAACTCTGCAAGAGAGTCGAGTACACAATCCGAGCTTGGTACATGTTGCAGTTTGAGGACCTTATGGTAATTTCCTTCTCCTATTATTCATTATCTTCCTTCAAATCTATATTCCCTGCTCTACCCTTTTCAAATATCTTTAACCTTGTTGGCCCAATTATAAATGTGGTTTCAGCAACTCTACTCCCTCTTTGATCCTGTTCATGGCACTCAGAAGTTGCAGCAGCAGAACTTATCTGCTGATGAAATTGACATTCTCGAACAGAATTTCTTGAGATACTTGTTTCAGGTAGGCTTATTTCAACCCTGCTGATTGCACCAACCGACCCTACTCCCTCTTTTCTCTCCCTTTTTCTTTCCTTCGTTTCTTATTTTATCTCACTATGAAGGTTATGGAAAAAAGCAATTTTAAGATAGCCACCGAGGAAGAAATCGATGTTGCACATTCAGGGCAATATCTACTCAATCTTCCGATCACAGTTGATGACTCCAAGGTATACTGTTTGAACTGCCTTAGATCTGTATACAAGCATATCATGTCACGCATAGTGTGTCAAATAATGTTTTGCTGATGTAGCTTGATAAGAAGCTTTTGAAGACTTACTTTGAAGCCCATCCTCACGAGGACCTCCCGGATTTTTCAGATAAGGTATCTCTATCTCCATTTTCCACAAACTATTTTTATTTTTTAATACTTTATCCTCCTAAACCTTTTCCAAATGTAAGATTGTTATTCCAAATTGATATAGAGTGAATAATCCCAATTATGCTTGTTTTCCCTGTAGTACATAATCTTCCGACGTGGGATTGGCATTGACAAGACAACTGATTATTTTTTTATGGAGAAAGTGGATGCAATGATTGCACGTTTCTGGGCCTGGATTTTGCGAAAGACCAGGTCATTGATATTCTGTATCACTATAAACTTCCATTTTTGGCTCTTGTCTTCCTATCCTCGATTTTCTTCTTTCAAAGGTCATCTGGTTTGTCAGTTATATGACTTTGAATTCTAAGCAAGCAGTCTATTTCTACTTGCAGATTAGAGAAGGTTTTGTCGAGGAGATCAAATTCACGGAGTAAGAAGGATTCCAGAAAAGATAATGAAATTATCTCTGAAGCAGAAGATGATGCATTATATGTTGAACGCATACGTCTTGAAAATATGGATCTCAGGTTCTTCTAGACTTTTGTTGTAATATGAAGCTTTACTGAAGAATATGGAAATCCTTTTCTTATGCTAATGTTACCTAGTTAATGTTCATGTGATTCTGCAATGATGTTGGATCCATAGTTTTGGTCAGGTGGTTGATCTTTTCTTTCTTGAGTCTCTCCTAGTATAGGCACATAACTCACTATGATCCGCAGGATATGTAAGGATGATTTGTTAAGGATTTTTTGTAGTTTGAGAATCTGTTTAGATTGTGACGACAAAATTTCATCTTGAACAATTTAACTTGACAGATTGTTGAGTTGAACTGCAAATTCGTTTTCTGTTCACGCTTCTTCAATTTTTTCCTCACGAGCTTGGGTTAAACACGAGTGTGATGCTAAAACAGTCATGTCCAGTGTATTATGACTTAGGTGTTGATTAATGTTATCTTATTAATGTTTTAATTTGTTTTGTGTTGCTTCAGTTTCCGCAATCTGTCAAGTAAAATCACAATTCAAGAACCCACCTTTGACAGGATCATTGTTATATACAGGTATCCGTTTGATGCTTATTATAACATTTTTTGTCTGTTGTAGTCTCTCTCTTAATTTTGTTTTATTTGTTTTTTTTACTGTCCAACCAAGTGCTACAGCATTAAAATTTGTGACATGTTACTACGCTTTGTTTCAAAGCTCCTTTTCTGCTTATTGCTCAACTGGACTCTTCTATGCTCGTATCAATTCTTGTAGCCAAGGAATTTACTGAATTACTTGTATTGTAGCAAATATGTACCTAAATATATGGGCTTACATAATAAACAAATTAAGAAAAGTTAAACCCCACCCATTGTATATGAAAAGATCTCACTTGGGGTACTGTTTACCCCTGTTCCATTGTTAGTCACCAAAATATATTTGTTTTTCTTGTTCAAATTCGAAGTTCAACTGACGATGGATGTTGTGCAGGCGAGCAAGTTCTCGAGTTAAAGCAGAACGGGGCATATATGTGAAGCATTTCAAAAATATCCCTATGGCTGATTTGGAAATTGTCCTTGTGGGTTTTCTTCATCGTCTACCTTGATCATTTTCAATTTTTTTAGGTGATGGCATATTCTGCGAAGCTTGTTATTAGGTACTAAACACATTCTCAACATTCCATTTTCTTCTAATAGCCAGAGAAGAAAAATCCAAGTTTAACTCCAATGGACTGGGTCAAATTTCTTATATCTGCAGCAGTTGGACTGGTTAGTTAGCTTATTACATGTTTAGTTTCATTTTAGTGATAAAACAATTTATGAAATATATTATGGTGCATTCTTTCAGGTTGCGGTTGTAGGATCCGTTGAAATGCCTAAAGCTGACCTCTGGGTCATGTTTGCTATTCTTTCCACAGTGATTGGTTACTGTGCTAAGATTTACTTCACGTTAAGTGTTTCCCCCTTTGGACTTTTATGTGTTTGATTTTTTTTCAAAACGGAAGTTGCAATAAGCTGCAGCAATAGTTAATGGTCACTGTTTTTATTCTCCGAAAACATTTTTTTGTCCCCCCTGGAAAAGTTTGTGTTTGTTATCTCCTCCCTCCAAAAAAGACCCATTCTTCATCTACACAAAACAGAGGCCACTGCACATTAACATCATTTTATTATCCAATTGATACATGAACGTCTATGGATAAAGAACGTCTATCCAAAATAAAACAAACCCAAAGACTGTCTCGTCCTATTCACAAATTCCTTCCATCAAACATCTTTTCGGGAAAGTGAGATTATTGTCTCCTGGATGTGAATTGAATGATGATGTTTGTGAAATTTCGCGTGTTTCTTTGATTACATTTCTAATCATTTCGAGTGTTTACTTCAGTGGCTATTTGCTTTGAAAATGGATTTGACTTCTTTGTACTACTGCCACTGAAATTTTTTAGTTGCCAGGTTTCAACAGAATATGACTACATATCAGAACCTTATCACACAATCAATGTACGACAAGCAATTGGATAGTGGGAAGGGCACTCTTCTACACTTGTGCGATGATGTAATTCAACAAGAAGTAAGACCCTTGATAGACATGCATCAGTACAACCATTGAGACTTAAATGTAAATTGAATGTTTATTTCTGTGTGTTTTCCAATTAGTTTCATGGAACTTGCATGGCTTTAGGAATTCATTTTTCTCCCAATGAGCTTTCATTAGTCCAACCCTTGATATTAGAAACCCGGAAAATATTTAAAACATTATATATTGTTGTTTGATATGAAATGCAGTTGCTGATGAATTAATGCCACAAATGTGCAGGTAAAAGAGGTCATAATTTCATTTTTCATATTGATGGAACAAGGGAAAGCTACTTTGGAGGTATGAAGAGCTGGTAGCTAGATATTAACGTATTTTTCACAAGTAACTGATCCTGAGTTTTTCATCCTTACAGTTTGAGATATATAAATCTGACATTCTTATGATGTATATAATAGGATCTTGACCAGCAATGTGAAGAATTAATAAAGGATGAATTTGGTGAAGACTGCAATTTTGATGTTGATGACGCAGTTCACAAATTGGAGAAATTAGGCATAGTATCTCGGGTAAGATTCAGTTTGCATTTTGATTCATCCAAATTAAATTTTGACATGACGCTGAAACTGACTAGCTTGTAATTTTGATGTTAGGACACAATTGGAAGGTATTACTGTGTTGGCCTAAAGCGTGCTAATGAGATCATAGGCACAACTACTGAAGAACTTGTCCTGAAAGCTAAACAAGGTTCCCTTTCTGCTTAATATTCGAAGCAACATCTGTAGTAGCCCACAGATTTATCCGATTGATTGGTTATTGTGTATAATAAGAAAGGCATGGCTTTGTTGTTTGTTAACACTGGCGTGGCGTGCGTGACTGGGTTGGATAGCAATCATATCACTGCATTGTTGTTTGCCACCACATTGAATTACATTTTTTCTTGCATTTCTTTTTTTGTGAATTTCTAGTGATGGTGTTTCTTCATTCATTTACAAACTATCATATTCCCACACATCTTAATCTTACGGTGATATGTTTGTACCACGGTGAAACCCCTCTGTATGTATGCTTCTGCAAAATCACTTTTATGATCGAAGAATTATTTGTTCCTTGGTTTTCCTTTTCTGCTTGGAGATTGTTGGGCATCAACTCTAAGAAAACAAAAGAAAGAAAAATATAAATGGAAAGAGCTTAAAACATAAAAGCTCTTGAATGACAGAACTTCTACGATGAAGATGCTTAAGCTTTTTGTTTACGGCTTCATTTCCAATGTCATTTTTTTCTCGTCCCAACTCAAAGAACAATCACCTGAACCGTAAGTATAAGTCTGACCAGAATCACTCAATATTTAGTCAATTTTCTCACCCAAACCTCCAATCTCATTGGTTTGAATTCTCTCGTGTTTTCCTCGCTCGAAATTGGATCTCACTCACTCACTAAAGAATACATATCTGAAGAAACTAGGAAGAGATTCAAATGAGTTTGTTTTGCCCTCTTTCTCACAGAATGGTTTGCTATATTGATGGAAAATAAAAATTGTCTCAAAAGTAGAGAACATAAATTGTACAACCATCGTCATAGTGAAACACACATATCGCGGGGAAATGCCAAGAAACATTCAATACGGTAGTACGACCGGAAGAGAGAAAAAAAGAAAGGGAAATAGGGTATGGGAAAGAGGCATAGTCTAAATACTTCAAATGGATGGTGGGTATTAAAGTAGAGGGAACCAACGATCAAAATTCAGGATCTAAAAGTGTTCTCAAGTTATCCGAGCCTTTTGTGCTGCTAGGCTTTGAATGTTGGGCCTCAGAGGAGAAAGGGTTTAATGGGCTAGATTTTACTAATCCATCTGGGCCCAAAAATCCAACTTGGTTTTTTCGTTTCAAAAAAGTTTAAATGATCATGTTAAAGTGAAAATGAAAAGTAATAAAGAAAAATATTTGAATCATGGAGTATGTATAAGGAGCCACCATAATCCAGGTAGGTCCAACTCAAACTTCACTATATTTTTACAAGAACATTAAATAATAGAGAGATGGAAAAGAAAAGGAAAAAAAAAAAAAAAAAAAAATCCAACTGCTCTTTATACAATTATCCAACAGCTGGATGAACTCTTTACTTTGTTGGTATATTTTGCATAAACCAAAACATTGACATTTGACACTAGTAGTTATTATTTAGAAGCCCTAAAAAGCTGGCTTCCCAAGGTTACAACGGGGGTCCCTTCCCCCATGATGGTTGTTAAGCTCATTTCTTTCTCAAGAATCCGATCAAGTTCCGTTACAAGATAGCTCATCGGAGGGCGCCTCTCACTTGAAGGATTCAAGCAATGCACTATCAATTGAATCAACTCTTCCATCCCTTCTCTTGTAAAGCTATTACCCAATCTCCCATCAATCATACTGCTCCCACATTCCTGATTATTTTGCACCTGCCAAAATCAAAATACATCAATGATAAGCTGATAATAATTGTACTTTCTTCTGTGCAAATAAAATATATAGAACTTTGAACTCCGTACCCAATCAACCAGACTCTGATCGGCATTTGAAGAAGACATCAATTCTCGTGCTTCCTGCCCGCTCACTAACTCCAAAAGAAACACCCCAAAACTGTAAACATCACTTTTATCCGAAAATCTTTTGAATTCAGTCACCCTGCACAAACAGGTACATGAAAATTAAATCACTAACTATCAAGAACATTAAAATTGAAAGGAGTCAGCAAACAGCAGGTGTATTATTACTCTGGAGCAAGGAAAATCCGATCAGCTGTCAATTCAGAAGAAGATGGGCCTTCATAATCAAACTTCCCAAGAAAATTGCGTAACCCGGCGTCTGCTACTTTAGCAATGAAATTCTCATCTACAAGAACATTTGATGTTTTGAAATCCTTATGTATCAACCTAGGACTGAGGGAGTGCAGGTGTGCCAAACCTGCATATGCACACTTCAACTTATGGATGAGATTGAGACCATAAAAGCATTCTCTTAGCAGAAACCAATTCGAGATCTTGCAGAACCTTATAAAAGTGTTTGTTTGGCCATCTTTGCCTTTAATGTTTAATTCCCTTTTCAGCAAATGACCAAATAAATTAATACCAGGAAAGCCAAATGCTCACTGATTTTGCAGAAGATCACCTTTAGCTGCCCCAAGAGCTATTGAAAGCCTGTGCTTGAATTCCAGCTTTACTTGCGAAACCTGACCAGCACCTGGGATTGAGAATTCAGAAATGAGGATATTTTAAGATGTATTCATGATGAACGGGAATAATAAAGAGGCTAGGGGGGGTTCAAGGAGAAGAGAGAGAATAGGGCACGGACATATTGGAAGCTTTAGGGGGATAAGATTTTTCATGGTTCATCAGTCAAACACATGAACTTTGATGGAAAAAGTACCATGTTATAAGAAATTGAGGTGATATACCTAATTGAGCTTGTTAAACTTACACCCACACATACATACAGAGGAAAGAATGGAGAAAGGTTAATTACCATATAAGTGAACCGAAACACTTCCATTGGGTATGTATTCATAGACAATAATCTGTAGATCATTTTCCTGGCAATAACCTAAAAGCGTGACCAGATTTCGGTGTTGAATAGATGAAAGATATCGGACCTGATAAGAAATGAATCTCGAACTCAGTCTCAATCTATAATTAATCAAGACTGAAAACACCGAACTAATGAATTTGCTGTTGAATGTATGTCGAGTTTAGTAATTCATAGTAAAAATGAAAATGTAACAAAGAAATTCTGACATGCACGTTCATCATAATTTTAGTTTCAAATGGAAAAAAAGTAATATCAAAAAACAAGGGAAATTAAAGGGGATGAGAATAATGTCTCTCAACATGAAACAGCCACGTGTTAAATGTTAAGTGGCAGTACTGCCATACAAGCTAACGGAAATACCTCATCAACGAACTCCTGAGTAGGGGTACCGGGCCGCTTTTTAATGGCTACAAGTATCCCATCATGGAGCAATCCTTTGTACACCTCACCAAATTTTCCTTGCCCTATCAAACTTTGTTCACTAAAATTCCGTGTTGCCAATGACAACTCACCCATCTCATATCTCCTGGCATCTCGCAAAGTAAATTCAGTCCCAACACTTGTCCCCACTGCAACATTAAATATAATGTTGTCACTATCTGATGATATCTTGTGATTATGATTTGGTGGACATTAAATGTATGTAAACAACAATTACCTTGTATAGATGGATCAGAAGAACCTGTCTCAGATGTTCCCGAAACATTCCTACGATGAAAAATGAAATACCAAAGAAGTATTAACAGTATCCCCAGCAATGCCACCCCTCCTGCAGCACCTCCTAAAATTGGTGCAAGAGTCCTTGACATTTCGTGTGCTATTCACTTCAGCTACGTACCTGGGATGTACTTCTGCTCAAAAGAGCAAACTATCATACATGGACCCTGAAATTAGGTTTTGCATAAAAGTAGAATAAAAAATGAATTTCAGTAGGGAGATGATGCCGAGCATTGATGGGAAATGAAAATTTACAGTTGCAGGCTTGTGGCATATGGCGACAAAGCAAAGCTTTTTCACGAATAATACTAATGAAACACATTGCCGTAATGTTACTAAAAAAAAAAAAACTTGCTTAATTATGGAAAGTTTTCTCATGCAGATTACGACTACTAAATTGCTGAATACGAGGCGTCGATTGCAGAATTTGGAAACAAATGGTATATGGAAGGGTTGAAATAATAGAAAAATCAATGCGCAGGATATAAATGACCGAATAAAGATGAAATGAAGACAGTAGACAAGCAGCATTGGTTGGACTTGGAAAAGTAAAAATTGAAATTTGAATGAGAACAAGGCACATTTGAAGTAGTCAAGCAACCAGCAAATGAGCAAAACAATCAGTCTCAGAAAGTAGAGTAATGAATTAGTTTTAAGTTGAATGAGAAATGATCCTAAGTCATCATAGGGTGCTGCAAGGTTAGTCATGTCAAGTTAAAGTTAACAAAAGAAATTGAAAAAACAGTAAAAAAGAAATGGAGAATGTGGGAAAAGCCGAACCTGAAAGTGTTTTAGAACCCCAAGTCCATGTGAATATCGGAAAATAAACAATTGTCAGAAATGAGCACACAGCATTCGAATTCCTAGGCCAATTGAGCAAGGGGTGGATCTATGGATTGATCGGGGAATGAAAAATTAGAATTTCATCATCAACGGAGAGTCGGAGTAAGACAGAAGAGAGAATGCAGAGAGAAAGGGACCTGGCACCGACAAGAAGCTACAGCAGAAATTAATTTCAGGAATTTACAAAATACACAAAAAGAAAAGAAAAGAAAAGGAAAAGCGATAGAGCCGTTATTCCGGGTGAAGAAATAGATGACAAGGGATAAAGGAGGAAAAGAGAACAACCTCCTCCTCCTCGCCTCCGGTGACTATGACTATGAGAGAGAAGAATAATGAGAGAGAGAGGGGGTGGGGGCTGGGTTTATAATTTGTAAATGATGTATAGCTGTTTTTTCTTTCTTGTATGGGTTGTAAAGTAGTAGAATGGGGTTGTCTGATACTGCAACTTGGAACCACTCTTTTATTTTTTCTCCCTTCTCTCTCTCTCTCTCTCTCTCTCTCATCTCTTCTCTTGTGTTTCTTCTTCTGCCTACTTACTGTGAGTACGATTACCATTTTTTACCATTTCCCAGAGTTCAATACTCTATTTGTTTCTCTAACTTATGTAACATTATTTTCACCCAGCCCCACTTGCCACTTACTTATCCCTCTCTCTCTCTCAAAATAAAGTGGCTTTGCATTCTTTAGGCGGATTCTGTCTGTAATAAAAGTCATATAATAAACTATCAGCCTGCCATTTAACCGGCTAATTCACACTAATACTAATACTTTTATACATAATAAATAAATATTTTCGAATATGTAAAAGAGGCACTTGGTGGTTGGTGCTACCATCAGCTAGCTAGCCAGCTAATATGTTGACATTGCTCCTCTACTCATTTATATCTCATCATATGCTTAATCATTCCTTAATTGTTGTAACCACGATCTCAATAACAATAATTTATTTTTATTAATTAAAAGCAGTTAAATATGATTAGACAGGCAAGCCAGTTATAGCAACCGCAACAACTACAAAATAAATTACAATTTCAAGACCAATTCATTGGACTCTGCTGCTGCTGCTGCCCTGAGTCCTTAAATCCAACATTGCGGGCAGAGCACAATATATCTCACTTGCAAGCAACACTCTTCTTCTGTCAAATTTAAATTAATAAGCCTTTGAATTTGATTCATCTTCCTCCTTGAGTGACAAAATTGCTGAATTTACAGGATATTATTAACAAATTACTAGCACGCTGCTAGCGTGCTCTCCCTCAGATTGGATGCTCTATACTTTTATAGCATTGTCTCAGCTGCACGCTGCTGCTTTTATGTCATACATTGCAACACACCACCAAGCTGCTGCAGTCTAATTGCAATAAACCAAATTTGGAATATTACGATGGTTATCGGCAAATTCTCTCAGCAAACGTTTTAAAAGTCTTCCACCCTCCCCTTGCATATGTCCTCCACGATTATTCGTTTCTCCTCCACATTGTCTTCTGCTCTCAAGATATTCTGATGCTGCACCAACAACAGCCTTCACCCAAATTGGCACTAACGATTCTACTTCACCCGCTTTTAGGTACTCAGCAGGCAGCGTCTGCAACTGAAAATTAAATTATCCAACCTCCAGATACTATATTATTACAATACACATCACCACTAGGATAAATTAAAACCAGAGAGAGAGAGAGAGACTAACAGCAGCGTACAGCCATCGGTGTAAAATTTCCCAGCAAACAACAGTTTTCCACTCTCTTCTTTCACTTAAACTGCATACTGCACCCAATTGTTGGAGTATAGTCGCCGCTTTGTGAACCTACAAGAAGAGACTGTAATCAACTGTTTCTAGAATAAAGCAGGTCACTCTCATTTATTTCTATGTATGACCAATTTCATGAACATGGCAGATATTTGACTGATATTAATCCAATTTCAACAGCTACTCTTCAGATAAATAACTTATCACTGGAGCCAGCTTTACGTATCGGGGAATTTTCAACCAAGAAATACCTAAAATCTTATAAATTATAATTGACAGTTTACCCTTGACATTGCAGAGACACCAAGTAGAGCATACACCAGATTCGATATTATACCCTCGGAACTGAGAGATATGACCCTTATCACCATATCTTGAATGGATCTTCCAGGAGTAGAAGCCTCAGGTTCCACCAAAAAAGCAACGCCAACCTCGAAGAAGCCTGAGAAGCTCAAGCATAAGTTACAAATGCAGCAAGACCGTAATAATTTAGAGTATAACCTAGTCAACCTAAGAAAAGACGACTGATCTAATCAATCAGGTACAGATGGCGGTTCGCTAGTAGGGAGATCATCAAAGACTTGATCAACTCTAATCATTTTGTTTGCTAAGTTTACCAGACACAACCACACCAACACAAACATTTAAAAAGTTGCTTTTGTCATAAACTGTCACTATACCTTTCAGAGATGATTCAAAATTTTCCTCATGGTACAGGTGGACTACAATAGATTACCAGAAGAGAAGAAAGAGAGGGCACATAAAAGTATTCTAGTTTTAACAAGGCTTACAGATCATATATGACATTGCTGATAAAGCTGCACCACGATGCAAAGCTGTACAACAAATCCCTGCTTTCTGCAACGATACTTGAAAAAGAGAACCAGAGGCAGCTAATACTTCCTGAAATGTAAATTGCCTTTTTTTTCAATTGAGCGCCATGACAAATCAAAATATATAATGATCAATAAATCATAGAAGCGTGGTTAAGTCATTTGTTTTACCACATGGGTGATCAATAAATCGAAAATGCTATTAACATGATCATTGGGCACCTTTGGACAACTGCGCACATATGCAGATGCAAAATTTGTGTAGGCCTCAACCAGATCAGGCTCTTGGTCGCAGATATATGAAGATGTAAGAGCCATTACTGATGTTGAAGAAGTAAATCTTTCAAACGTTCTGATAAATAGAGGTCCATATTCCTCCTTACTGCCAAATTCTTCAACAATGACAGAAGCTGAAAACAACTAACGATAATGAGACCTAAAAGAGCAGAGAAAGAGGGAAATCTACAGATGACTCGCTAAGATAAAAGGGTGTTTGAAATATCCTACGAGGAGACACATTGGATAACTCAATAGACCACCAAGACCACTCATCATAAATATTTCACCTGTTCTAATGTAGCACTCATGACTTTGGAATGATATAAAATTGGATGACATAGAGTCGAGCACCTTTGGCAATAGTATCCCAAATTTTTGACCTGCAAATGAACCAGATGATGTTAGCCGCCTCATTTATAATTTTGACAGACGTTATGTTTCCTGATGACTTTATTTTCAAATAATGATATTCTGATAGAAAACTTCTTTCTGTATCATGGATTTTGAGTGACATGAAAAATATTGACTAGGTAGAAGGGTGTCGCCGTGGTGCCAAAAAAACAAATGACAACTACGAAACCTGATGCCTGTATTGCTAGTGCAAGAGCTCTGCAAGCAGCCGTAGACAAGCTCGCACTTTCAATATGTTTGGACAAAAAGAGCTTCTCCAACATTGGCCAAAAGACGTCAAGTAATTCAAGGATAGACTCATCGGGACCGAGAGCATGAGATAAATGGGTTGTTAGATAACTGAATACAGTTCCAATCCTGCAATATGTCAGCAACGTGATTGAGCAACGACCGCAATATCTACATATGCATCAATCTCTAAAAAGATATAAAAAACACACAAGCAAGAAAATCAACATATAAGTGGTACGCAAAAATAAAAGAAGACGAAACAGTTGCACCTGCTCACTCAAAAGATTTGATTTTGCCCAGTTAGGTCATTACATTTGAATACCTTAATGAAAGTACTAAGTAGTGAAGTCATGATAAACAAGGATCCTAATGGACAAAGAGAACGATATTGGTTCATAGAGTTCGAACATGATCAAGCCACGTTTCCTATGTTTCTATGATGTGATAGTTCATCTGCTTCCGGAAAGTAAGTCTCGATGATAGTCTTGTTTTCCGTTTGACAGTTTGCTTTTTTGTTATAATTCCCTTCACAACAGAGATAATCCATTGACAAATGCAATGGCAGGGTACTTCTCATAGTCCTGCTTAGAGAAATCGTCCAAATAACCGATCTCTTACCCCGACTGGGTACATACTTCACCCGCATACAACTTTAATATCAATTATTCACAATTATAGTGTTATACCGCCGTTGGACTTTTAAAAGTAGAAAGTCAAGCTTAAACTATCCATGTTCATATGTTTAACCTATGGAGTTGAGAAAACATTTTAGCAGATGACAAACTTTTCCAGATATGCTGTTTTAATGTAAAGTGATCTGGCAATATTCCAAGATAATGTAAGAGCAGTCAGCAATGTTATATAATTTCCATTTTCTAATACTACTATATTCAGCACACACCGGACAAAATGTAAGAAAAATATAATGAATAAAATGTTTTGCTGATTTTGAAAAGGTTAAGGGAATGTAAATGAAATAGTCTACTGTACCAGAAAAGTTTGAGATGAAACCAGTTACAAAGCTAATCTGGTGTGAAAATGTAAATTATGAAAAGGCAAACAAGTAAGGTCGAAATTTTGATATTCTATTATGATTCATAAATATCTGATTTTCATTTCTAATACCAAGGGTTGAGGGAGTAATCTTTAAAATACACCTCTATAATGTCACTGAAGATCATAATCTCACATCTTGTCATGAATGAAGCATCAAACACCATAGAATTTCTACTATCGGGTGAAAGGTTGCGCATAAATAGCTGACTGACAAATTTGTTACTGTACACATACCAAATAGAAAATGACTTCAGTATTTCCAGCGAACAGTCGTATAGGATCCAGTCAAGACTCAAAGAATAATCAACATAGCTAAACTTGGGCTAACTAGCTCAAAATGCATAAACCCATGTTGAGAATTGAGAGCTACCCAAGGCCTTATAAATCACTCGCATAAGTCCTCAAAGAAGCATAGGAGTTATATGTCATCCTAGGTGCACATATGAATGGATAAACTTCTCAAAAAAGGACCATGGATAAGCACAAACAGTGCAACATCAAACCTATGTAGTCCTCTTCCTGCTGAGCTGATTGATTCAATATAAGTAGACGGGTTTTGCCTCAAAGCATGTACATTATCTTCCTCAATCTGAATCAGCGTAGAAGGAACTTTTAGTAACTTTAAATTTACAAAACACGATAAACAAAGATAAGACTATATTAAGTAGTTCCACTGATTCAAGGTACCTCAATGGAAGATATGAAAGCTCAGATAAAACATTGTAAGAAATAATTAAAAACTTTTTCAGCATAAACTATGCCTCATTATAAAGGAAATGGATGGGAGATTAATCAACTTCAATGGAGCAACACAAAAATATACGGTTCATCTACTCTCCAGAAGGAAATCATATTAATTTTTCCATACATAGTACAGGAAGGTCAAGAGGGATGGCACATCCTTGTATAGATGATGGTCCAGGTGAATCATGCAAGATGTTCAGAAGTTCTTACGTATCACATCACAGTAAACGAGGGAGATAGAATCCTTTGAATTCAATGCAATCCTATATCTGCCTATTGGCTGCCGTAATTGTTAAAAAAAGATAAGTGAATAGAAATTAAAAGAAAAAGGGAAAAATAGATGAATCATCCAAAACCCAGAACTAGGACCAAGCAATCACCATTAGTACCACGGACTGCAATTTGACACCAAGAAAAATATAGTGAGTAGTCACTTAACCCTCAGAGTTCAAAAAATTATAGAAGGGAAGACCCGAATTGAATATTGAAAAGGATTATTGAAGTTAGATCTTGCAAGTTGCAACTGCTATGGCATGCAAAGTAAGATAAGGAGTGGCTCGAGAACAAATGCTTCACAATGAGTAGAGTATACATTAAGCCGTAAACAGAATGAACGTTAAGGAGTTCAATTTAGATGCCTCGGTAAGAAATTAGAAGATGAAAATAAAACTTACAAGTTTCTCAATAGTCTCATAAGATGGAGAAAGGAATCTAACAAACAAGTTATACATCAGCTTCTTGTCAGGGATAGAGCAAAATATCAGTGTGATGGCACCAACTACTTCATCCTCATCCTCCAAGGGCAACTTCCTCTCTTCCAACCCCTACAGCCATTTCTATGGATAGTTACTAAACAAGAGATATACATGTGTGCAGGTGCACACAGGCATTTATGGTTAAGACACTATTGTCTGCATCACCGTACAGAAAATTTCAATACACCCTAAATAACTTGCTCAATTATGCGAACATTACACTTATTATTTTGTAGAATGGTACTGAAATCTACTTTGTTTTACATAAACTGTATTTTTTTTTGTGAATATTAACTTCTGAAAAACAACAGATCATCAAAGACCAGTAGTTAATTTTTTTCCTCGTACATCAGGCAAGATATTGTTTGTTATAATTAAATTGTAAAAACCTTGTAATCTACTTAAAAACAGGAGACTCAAAATAAAAAAAGGTACCGTTCATTGAATGCATTGGCTTAACTTTTAGATATCTCTTAAACATTACCACCCCTTTCCAGATTAAGATTACAATAATAGCCCCCAATATATGAACACCTAAAGTTTTTTTATTGAATATCAATAAAACTGACCTCCCCCATCCAAATTAAGATTTCCAAATTGGAAAGTCCGTGCAAAATTTCAGCAGCTTCCTCACAGAATTTGCGAAATGCAACAGCACAAGCACTCGAACAAAATGGTTGACGAATCCCAGTACCGAAAAATAATCTGAAATAATAAGTCAAGTACAGACGTTTATGATAATGCAAATTAAATTGTAGGGAAGGGACAACGGAGGTTGTTGCAATATATAATAAACACTTGATTGTATGGTATGAAAGAGAAGGTATAAAATCAGATTGGTTCTTCTGATTTTTACCAAGTACAGCATATAATACTTTATCTTTGCACTGGTTAGACATATAACAAGTGAAAGCATGCCTGAGAAAATTACTGCAATGCTGTACAGCAATAGCAAGTAAGGAAGCATTTACATCAATGGTCTAGTGTTCGTTTGAGGGGCCGACATCCACTTAGCATAGGAACCGATGACATCTGCAAGTGATTTGTATACCTGGGGAAGAAAGGATTCAAGACTTTGCTTAAAAAGAGGTATTTTGATTTTCTTGCTTCAAACATCTGAGCTAAAAAACACAAAGAATATCAGAGAAAGAATCAACACAATAAACAGAAGACATACAATGCATGTAAATCCCCTGAGATCAGCAGATGCCTTGCTCGACAAAATCATCACCAATTGCATAATAATGGTGATATCAAAATGATGCCCCTCCTTAAGAACAACTTCAGCAACCTAAAAGGAGCTTGTACTCAGAAATCTATAAACAGATAGATACGGACTTCTCGATCCAACAGAAAGGGAGATCTCAGCTGGTACAAAATTATGACCGCACTTGTAAAAGTACAAGAAATTAAAGTGTTGCAGGACACTACTCACTTACAGCATTAAGCATGAATAATTTGGCTTCAACGTCTTTCCATGCAATATGCATGCTGGAAGACATCCAACTCCCAAGAAAGATCTAATATATTTTAAGATGAAAATGTTAGGGCTGAAATACAGGTATAATCAACTATCAATTAGAATCAGACTTTATATAGACACATGTGTTTTGCTTCATAATTACTAGACATACTATGGACATAGAAATACACTGATATTGCTTTTATTATCATAGCAATAGACACAATTTATATTATGAAGAACTTAACCGCACATATTTCACAATTTATATGTTTTTAGGATGAATCATGCACTCGTCACCTTCTGAATAAATAAAGCAGACCCTAATAGCTGACAAGTATCCACCAAGAGTTCCACCAAATTCATCCTAAATTGTTCGAGGCCATTAGGCAGGTCAAGGATACATCCATTGTCATTATATGTGGAATCATCAACCTGGAGAAAGTAAAAGCTAAATTAAGAAGATAAAGGGAAAAAAAACAAAATATAGTTAATTAATGGACCAATAACATTTTTGAGGAAGGGTGTGATAATTTGGGACAATTACGATCATCGTCAAAATTTGATACATAATTAAGCTTTTATGTCTCCTAGATTACAGAAGTTCAAAAAGAAGAAAACAGTATAATATTTAAGTGCGATGCTATGGAGAACATTGGGTTAGACATCTTAATCTTAAGAATGTGGCATAACTGAAAGGAAATCACAAGAGGGCCACAAATCATAATACCCAGTCTACAGGTGAAGGCATATATTTTTTACTTGTTTCTAAATGTCTTCAAGTCCTAACAAGTCCTTTAAATTTATAGAATACTCTGACACTCTGACCCAGTATAGATGGACGATTTTCAGTAAACCTCCCAATTGATTATATGTGGTGCACTTCAAATACCAAAAAAGGGGAATAGAGAAAACATTACAGAAATAAGGACCCTACACAGTAATTTTATTCGAGTACTAACTTCTAAGACTTCTTTTCAGTTAGCATTTCATCTTCCTAACTCAGCAAAGGGATCTGATGACTGTAAACAATAGGAATTAACACCTCCCATTAGCATTTTCCACAATTTATTTTCATAAAATTCTGCCAGCAACAATTGCATATGAAAACAATATCCTGCAGAGCACATGATTAAGAAAAAAGTCAAAAAGACTGCACTTATAGATGTAGAAGTTTTGCATTCATTTCTTGACACTACCCAGAAAAAGGTTGCTCAAAACAATGGAGCATCATCAAGATACCAAATTGGAACATTTCCTAAGAAATGAAGTGTCATTCAGGAGAAACAACTAAGACAAAATCATTTCATAGGGAACACGTTAAAGAACATAGCAGCAACTGAAATAAGCTACGAACATGAAACTACAAAAGTGAGAAACAGAGAATATTACACAGTAAGACCTCGGTATATGCCAAAAGTACTTTAAAAATGCTATTATATTCGTAGTGCGAGAAGAGTTCATCTGAAGAAAAAACAGACCTTAACACGCAACAAAAGAGCATCGACCAAAGCTGAGAAAATAGGAACAAAGCATTCCTCCAAGTTCTTCCTATTTTCAGCATCATCCACTTCAAGCCCAAGAATGTAACCAGCAAGGCTACACCTAGTGTGGAGAAAATAGGGGGCTCAGTATGCAACAAAAAGTTAAATTATAACTTTTTCGTATTATTCCGTACATGTAACTGAGAGAACATAAAATTATAGAATGTACCAAAACTGTAAAGTCGAGTCTGCAATTTCCCAATCCTCACTCGGAAATCTTATACAACTGGCAAGACATATATATGTGTGTAACAAAAATTAAAAAATCTAGTGAGATACAAAATTTTCCAAAGAACGCCTTAATTATAAAATTGTCGAAAACAATAAATCAACCTCAAGAGACCATCAGCCAATGCAAGTGCATCTGGGTTTGCTTCCATTATCAGAAAGGGTATCTGACACACAATTAGACAGGTTACTCAAAAGTACTTTCACAAAAATAACGACGACGACGACGACGACAATCAAAAGAATTATAATAATAATAATAAAATTAAATAAAAAAGTAGTAGTAGTAATATTAATAATGATCAAAAGAAAAATGGAATGATTAGACCAAGATGTCAAAATGTAGTAGATGATTAACAGGAAATTAATTTTTCTTTTTTTTTTGTTCGAGTATTAAGTTTCTTGCCAACAGGATTAAGTCAAGGTATTGTACACTAAATATAAATTTGGATACTCACAGCTTGACCAATTTCCGACAACAAGCATGCAAGTCCACCTATCACTTTCTCATCTCCACTTTTAAGAGCAGGAAAAAGAAGTGCTTCCTTGAGAAGTCCAATTCGGCATAGTAAAACCTGTGACAGTCCCTAGTAGAGCAAAACCAAAATGGTGTCAAGTGTAACTGAACAACATATTCTATTGTGAAATGAAAGTTATAATCTTTTAAGCAAAGGAAAAGAAATCAGCCAATTAGGTCAGAAATAAAATTTATAGACAAACAAGCTAGAAAAATAAGACCATGCTTGTAGAGGCAATGAATAAAAAATAGAAATCAAAAGCCCAACAAAAGAGCATTAACATCAAATCTTCTATTTTGCATCAAGACTCGTTTCCGTCAGTTCTACATAAGAGAGTTTATAAATATTTTATTGGTTGGTGGTGAAGATAGCAGTTTGGATAAGGAAATGACGTCTTTGACCGCACTTCGATAAAGACAACCCAATCAACTTGATTTTTTTTAATAATACAATGGTTATTTACTTAGGCTTGGAGAGATTGGAATTGTTACTATTTTTCAGTGCTCCTACTCAAAACTTCAAATGAATTACACAAAAGAGTTCGGTAAGACAACTGGATGCAGTCAATAATAGGAAGCCTAGTTCAAGAGTTGCTTTCATTACTTACTTTCCTCGGTTGTTGTATTGATAATAGCATTAGCGAACCTAGCAGCACATGTGCTATTTCAATAAATATATTTAGACAATTTTGACATTTTGTTGCATGAGTTGCTCCGTTAGCACCCCCAGGCGCATGGAGACTACTTAGCACTAACAAACAAGATTTTGGAGCCAGTTAATTCCAAAAATAAATTATAGCAGCTATCATTGAAAAACACTACTTTACACCATTAACCACGTGGAGCTCATAACTGATCTCATAAAGATAGACAAACTAACACAACAACTGGAACAAAATTGGATTAATAACTGATCTCATAAAGATAAACAATTTCACACAACAAATGGGACATAATTGAATTGAAAATGGGAATATTCAAACTATTCAAAAGTACTTAAATGAACAAGATTCCTATTATATCCTCCGTTGCACTTACACGTTAACGTTTTAGCAGAGTCGTCCTAATCCTTCAAAAAGATCTATTAATTTTGTCAATATGACAAGTTATGTTGCAGTTAAAGTTCAATTTAAAAATTATACGATGTTCTACTCAGGGCTATTATGTCATCTGGAGACTCAGATTGTCATTATTCCCTTTCCCACTAGTTGCTTTGTTGCTTTGATCCAACATTGCCTATCAATTTCTAGCCCAACTACTACGAGGCCACTGCATATTGCAGAAAGGCGTAGAAAAAAAAAGGGAGCTTGAACCAGGTTACACATGAGAACTAAAGGAAAGGGGATTCGACCTATTTAGATTAGTAATTGACGAAATTAAAACTTATTTATTCCTTGAAATCATCCTTTTTCTTAGGATCCATGTTGGTTGTAGATTGTATGCCTCCACATGAATTCTGTAAGTAATATAGCAGTTTATCATGCCAGAAAATAACCTTAGGCAATGTTTGGAAGCGTTTTGGATCTTATTTTGATTTCATTTTGAGGAAATATGTTTTGGGAGAATAATTTGAGAATGAAAGTAATGTTTGTTTGTATTTTGGAAGGAGACAAAATACACTGTAGCAGTCAAATCATGTTTAAAGGTGTTAGAAAAAAGTATTTTTGAAGAAAAAAATTGAAAGATGAAGTGATGTTTTTTTTTTTTTTAGTGAAGACATTTTTTACTGTAGCAGTCAAATCATTTTACTGTAGCAGTCACATCATGTCTGAAGGAGGGAGAAACTTTTGAAATTGTTTTGAGAAAATGATTGGAAAAGTGTAATAAATCCCATTTTGTTTTGGGGAAACAATGAAAACAAAACAAAAATGCATCCAAACATAGCCTTAGCGATTAGAAAAAAGAGCATAAAAAAATGAAGCTAAAATTAGCTTATGATATACCTCATGTCGACTCACAAGCTCAACAAGAGCTTCAACAGCCAGATCAAATGAAGATGCAACCTATTAAATGTAAATAAAGAAGGGATGAAAAACAGCCATACAGATCATTCTCAAGAAACCTTACAAAAAACATTTAAGTAGGGAAAATAGTACCTGCAATGAGCTGAAAACAAAGTTAAAGAGTGGGTGGGAAGGCAAAGAGCCTGGAGGAATCTCCGAAAAACACCCAGCTCGAACCTAAACACATGGAAGTAAAATTTGAAATGGAAACACTGACAACATGCAATGAAGCCGAAACATACTGCACAGTAGAACATGTTTTACGAGACAAAATGCATATTTAACAAGGAGATCATCCAGGGTTTCATAAAAAATAATTTTATATATTCTCTTACCCAACTTAGCAAGCAACGCAATATCTTTCTGCTCCTATCATGGTGTTGAATAAGGCTTTCAAAGCCCTCGTCGATTTGCTGCATCAGAAACTCAAGTACCATAGGAGTATGTGCAAGAAGCTGCACTAGCAAAATTACATTCAACGTGAGCAGATAAATATGGTGCAAGAGAATGAGCACATGAAGAATTTCAGCAGTTGCATGAATGAGGATGCAAAACCTCTTGCCCATAGTCGTAACGCCGAGCAGAAGTTATATGGCAATCACTATTTTGATCCTCAATAATTTCAGGCAACACCGTTAACATCTCTAAGACAGCAGTGTTTCCATTATTTTGGAAACGTAAACTCTGCAAGCTGTAGAAGAGCTTCTCGATGGGCTTTACATGCTCTACGGCATGAAGTACAAGTGTAGAGATTGCGAGACATATTTGGGTTAATAGCTGCTTGGAAGAAGAAGAATAAGAAGAAGAAGTTCAGCAATGCTTTGTCCACGCGTACCAATGAAAAAGGACACTATATGCAGCAACAGTCACCTGAGGATGGCCTGAACTAAATCTTTGAGCAGCCAGAAGAAGAGCATTGAGGAGAGCATCTTTTGCTCCTAAATGTAAATTGTATCCTTCATTTTGAATCTGCAAGGAGGTAAAAACAAGTGAATCTGATTCCAAGAGTAACATTTAAACTATAATATAGTCATATCATATTAGAGTTTAGGGTTTGAAAATAGGAAGAACAGAGAAATAGTGAAAAGGGAGAATATAGAGGAAAAAGGGGGAGGAAGAGACCTTTCGCTTGAGAATCTGGGCGGCGAAAAACTCGACCTCGTAATCTGAAAGGTGGTGGTGATCGGAGGAGGTGAGAATGGAAGTGGCGATATCCCAAGCAGCATCGGATTGCTGGAACTGGACGAGCCATTGATTGGCAGCGAAGCGATTACAGGATTGGGTATCGTGATTGAGGACGTGGACGGCCTGCGCTACCTTAATCATCTGCAACTCCATAGATTTGTGATAGATGATTGACAATTGCCGATTGACAAGTGATGATTGACGATTGACGATTGACGAGATTGATGATTGATAGCTGATGATTGTCTCTCTACTAAAAGTAGTAACTATTCTACTCATCCATCACACCCACCACAGCACACAGCGACGCCGGCCGCCTCTACTCTACTTGCAAACACCCCCATAGGCCATATCCCTCTCTTCTACCTATATTATCTTTTGCCCCTTTTCATCATCTACTATTTCACTTTTCCTTTTTCTTTTTTTCCTTCTCTTCTTTGTTTCGTTTTTTTTCTTTTTTCTTTTTTCTTTTTCATCAGCAGCAATAAAAAGTATATATAAGTTTTGAATAATTTTGAATAGGGTTGTATTAAATTTTGTATTGAAGGAAAGCCCAATAGTAGGAGGGTATAATTGAAAGAAAAACGTGGGCCTAGTAGGTATAGGAATGAATTCGGGCTCGGGCTTAAAAATGAAAACGGACCGGACCGGACCGACAGAGTTGTTCACCAGCCAGACCAATAAAACCCGATTTAATTAAACTGGTTTGACCTGAATTCACGGTTGACAAAAGGAAACAACAATGGCCGTGGCCGTGGGGATGTGAAAGAGGAAACATCTGTAATTGAATTTCTTTGTTCATCATCATCATCATCCAAGCAGCAGCAGGTAAGATACATCAACCAACCCAACATTTCTTCTTCTTCTTCTCTCTCTCTGATACCAGTTTAATTATAACATTTTCCTTGATGATTACTCGGTCATAAATTTCTTATGCCGATTCAGTTTTCATTGATCTATTATTATATCTACCATATTCAGCTTTTGTTGGTGGGGGTTATACCGTATATGGATCACAGCGTTAGACTTCCACATTTATACCTTTTATTATTTAATATTTATTTATTATTTGTACTTGTCTTTTTGGATTGACAAAGTTGTTAATCAATGTTGTCTCCCCTTTTTTGGATTGACAAAGTTATTTATACCTTATTGCTTTTTCATTCTCCTTTACTCCTTATACTGTTCAATTTATATCTAACTTCATGATAGCAGCCGTACAACAATGAGAAATGGAGCAATATCCAACGATGGTTGTTCCAGTTCAACTTCTATAAGCAGTCAGCAAGATGTGGAGGATGATAAGATGATTGCTCTTGTCCTATCCGAGGAGTATGCTCAATTAGACGGTGCAGTTGGTCGACGCTTATCCAGTCTTGCCCCTGTTCGTGTAAGAAGCTCCAACAAAATAATCATCATCAACGCACTCCATTCTGTGTTTTATACACCACTGCTTGTAAACCTGCACAACATACCATGATAAATAGGCCTTGGTAGAACTATGTACAAAAAGGCAAAAACTAGTCATACCATATCTTTATTTCATAATATTGTCTGCCCCTTCCTTTCAGCACCTTCCAAGGATAAACTTGCACTTTCCTTCCATAAGTGATTCAAGTTTGGACTACCAACGGCTCCTCCAAAGGTATGTTTAATGAAAGAATAGCCTTAAGTTTAATGATAAGACTATACTAGAAAATTCTTTTACATTTTACTACTTCAACAAAGAGACTAACTCTACGTTCTATTTATTTAGGCTAAATCTTTATGGTTTATATGAAGTGAAGGTCTCAGGAGATGGAAATTGTCAGGTTTGTGCAACTCTTTAGTCGGTTGAGATTTTTTCGTCTTTGCCTATTTAACTTCTTTTCTCTAGTTTCGTGCACTTTCAGATCAGATTTATAGATCACCTGAGTACCACAAGCATGTCCGTAAAGAGGTTGTGAAACAGGTTGGTATAATGGTTGATATTCTCTTTGCAGCTTGATATACAGTTGGCGTTTTAATTTCTCAGTTATAAGATTTTCAAGCCACTTTAGTTTGACTTAATGTTATTTGAAGACATTTTTTTCTTGGTAAAAATGGATTTTTTTTCTTGTTTGTTACCCATGCAGCAATGTCCACTATAACCCTATTGCTACATAGAATGAGGTTTTCTCAATTATTTCAGCAAGTAAAGCAACAAAATTTATTTTCATCAGTTTTGGATGATGCACCATCTCTGTGTTGATGTTTAATATTGTCACCCTTACCAATTTTCTTTGCTTACAGTTACAGTTGTTGTCACATCATCTTTTTTTGGTCAATTCTGACCCATTTAATATAAATAGAATCCTGAACATGAAACATTGACCACTCCGCTGCTATATGAGGCCTACACTCCCACTTTCGATAACTTTATGGGTGACAATATCCTTCAGAACTATAGGTGCTTTAACACCATATAAGCTCTCAAAAAATCATATAGCAGCATACACTAGCTTTTAGTTTAACCATGGTTACCTTCTACTGCTTCACTTTTTGGCCTTGTGATGACAATTTATTGATTTCATTACTGTCCTCAATTTAGATTTCTCGGTTGACATACCTCTAACCTAGATAGAGGCTAAAGGGTTGCCAGCTCATTCCAATGTCTGTGCCCTCTACCTGCGTATTAAAATTCTGTCCCTTTTCCTAATCTATACCATCTTCTTTATAGCAATTTATTTCTGAATTACTTGTATTGTTGACCAAGCTCCTCTCAAGATTTAATCCTAATAGACTTGAGTTTCCATAACAATTCCTTTTGCCTACAGTAGTTCACCGGAACTGGAAAAAAAAACCTCCAATTGGGCACTCATATTTTTTAACGTGTTCTGTTTACAGCTTAAAGATAACCATGTCGTATATGAAGCTTATGTACCCATGAAGTTCAAGCACTATTACAAGAAAATGGCTAAGTAGGGTCTTCTGAATCCACCTTTGCATTATATCTCTAATTATTGCACTTGCTTCTGAAGTTGCCCTCATTATATGACATTTCAGGTCGGGTGAATGGGGGGACCATGTTACATTACAAGCAGCAGCAGATAAAGTACTAAAAATAGTAATTTTGATTTTCACACTATTTTCCAGTTATTCTCCTTTTTTGGCAGTAATTTATGCCCTTCTTGCATCAAATGATTAAGTTAACACAAATTTATAACAATATTTATTAGTTTACATAACGTAATAAACCTCGAGTTTAAGCATCGGATGAGGAAATGTGAGTATTTGACTATCTCTATGATGTCGAGCCCAGAATAGGTATGAATACCGCAGAGTATTTTTAATCTTTCTCATAGGTGAAATGATAAAGAAGAATACGCACTGGCAGTCTCCTTGACTCATGTCCTGACGCAGTGACAATGTTAGAGTTTCATGTACCTGAGAGTTCTCTCTCCAACAATTTCATCTATTTTCTTTTTTAGAATTCATTTATATTGAGATCTCATTTTCTGTGAAGTTTTGGGAAGACGCAAATTAGTTTTTGTATGTGAAGGGCTGGAAGGATCAGACAGAGATTAGATGCCACAATAATCAGTACTAGGATTAGAATCCCAGGAAACAAAATACAGCCCAAATTTGAGGTTGACGTTCTTGTAGGGTAACCAAGTTTTTCTCCTTCGTAAGCTCTCTTAAATGTAGATTGTCTCACATGTTAAGTACCAGTTCTTTATGTTTTCATGTTGGGAATTTCAAGATATGAATGCCCTTGTTTGAGTGGCATATGATTCTATTTCATGATAAAGATGTGGAGCATCAATTTTAATGATATTGGTAATGCAGTTTGCAGCAAAGATTTGTCTGTTGACATCATTCAGGGATACTTGTTTTATTGAAATTGTTCCACAGCATGAGGTTCCTGCACGAGGTATAAGTAGTTTATGCAGTATTTGGTATTTTCTTCTTCCATGTGCAGTGTTGCTGATTTTTGCGTCATTTTGTGAGTTGCTTACTGATATATCAGATGGTGAGAACCATCTGACAAATAACTTGATATAATTATATATTGTATATGTTGCAGAGCTTTGGCTAAGCTTTTGGTCTGAGGTGCATTACAATTCCCTGTATGAACTCCAAGGTTTGTACATCCTCCATTAGTAATTTTGGGTAAGATTTAGTCGCAATATGAATGAAACCTTGAAGGAAGAAATTAAAATGGAATTGGAAGTATTTAACTGGAGAAGACAATGAGTGAAGAAGAGTCTCTAACTGGTCGTGTTATATATATATATATATATATATATATATATATATATATGCAGATGCTCCTCCATTACAGCAGCAGCAGAAGCCAAGGAGGAAGCATTGGTTGTTCTAATAAATGGGAGTTATATTCCTTGTACATTATTCAATATACAACAAATATAATTCTGGTTGCAGCTTGTATAATAATAATGAAATGTTTTGGTTGGTTGATAAGCTAGCTGTTCATTGTGGAAGAACAAGAAGAACCAATGCAGGGGCGAATGATGTTTGTCTGTCCATACCATACCATACCATATTTGAGATTAATGAGTCTGCCACTCTCATTTATTGTTGAACAGAACAACTCCGTATATATTGTAAAATAATTCAATTTTGTTTGGTGGATATATCATCCCCATACATATATATGCACACACATTTTGTTTTGACATGATTGTTGTGAGAGAGTAAGAGCATAATTAGTATCAAATATGATGTTTTTTTTATCAATGATAGTAAATAATTAATATGCAATCTTCAACTAATTAATTGTGTCGTAGTTATTAAAAGCATGCATAACTGAAGAAATGGTTACGAATTAATTATGTATTACTCCTATAAGAATAGTTTTGTTTTGAGGGAGTTTGTGTTTAGTAAAAAAGCAAATAAGGAAATGTGCACCTGCTTGGAGATGAGAAAGAGAGAGAGAGTATCTACATATCGATGTATCTGACGGCTGATGATGATGATATGGTTATGTAGTAATACGACAGATGGATATGGAGGAGGAGAGGACCCACACACACACACCCACACCCACACGCACACGCATACTTTATATATATAATATATGTATATTTCTTGTAGAAGAACAACCGGTAGAAGAAGAAGCTGCAGAGCCTACCTGAGATAAGCGCTTGTGCCGCCGGCCGGTACTCCTCCTCCTCCTCCTCTCCTGCATAATATGATTAATGATATGATGATGATTACCAATAACAGTAAATATGCATCCACTAGTTCTACTAATATTAATAATATTCAGATTATTAAACAATTAGGGCAGGGTGGTGGTTGGGGACAGCACGCTAGTATTATTTTTATTTTTAGTAATAAAAAATACTCATCTCTCTCCTCCTCCTCCTCCACCGTCACCGCCGCCTCCACCTCTTCCTCCTCCTCCTCCTCCTCCACCGTTAATAAAATACAAGTAAATCGGATTCCCACATCCCAATTTAGTAATAATAATTCAAAGTCCAATCTCACCACAACCCCATTGGTCAAAGTCAAACACCCCCTCCCCTATTTTCATTTTCTTGTTTCAAATCGTTCATCATCCCCGATCATGGCCGCCATGAATGGATCTTCTTCCTCCACCACCCCACCTAATTCTTTCACCACTTCCAATCACCTCCGCCATGTGGAGTCTATGTCCACCCTTCCCTCCGGTGCCGGCCCTATTCCCAAATTGAATGCCCTCATTCTCGGTGAGTCCCTTGCTTCCGAGGAGGATGATCTTGTCCTCCCCAGCCATGATTTCTCTGCCCAGGCTCACGTCTCCTCCCCTCACAAGGTTCCTTCTATCCTTTTTTCTTTTTTTAATTCAATCTTATTATTGTTCAATTTATCATTGATTTTTCCCCTTGTTGTATGTACGTCTGTGCAGTATCTCGACATGTATAAAAGCTCCATTGAGGATCCCGCCGGATTCTGGTCCGGCATTGCATCTCAGTTTTACTGGAAACATAAATGGGCTCATCCCGTTTACTCCGAGAACCTCGACATTCGCAAGGGGAGAATCAACATCGAGGTCATCCTCCCTTTTGCTCTCCTTCTCCTACCTCTATTTTTTTCACTCCTTTAACCTTAATTAATAATACTCACTTCTTGTTTCGGATCAGTGGTTCAAAGGTGGGATTACCAACATCTGCTACAACTGTTTAGATACAATCATTGCTGCTGGGAATGGTGAAAAGATTGCTATCTATTGGGAAGGGAATGAACCTGGTGTTGATGCCTCTTTGACTTACAACCAACTTCTTCACAGAGTTTGCCAGGTTTCTTTTCTCTTCCCCATACATTGATTGCCCCACTGCCTTCTCGTACAGGGCAAGTCTTTCGGTACATACAATACAACCCTAATATTTCATGCTTATCAGCTCGCTAATTACTTAAAAGACATTGGCGTCCGAAAAGGTGATGCTGTTCTGATCTATCTACCCATGCTCATGGAACTGCCCATAGCTATGCTTGCTTGTGCTCGCATTGGGGCTGTTCACTCGGTATTGCACCTCAATAATCTCGTATCCGTCCTTTTTGGGACATTTACCTCCTCCGAGATATAAAAAGTTTTCTGCTTGTGGGTGCAGGTCGTTTTTGCTGGATTCTCCTCTGAATCTTTGGTCCAGAGGATCATGGACTGCAAACCAAAGATTGTAATAACCTGCAACGCTGTTCAAAGAGGATCAAAGACCATCCATCTAAAAGACATAGTTGACACTGCACTAACACACTCTTCCCTGAGTGGCGCGACTGTAGGCAAGCACTTCAAATTCGAGGCTTTGTAGCTCAAACGCAATCCTGACTCTCACTACAAATTCTTTCTCCTTAATTGTATAAAAGGATTGGTTTTGTCTGCCGGAAAGAAAAAAATAATTTCCCAGAAGATTCTGTCATTTCCAAAATCATAAAACATGTTGCTGATAATGACTTATGAACTAATACCCTCATTATGTCCGTATTACTTAAGAATTTGGTGAGCATAAAAGTTCATAAGACAAAGATCAGCACAGTAAGTCCAATCAGTCTTTTGATAATAGACTTTAAGTACCTTTGAGAACTAATCCGGCTTTTCCAGTTTTAGTCAAAATTACCAATGGGACATCTATAAATTTCTGACCTGAACTTCCCTCATTAGTTGCAAAACCAAAAAAATCCTTTACTTATTTTCTTGGTTAATTATTGATGGATGCTAGAGGAACCAAATGGAGATCAAATTTGCATAAATAGTATGCTCCCTCAGATATATAGTCCATTGTGTTAATTTTTATCGTCATTATTATAATTTCCTCCCCATGTTTTTAATTTAGCAGTGTGGTAATGTTCGCCTTATGGATATTCTTTTTTAAAATATGTAGGTATTATGAATTTCCTTGTAGTATTTATTGTTTACTTGTTCTGCAGATGTCTGCTTGACTTATGAAAATGAATCCGCCTTGAAGAAGGAAAACACTAAGTGGGTGGAGGGAAGAGATACGTGGTGGCAGGTTGGATGACAATAGAAATATCATAGTTGTTATCTTTACTTAAGAAAAAACATGAAATATTTAACACCTATTGCTGCGAATCTAGCTCAATATATAAACAACTCTTATTTTATTTTTTAATCTTTAATTTTGCAATTTCCGGGAACAACATTTCTTGTGCACATTTTACTTACTTCAATTTTGGACAGCCCCTGCTTGCTTCTTTGGTAGACTCAATGGAAGGTTACTTTTCATATTATCAATTGTTCTCGTTCTGAAGGCTCCAAAAAGTCTGATATTCTACACCTCCATTTGTCTGAATTCCTTACTCTTGTTTAGTTAATATTAGTGAAGACCATCTTGTGAAACTGCAAATATTTTAAATTTCTGCACTCAGCATAAAATCATTTATTTACAAATATCTTCCAGGATGTTGTCCCTAAATATCCAGCTACTTGTGATGTGGAATGGGTTGATGCAGAGGATCCACTATTCTTGCTTTATACAAGTGGGAGTACTGGGAAGCCCAAGGTATCGACGCTCTGAAACTATGAAATGATTATTCTTTGACTTGCATCATATTGCTCAAGAAACTTATATTTGGTTGACTTGAAAGGGGGTCCTGCATACAACTGGAGGGTACATGGTGTATACAGCTACCACATTTAAATATGCATTTGACTATAAACAATCAGACATATACTGGTACGGTGACTTAATTTTTTTTCTTGTAGATTGATTAACTAATTTGAAATTATCGGGCAAAGTTTCTGATCTTTTCTTGCCGGATCTATATCTTAATTTTTCAGGTGTACAGCTGACTGTGGTTGGATTACTGGCCACAGTTATGTCACATATGGGCCATTGCTGAATGGAGCAACTGTTGTGGTCTTTGAAGGGGTATTTGTTTGAGTTCCTACAGACTTATTTTATCAGTCAGAGTATGAAGCATGTGACTAGAAATTAATGTTTAGAATCCAAATCAATGATGTAGTAGTATTCTGCAAATGTGATCCATGATTTAGCATGAGGATCAATAATAAGGTGGAGTTTGGGATAATCCTTTTGACATCTGGCAATTTACTTTGAACCTCCTGCAGGCTCCTAATTATCCTGATTTCGGACGTTGCTGGGACATAGTCGACAAATACAAGGTGTCTATATTCTACACTGCCCCCACATTGGTGCGATCTTTGATGCGAGAAGGAGACGAGGCAAGAATAGAACACTGTGCATTACTTGTTCTTGCTTGTACATATGTATATATTATTTACCAAATAATAAACTTTAGAAGCAGACCTGAGGCCTGAGGGATGACCAAGCTTTCATATACGGAATTCATAATATTTGATCGCAGATATAAAGAATCGTTAAATATGATTAAGCTTTGAAGCTTATCTTGTTAGTGTTTGATCTGAGTACGACTACTATTTTGGACTTATATAAAGCACTTAACTGCCATGCAGGATAAGATATTCGGTCTGATTATGCAGCAAGTTACTGATCTCCAACTGTTTGCTTGTTATGTCTTTAGGATGTTTGATTGATGGTGCATCCATAGATAGGATTAGTGCTTTTACATGATCACTACCGCTGTTGACAAGTGCTTCAATCTATATATCACAAGAGCTCTGGCAATTATAAAGTTTATTATTTTTCAATTCTTCCTTATTAGCATAGCGATCGCCAAATAGGATGATGGAGTCTAAAACAAATCTCCTATTTCTTTGTATGCTCTAGCCAAAAGAAAAAGGAAATAAGAAATCAGTGGAACAATGAAATGAGGAGAGGTAAAATAAAAGTGGGTAGTGAATGCTGATTTCATAATGTTAATCTTACAGCATGTTACCCGTTATTCGCGGAAATCCTTGCGGGTCCTTGGTAGTGTTGGTGAACCCATTAATCCAAGTGCATGGAGGTTTGTAATCTATCCTCAAAGCTTTGGTTTTTTCTTTTTTTTTTTAATCTTATTAGTGTCAATGTTTTCTGGGGCAGTGTGGGCTGAAATATGATATATACGTTGCTATTTCTGTTTATATATCAGGTGGTTTTTCAATTTAGTTGGAGATTCAAGATGCCCCATTTCTGACACTTGGTGGCAAACAGAGACTGGTGGCTTCATGGTAGATTTGTTTGTTCTATTTGATCCTATTTTACTGCAGAAAAACTACAATACTTGCCAGGTCTCACCTCTATTACCTTGCAGATAACTCCTTTACCAGGTGCTTGGCCGCAGAAACCTGGTTCTGCTACCTTCCCTTTCTTTGGGGTTCAGGTACTAGAATGTAGATTCATTATATATCAAAGCACATGCATCTTATATACCTTCCCTTTCTGAGCCATCTTTTGATGGTCAGCTTCATATGATTGGTTGCGGGGATTAATGCAGTTAAAATTTAATGAAATTGTTATAACCTTGGTACTGCAGCCTGTCATAGTGGATGAGAAGGGTGCTGAACTTGAAGGGGAGTGCAGTGGGTATTTGTGTGTCAAAGGCTCTTGGCCTGGGGCATTTCGTACACTTTATGGCGATCATGAAAGATACGAAACAACATACTTCAGTGCCTTCCCTGGCTACTATTTCAGTGGAGATGGTTGCAGCAGGTATTGTTTTGCTGGAAATAAGACGACTTCTGTTTTAAAATTACAGTATTCATATTTGTAGTGTATATACTCTCTCTCTCTCTCTTTGAACTATATTCACAATTTTCTTTTTGTAATTCAGGGACAAGGATGGTTACCATTGGCTCACAGGTAGAGTTGATGATGTTATTAACGTCAGGTACTTGTTTTAACTTTCATCCTCTCATGTTTCAGATTGGCTAACCAACTCTTTTGTTACCTTTCTTTGTAAATTTGGACAATCAACAGTGGGTTTAAAACTTACATTTTCTCAAAACAACGTTGAGGTTATAATGAAGCCTGAGTTTATATCTAAGACACTAATAAACTTTAGGGAATGGAGACAAAATTTCAGAATTCTTATGGTGGGTTTAAGTGACCATCCACAGATAGTTTGATTTCAAATAATTGTCAAACAATTGAATCATTCAACACGAGGATAAAATTTTCTTTTAAAAATTACAAACCACTTTCAATTTTTACTCAATTTTTACTTTCAAAGGAAAAGAAAGAAGAAAGAAAATTGTTCTGGATTGGCGCTTGAGGTTATTTACTTTCTTAAGCAGCTACAGTTGTTTTAATCAGGGTTTAATTGTTATTTGGTATATAACAAAATGCAGTGGACATCGCATTGGCACTGCAGAAGTGGAATCTGCCTTGGTGGCACACCCCCATTGTGCTGAAGCTGCTGTTGTTGGTGTTGAGCATGAGGTACCTTTATATATATATATATATATATATTTATATTTATGGCAGTGGTATACATTATTCGTCGTCTTTTATCCACTCTCAGAGTCAGACCTCTACTTGAAGGTTCAGGTTCAGCTATCTTTTATTTTGAATGTGATGTTAGGTTAAAGGGCAGGGAATATATGCATTCGTTACTCTGGTTGAAGGCGTTCCTTACAGTGATGATCTCCGGAAAAGTCTTATAATGACTGTGAGAAAGCAGGTACATCAAAACTTCCTTTATATTTATCATTTATTATACAAATGGAAAAAAGTTTGGAGACCCTCATTACAAACTTCCTTTCCTAGTGTAAGCATGACTAGTACAAAACCCCAACATATCTGAAGTTTGTGTATCTTATGAGGGTGTTATGTTGTGGGCTTGCTTTCAGATTGGAGCATTTGCAGCACCGGACAGAATTCACTGGGCTCCTGGTCTACCCAAGACAAGAAGTGGAAAGATAATGAGACGGATTTTGAGGAAAATTGCTTCGAGACAATTAGATGAGCTTGGGGATATAAGCACTCTTGCGGATCCTGCTGTTGTTGATCAGCTTATTGCACTCGCTGATTGTTGATATTTTAGTCATATTTATCATGCCAGTTACCGATTATAGAATAGAAATGTCTTCACCCAGTTACAAAACTTATATTGCAGGAACTTTGGTCGTAAAGTCTGTGATTTACATAATTAAAGTGGGCATTACTATCAATAATCTTTCTTATTCCGTGGAGTACAATATTGTAAAACTAAGTACTTGTACAATTAATGAAGTTGATGGTGTGGTATAATCATTTGTTCTAATATTTGAATGACGAGAACTAAGTTTTGGTTTGGGAAAGTGCAGACATTACACTTACTTCCTTTTACACCTAGCAAGGAATGGGATAGCCCAATATAAACATATATATCATAGTAGCAATAATAATGAAATGATAATAATAATAATAATAATTGTTTCTTAATAATGAAATGATAATAATAATAATAATAATTGTTTCTTAGTATGAAAACAAAAATAAATGTCATGCAAAACAACATTACAATATCCGTCTGTCTTACAGTAAATAATGATTTAAATGAAAAGGCAACCAACATATAAGTATGGAACTCAATTCCGTTGAATGGAGCAACCAAGCTGCTTTGGAGAGTTAGGAACACATTGCTTTCTCCAGTACTTCCTGCAACTCCCCGCTCTTATATGCCTCTGTTTTAAGAACATTTTCATTTGTTAAACTTGAAAGTAAGTTGCAATTCTCCAAACAGAACATTTTAAAAGCTATAAACAAACAATTCCACCGACCAAGTAGTTCAATTATTACTCATCAGAAAGAAATCATCACTTCATTTGATTAAGATCATCAGAAAGAAATCATCACTTCATTTGATTAAGATAAGAACATGCGCAACTAGAAAGTTAAAAGGAAGGATAGAAAGTTAGACTTACCAACAGTGATGTCACAGCCACCAAAGAACTCGCCATCAATGTATATTTGTGGAAAGGTTGGCCAACTCGAATACTCCTTCAATCCAAGACGCAATAATTCGTTTTCGAGGATATTAATGGTTTCAAAAGGCACATTCAAGGATTTCAATATCTGCACAACAGTATTTGAAAATCCACATTGTGGGAAATCCTTGGTTCCTTTCATGAATACAACTACTTTGTCTGATGTAACAACCTTATCCAAGGTAGTCTTCAACTCCGGAGTTAGAGCTGCAAGCAACCGTGATTTCAATTCCACTTTGCTTACAAATAATAACTTCACTAGATACTTTTTTTCACTCATGTATTGATTTATTAACATATCTATATATGAAACTAAAGAAAGATAGTACCAAAGTAAAAGAGAGTGCAAGCAAGGGTATACCCTAGAATTAGCTAAGAACATAATTGATTTGGATCTATTAAAGAAGCATTTAAATCATCAATTGATAAATTGATTTTGGATATACCTGAGAAACATCGGACGGAGCTCCTATTTCTACCACCACAAGTAGAAGAACCACCACTGTAGGACAGACCGTGGAATGTTTTAATATTTGCCGAATTACAATTACGATGGCCCTGGTTTTGACGGCGTCTAGTCCACGCCAACGTCGCCGTCGACACCGGCGAATAATCAGACAACGTCGAGGGGCACGCCGCAAATTGCCAACGGAACGCCGCCATCTCACTGTAAGTCACTTCTGCACCACAAAAGTGAACTATCAAAACTTTCGGCCTAACCACACTTTATTTATTGGACCGGCCTGAACAAAGACCATTTATTTTCTAATTTTTTTTTTTTATGAGATTTTTTTTTTAATTTAATACCTCGTAACTGAAGACCTTCCTTTTCACATTTTAACGCATTCTTTTCAATTTGTTCTTATTTTAATACATCAAAGTATAAAAAGCCAATAACAACGAAATCGGACCAAAAACCAATAAAAATATGTATAGGCGTATACATTATCGTTTTCTAACTCCAATCTTGATTCATTTTAATATGATAACAATTCACTCAATTCGATTCTAACAAATACGAAACAAAACAAGGGAATAGATTGGTAATAATAGATAGATAAAAAACTAAAACCTTTCTATTCTATTTTGACAAAATTTCAAGTATAATAAAAGGATTATATCATTCATTTTCTTTGATTCTATTTGAATTACTCATTTTCACATATTTGAAGTCTTCTTCTCGATCTAAAAATCTTAATATCTAAGAAATAAGTACTATTTATACAATATCTTAAAATACGTTATTGATGATGCTAATTACTTAGATCACCTAAGGTAGTGTAAAAAACGAACTGAGAGAGCAAAACGGATCAGTAGCTTGACAACTTGATGATCCTGATGTACCTTCGATCATAGAACACGTGAACTAGGCGGGGGGTTGATGCTCAAGTCAGACGTGCTGATAGTAGAAATAGTCCAGAGAATACATTTAATAGTATTGCTCAGATAATAGGACGTACCTTAAGGAATGAGTTCAAACCTTTATTTATAGCTTAGTTGAGATTGTCGGGCCCAAATCTTACTTGAAGGTGATTGGGCCTCGGTGATAGTGGTCTTCGATATTGGGCTCGTGGCCCAGTAGGTAAATAATTTGTAAGGCCATCGAATTGGGCCAATTAGGCATATCATTAAGCCCCCCACTCTCGAGTCGATGTGGGAGCCATGTTGAAATGGGTTCTCGATCGTGTCGAAAGTAAAAATTGTAGTGGTCGCTCTTTGGCATATAGCCTGATGGTGTGCGAAAACGTGTTGGAGCGTGTGTCGGAGGGGCGTGATGGCGCGTAGCGCGACCAAGTTGTCGCGATGAAAGTTACTTGAGTCGTCGATGTTGTTCCGCGACGATGTAGTAGCGAATTATCTCCTCGTGGGAGTTGTCTCGTCGCGGGGTAATAGAGTTGATCGAGTTATCTCCTCGTGGGAGTTGTCTCGCAATAATGTAGTAGCACGGTTCAAGTAATCTCCTCGTGGGAGTTGTTATTTGTTGACATTGTCAATGTTTCGACGCGTTGCTCGTATGTGTTTACATATAGCCTTGTGCGTGATGTACTTGAGGAGGGGATCAAGCTCTCAAGATTTTTTTTTATGGGGATCGTGCCCCTTGTTAGACTTGTAGGTTGTAAGTATGTTTGGACCGTGGCCACGTTTTAATAAAGGACCCGTCGAAAACAAGTAGAGAAATTTGAGTAATCAAGCTGGCCAGGCTATATAGATTCCCATAATATCTCTAAGTGTTTCTAAGGTTGTAATCGTGCTAACTCGAGTTTGCGATTGTGTAGTGAATTACGAGCGAGTTGTCTCCTCGAGAGAGTTGTCTTACAGCGAAGTTGTAGGAGCATTGGATGACGCGCGATTAAGGAGCGTACGGCTTGAGGTCGCTCTGAGCGAGTTATCTCCTCGTGGGAGTTGTCTCGCAGCGAGTCTTATTATCGAGCGAGGTGGCTGCACGTGGGAGTTGCCTTGCAACGGATTTATAGTGCCGAGCGAGTTGACTCCTCGTGGGAGTTGTCTCGCTGCGGGTTGGGGTACCGAGCGAGTTGGCTCCTCGTGGGAGTTGTCTCGCTGCGGGTTCGTAGTACCGAGCGAGTTGGCTCCTCGTGGGAGTTGTCTCACTGCGGGTTGTAGTACGGAGCGAGTGGTCTCCTCGTGGGAGTTATCTCGCTGTGTAGTTTTGAGACCCGAGGGAGTTGGCTCCTCGTGGGAGTTGCCTCGCAACGGGTTATAGGACGGAGCGAGTGATCTCCTCGTGGGAGTTGTCTCGCAAGCCCCCCACTCTCGAGACGATGTGGGAGCCAAGTCGAAAAGGGTACTGGATCGTGTCGAGAGTAGATCGGTGCTGTAGTCTTGCGTTAATCGTTGGCATGGCGTGGAGAATTTTTTTTTTTTTTTTAAGCTTGTTGATATCCACCCCATTTGGAGATTTCTTACATTTGGGGTAGAGAGATGATACGCTACTCTTAGGTTGGAATGTCTAACTCTTTTGGGTAGAAATGTAAGAGGGTGTATCACCCTTAAGATGAGATATCCAACCAATGGAATGCTGAGCAAGCGGATGTAGAGAGCGGGGATGCAGAGTGCGTGTGCGGAATCGGATGTGGAGCGCATGCGCTGAAGCGGATGCGGATCGCGCGGATTTGGAACGCATGCGCAGATGCGGATGCGGAGCGCGCGGAAGCATAGCATATTATAGCATAGCATATCACAGCATAGCATAACATATCGTAGCATAGCATAGTATAGCATATCATAGCATAGCATAACATAGCATAGCATATCGTAGCATAGCATATCATAGCATAGCATAGCATATCGTAGCATAACATAGCATAGCATATCGTAGCATAGCATATCATAGCATAGCATAACAGATGCGGATGTGCAGATACTAATGTGGACCGCGCGGATGTTGAGTGCGCGGATGCTGAGCGCGCGGATGTGGAGCGCATGCGCGAATGCAAAGGGCACGGAGGGGGAACGCATGCTCAGATGCGGAGTGGAACGCGTGGATGTGGAGCTCATCCGGACGGAAACGGAACACATGCGCGGATGCAGATGTAGAGCACACGAAAGCGGAGCACTTGTGCGCATGCAGATGTAGACCGCGCGGATGCTGAGCGCGCGGATGTGGAGCGCATGCGCGGATGCGAATGTGGATGCGGATTGCGCACTCGTCGCTTGGGGCGCGACGTTGGGATGTGTTATCCTTGGAGTGGAGAGAACATACCCAACTCTTGAGATGAGATGTGAATTTGTTGGAGTTCAAAGGTAGGGAGGATGTACCACCCTTGTGACGAGATGTCCAACCCTTTGGATGAGATACCAAACCTTGAGGTGGGATAGCCCCCATCTTAGGTGAGGCGATCATGAACCCTGTTATGGTTTTGAAGAACTTCCAGTGTCTTTGACATCATTGGAATGAGGAGCTCGTAAGGGAGAGGCGTTGGCTCTCCGAGGTGAACATGGGCGATATTGCGCAATTTGCGCTTCTCGGCGATGTTGCACGGTTTGCGCTTCTCCGCGATGACTGAGTTGTTGTATTCGGAATTGAAGGTTCGAAGTATATGCTTACGACACACTCGCTTGGTGGGTGCTACCTTATAGTGGTGGTTGTGCTACGGCTAGAGCCGCATGAGGGGCGTTGACTCCTGCTATGGTGATGTATGGTGCCACTGCTTCAGTGACAGTGGCAGTACGAGTTGAAGCTTCTGCGATCATACTCTGAAGGTCCTCATCGGTTATCTGAACCGTTAGAGGAGCAAGTAGAAGTTGATTTTGTTGAAGGTTCGGCGATCATACGCTGAAGGTCCTCTTCGGTTATCTGAACCGTTCGAGGGGGATGGAGGTAGGCCCCCATTGAGTCGATAACCCATGGCGAAAGAAATATTTTGGGGGCAGAGGTAAGCCCCTAGGGAGTCGATAACCCTTGGTGAACGAAATGTTTTGGTGGCACTGTAAACCCCCAGGGAGTCGATAACCCTTGGCGAACGAAATATTTTGGGGGCATTGTAAACCCCCAGGGAGTCAATAACCCTTGGCGAACGAAATATTTTGGGGGCACTATAAACCCCCAGATTTTATGTTGAATTGAGCTAATAATTATGTGATGAAAGAGCAATAACACCGAGAGTAAAGAAAATAACTAGCTTTATTCATTGATCGAAAAGGTGAAGCTTACGAGCCTACTTGAGGCGAAGGTAAATAAACAAGTAGGGAGCGAATCGCTCGAAATAAATAAACTTGTACTAAGTAGATGATGTAGGTGTTTCGTTCAATTGATGTCGAGAGGTGAGGGGATGTATCATCCTTAAGGTATGATAGCCCCCCAGTTTTAGGGTGATGTGTTCACGTACAATGTTATGGGCTCGATAGACTCCAAGTGTCATTGACATCATTGGAAGTACAAGGACGTATAAGGAGATTATCAATGAGATGTTGACGATTGTCGTCGGCCATCTCGTCGCCGGGTGGTGAAGTAATCTTCATCTCTTTTCCTCTTGGGAGGAGGGAGGGCCGAAGCCTCTTCGATGCGCACGTGTTTCTCAGCAGGACTTAGTAACTCTTTTAGAGTGGTTGGAGCTCTTCCTGCCATAGATTCCTTGAATCTACCTTCCTTCAAGTTTTGTTGAATGATTCCAGCGAGCATGCTTCATCCCACGTTAGGAACTTTGTGAGATGCCTCTACAAATCGTTGAATGTAGTTGCGGAGGGTCTCGCCCTCTCTCTAGGTGATAGTGAAGAGGTACGCGGGAGTCTTTGCGTACTCTTTGTTGATAGCGAAATGGTGGGTGAAGCGATCTATTAGTTGGGAGAGAGCTTCAATTGACCTAGTGGGCAAGGAGTTGAACCAGCTCAATGCTCGTTCGGAGAGCGTTGTGCGAAACATCTTGCACATCGCGACATCAGTTGGGCCATATAGATCTGCCATGCCGTAGAACTTTTCAAGGTGCTCCTGTGGGTCACCAGTTCCATCGAATTGCGGTAGACTCGAGACCTTTACCCGTTGGGGTAGTATCTCATTGATTATGCTACAGTGAAGGGATTGTACCTTATTGGAGGTATTTCGCTTCCACCAATGGGATTACCTATGTGGGGAAGGTGATTTGAGCGAGATACCTGACTGCTAATTTCAACCTCTCCACCATTGTGTGGAGGAGCTCGTTGGTGAGATGTGTTGCCTCTTGAAGGTAAACGTGGGTCTCGTCGCCCAGTTCGTGCATCTTGGCGATGAGTAGATTGTTGCATTCGGGACCGTGGGTCCGAGGTAGAGGAGGGACACTTATTTGGTTCTGGACTGGCGGTGGAGCCATAGGTGGCTCCACAGGTGGAGCAGGTGCTGGTATCGCGTTGGGAGCATTTGCTCCCATCGTGGCGATGTATTGGGTCACAGCCTCTGTGGCGGCGCGAGTTGAGGCTTCTGCTATCATGCGCTGGAGCGCATCCTCGGTTATTTGAACCGTTCGAGGAGCAGAAAGTGGCGGATCGACGAGTGGTGGGTCCCGATGGGGGATCACCTGAACCTCGCGAGGCATATCAGTTATCATATCTTAAAAGTATATTACTAATGTATTAAATATCTAAGCATTATTCTAGATATTTTAGTATTCTACACGTAGTGAAAATTTTATGCTTGATCGTAAGATTAGTGGTAATTTTTAAAATTACTAGATGTTAGTTCATAACTAGTCAATAAATAACTTATCTAAATTTATTTTTACTAATTTTCACTAGTTGATCATAATTAGTAAAATGGTAACTAGTAAATAGATCGGGTCGAATTTGGGTCGATATTGGATTATGATTAATGATAATTCCTTTTGTACTCACACTTTGGTTATTGGTTAGTAGTGATGAACGAATTCCGGCTCAGGCCCGTAGGCCCACTTTGGGTTATTGGTTACCGCCTCATCTATTAAGTGATTATTTACATTAATTAATAATTAACAAACATAATTAAAAATTTAATAACTTATATTTAGGAAAAAAAAAAAAAAAAAAACCTAGCTTCCCCACCTACACCCCCAAAATCTTGTACATGACTATTTAGATTTTCCTAAGTTGAATCTCAAATGGAAATGTTGTTTTTGTGTATGATTTTGAGCGAAAATGAGAGTAAAAGAAGGATGGGAGGAGGAAAATGTTTTTGGATTATTTGGTTTTTAGAAAGAAAAAGTATTTTAATTATGTGCAGGATTTAGGTGGTGTTTGCAAATGCTTTTTGAAAGTGATTATGCGGTTTTTTTTGCTCATAATCTGTTTTTAGGTATTTGCAAAATCAACTTTTGCTTTTGCTTCTCTTAAAATAATCTGCTTTAAGCTATTTTTTTAAAAGCACCCCTAACCCTGCTTTTTCAATTTTAGTTCATTTTCCGAAATTTTTGCAAACACCCCCAACTTTTAGAAATAAGCACTTAAAACTAACTTAAATCACAATCACTAACTTCTGCTTTTAAATAATCATTTGCAAACACCACCTTAGTAATTATTGTGCATAATTTAATATTTCAGTTTTTTTTTTTCCTTTTTTTGTGTTTTGTGTGTGTGTTCTTTGGTTTTTATTTAAAAAAAAAAAAAAACAATTCATTGTAATAATCTTTATATTTCCTTTTTCAATTCCTTGTAATTATCTTTATATTTCCTTATGTAATTTTCCTTTTATTTAGCAACTTTTAAATTTAAAAAATATTAGTTTCTACTCTCAACTTTCCTACTTTAAGTTTCTACTTTTATTTTAGTTTTTTACTAAGAAAATATCAAAAAATCATTTAATAAATATGTTAGCTACTTATGTTTAACTTTAATTTTTTTTTTTGGTAATTTATAAAGTCATTTTATATGATGTTTTAGGAAAAAAAAAGAAAAAGGGTAAATTTCACTTTACCCCCTTGTACTCTGTCCGAGAACTACTTTACCCCCTTATACTCTCAATTTCATCGATTTACCCCCATGTACTTGTACAATTTCCCAATACGGCTCTCGCCATCAATTTTTTTCGATTTCGACTCTACCGCTGTTTGGTCAATTATTAGGTTCTTGGAACCAATGACGGGTGATTTATTTACCGCTAGATTTGCGGCTTGTCATTTTGATGAGACATTATTTATACCGATTGGTAAGAATATTCACAATATCCGTGATAATGATAAACAAAAACCAATCGAGAATCTCACATGGTGTGAGCAACATTTATCTCATCTAGACCCACGTACCTTTAAATGCGAAAATGAGATCTATAGAATCATTCATTTACAAAATATTGCCAATAGACTTCGTGATGCATTTAATGATGCCAGTAAAGTCACGAAGTCTTATATTCCAGCTAGGATCGTTGTTCCTGAAGAACATGCGAAAATGAATGATGATCCCCCACAACAAAAACGGGGTAGACCTATTGGATTAAAGGACGTTCCTAGAAAAAAAAGGGGAAAATCGATGAACTCTCGAACCAAGTGGTTCCTAGTGAGAATACTCCAGGTGGATCTGTTGAGCCTGATATCGAAAAGTCGATATCAAATCTCGAGAATACCGAGAATCCATAAGTTATTTCAATGAAATATGGGATATAAATGAGATAATCATCGATAATATTCTTACATTGATCAATAGATTGTCTACGATGATTATTAAAGTGAATAAAGACTCACTGTTTTGTAATGTTGCAGGTACATCTTGTTGAATTACCAAACAAGCATGCCCAATTAACATAATTATGTTGATTGTATAGTACAATAAAAGGCAGATATTGGTATACAACATTACATGAGAAGACACGAGATGGAGCAAGGTTGATAGATCACCCCAGAGGTTGCTCATTTCAGGGGGAGCAATAGTGCGCTGCACTCCTTTTCCCTTATGGCTGGTTTTGTCCCGTTGGGTTTTCCAGCAAAGGTTTTTAACGAGACAGCTTATGCACATGGCTGGGATTGAGTTATGCACTCTTTTTCCCTTATGACCGGTTTTGTCCCACTGGATTTTCCGGCTTGAAATTTTTAACGAAGCATACATACACTTTACTCAATCCATTTTACAGCCGTTACGATAATACTTAGTCCAAGGGGGAGTATTATAATATATATCAAATTGTTTCTTGTGGACTAAGTCTCTAAGAACATTAGTCATCAAAGACCATAGCTACGTCTTGTACTAATCCTAGAAAAGCATGACAATGCTCATTCCATTCTTTGTATAAAATGTAATGTTTGGGCAGTAGAAATGAGAGAAGTTTGGGCAGTAGAAATGAGAGAACGAATTCCGTTTGCAATAACACTCTCTTTGTAGAGTCTTTCAGTTTAATATTACAATATATATTTCTCAGGTTTTGCAGCATATACGTACATATGAGTTACTAATATTTATTATTCTATAACAGTTATCTACTTATGTTTAACTTTAACTTTTTTTTGGTAATTTATAAAGTCATTTTATATGATGTTTTAGGAAAAAAAGAAAAAAGGGTAAATTCCACTTTACCCCTCGTACTCTGTTCGAGAATGAGTTTACTCTCTCATATTCTCAATTTCATCGATTTACCCTCATATATTTGTACAATTTCCCAATACAGCTCCGTCAACTTTTTTCGATTTTGACTCTGACGTTGTTTGGTCAACTCTGTAAATTACAAAATTGCCACTGCCTATAACACGTTGTTTCTTCTCAACAAAATTGTCACTGTCTATAACTATGTTGTTTTCTGGGGTTAATTCAATTTGAGGATATCTTGGAAGGGGAAGTGGTGGGAGAAGAAGAAACGACAATTTTGACGGAGAAGAAACGACATGTTATAGGCACTGGCAATTTTGTAATTTACAGAGTTGACCAAACGGCGTCAGAGCCAAAATCGAAAAAAGTTGACGGAGAGGGTTGTATTGGAAAATTGTACAAGTACATGGGGTAAATCGATGAAATTGAGAGTACGAGGGATAAAGTGATTCTTGGGCAGAGTACGAGGGGTAAAGTGGAATTACCCAAAGAAAAATTGCCTTGGCCCCGTCAAAATGGGTAAAATGGGCTAAAGGGCTGGGCTGGGCTCATGGTTTCCTTCCATGGGCCGGGTGGGACGGCCCGTGAAAACAGTGGGCCAGGCGGGTTGGCTTCCATGGGCTGCGGGTGGGCCATTTTCACCGGTTAGGGATGCTAATGAAATAAGTTATTAAAATGACGGGTAAAAACGAAGTTTTTGAGAGACGAAGGATTCAAATGAAATATAAATAAGAATAGGAAAAGATTAAAATATCAGTGTGAGGAGGAGGAGATAATGGCAGCAGGCTTTTACAAACCCCTCTTCTGGTAGAGAAACGTTGTTGTAGGTTGAGAATTGAAATGGCAGCGGCAAAATCGTACGGGTTCTCCATCTCCATGGATGCGGTGGTTGGTGTTCCTCCGTCCTTCGCCGGTTTCACGAGAAGGAGTGATTATAATCGCAGGCTTCCCCTGTACTTACCCTCTGTAAGATTTGGGTTAAGAAGAATAAGAGTGAGAGGGGTTTTGTCGTCCACACCTTGGTCCCCTCCTGCCAGCCACCGCGACAGGAATGACAGTGCCAACAAATTCCGGAGTCAGACTGAGGCTGAGCAGCAGCGCGACGCCATATCGCTTCTCAACGAGAGGATTCGGAGTGAGCACTGCAAGAGAGAATCTCCGTCGTCCAGGCCAGCCATGGATTCCGAGGAGGCCGACATGTACATTCAGCTTGTGAAGGACCAGCAGCAAAGGGGTTTGCAGAAACTAAAGGGGGACAGAACAGGTGCCGCCGCCGCTTCAGGTGCTGCCTTTACTTACAAGGTGGATCCTTATACCCTCCGTTCCGGTGACTATGTTGTTCATAGGAAAGTTGGGATTGGACGTTTTTTCGGTGTCAAATTTGATGTTCCTAAAGATTCCTCCGAGCCAATTGAGTATGTTTTCATAGAGTACGCTGATGGAATGGCCAAATTACCTATTAAGCAGGCATCTCGCATGCTCTACCGCTATAATCTGTATGTTTCTCTTTTACATTTTTATTTTTGTCCCTTTATGCACTATCTCACTACTCTGTCTGATGAACCTTTTATTTTTTGCTTCCAGTCCAAATGAAACCAAAAAGCCACGGACCTTGAGCAAATTGAACGACACTAGTGCATGGGAGAGGAGAAGGATAAAGGGCAAAGTTGCTGTTCAGAAGATGGTCGTTGACCTGATGGAGCTGTACCTGCATAGACTCAAACAGAGGCGGCCTCCCTACCCAAAAGTTCCTGCTGTGGCTGAATTTGCATCTCAATTTCCCTACGATCCAACTCCAGATCAAAAACAGGTATTACCTATATCAAGTATATGCTAGAAAATATTTACCTAATTAATCAAGTCTTTCTCACTTACCTTAGGCAGATCCATTGTGCATTTTAAACCATCTTCATTCCTTGTGTCTGTCAATTATGCAACAAATCAAATCTTTACCAAATGTAGCTGGCATTGTTGATGCTCATTTTTCTCACAATTTAGATTCTCACCTTAGGCGTTCATGGACGTGGAAAGAGATTTGACCGAGAGAGAAAACCCAATGGACCGACTGATTTGTGGTGATGTTGGTTTTGGTAAAACCGAAGTTGCACTTCGTGCCATATTTTGTGTGGTCTCAGCTGGCAAGCAAGCTATGGTTTTAGCTCCAACAATAGTGCTGGCCAAACAACATTTTGATGTTATCTCAGAGCGATTCTCTAGATTTCATAATATCAAAGTTGGACTTCTAAGTAGATTTCAGGTATGAGAGAGATCCATGTCATTTTTTTTCTTCTTCTGATTTTCAATCTTTGATGCATATGATCGTTAATATCTGCCCTTCAACCCTCCGATCTCTTCAAATACCATTATCTGTGATTTGTTCTAAACTTTTGGTCATTCAAGTCTCATTTTGATCAATCAGATTGCACATAATCGCACTTACATAATGAATAAAATCTTTACTCAATTAACTGCCATTCGTTATTGAAAGTGGAAATTCCGTTGTTTGACCGTTGAATGATCTTAAGCTAAATGAAATGTAACATAGTCAAAATAGGAATTTCTCTTATCAAATAATGTAACTTATTGCATGTGCGTTGCATGTTCACATCAGAATTAAGTTTTACGAGGATAGTGATCTGCGACTTCAACTGGCTTGCTTTAGTCTTACCAACTGAAAGGGAATCCTGAATATTTTGCTTCCTTGATGTTGGGCGTGTTCGTATGCTCTAAATAATACTCTCAAACTCTTTTAGGGGTTGGTTTTAGGTTTAGGGAATTAGTTGTTTGGGATTATTGTTTGGTGTTTAGGGTTCACTACATAAGGTTTGGGGTTAGGTGTTTAGGTTTGGGTTCAGGGACTGTGGTTTGGTTTGGCTACAATTTGTTTGTGTTAGAGGTTTGAGGTTGATGGTGTTGGTGGCCAAGTTAAGTTTTGAACTTTGGGCATTCTTATTTAGGATTTAAGATTTAAGGCTTGAAATACTATGCTTTTGGGTTATGAGTTAAGTAGTTAAGACTTGGGTTGGGGTATATGGTTTATGCTTTGTATCTCTAACAAGGTTGCAGATTAGTTTACTGGTTTCCTTCTTGAACGCATAATTTGTATATAGTACTGTTCTGCTCTTCCGTTAGATATGGTACAAAATCTTCTAACTTAATTTTTTTTTGCTGCGGGGTCCATGTTGAATCATGAAGACCAAGTCAGAGAAGGAGACGCATCTACAGATGATCAAACATGGTAATCTGGACATTATAGTTGGCACTCATTCATTACTGGGCGATCGTGTCGTGTACAGTAACCTTGGCCTGCTTGTTGTTGACGAGGAACAGGTTTCTCCTATTTTCTATTGCTTAAAGATACCGAACCATTTGCTTCATGATGTCAGTATTCATGTTAAATTGCTCATTTTGTGTATGCAACCTTTTGTACATGTTGGTTTAAATCACTATTGTCCAGGATATTTGCTCTTAGTAAGTTTCAAAGGCTTGATAAATCAAAGTTCTGATTTAGGCTTCGATAATATACTGGCTCACCGATTTCATTTGAGAGCTTTAAATAATAACTGCTAAGTTTACTTGTACATTTAGCAGGTATACTGCATCAAGAATTAGTTTAATAAGGGAATTATATTTTACTCTCATAACCTTAATGCACTATCATGTCTGTTCTATGGTCGAGATCCAAAACCAGATTTTGAAATGCCCTAACCAGATTCCAACACATTAGATTTATATATAACTGTATATATAACACTGTTATTGGAATGGTAGAAATCAAAAGCTTCACATACTTGATGACATGCTTCTCCACTTTTGAGTTTTGACTATTGACTATTGTTACACTCTAGCCATCTTGATGACCGGAGCAACACTTCTAGTAGGGAATGTGACAGTGCTCTGATTTCTATTACATGCAAACTGAAGGATAAAGCCATTAATGTCCAATATGGGGTTTTCTTCCTGAATCACATCAAATGTCATACAAACCATTTGAGCTCTGTTTGCTTGTAGACTTCTAATGGTCCTCTTCGCAGGGTTTGGAGTAACATTGCTCAATCTTTCACTGCTCACAAGGCTTACTAGAACTTGGCCTAGCATCCATGGAAACTTGAACATCTAGACTCCTGCATTAACTTTTTTCTTAATTCTATGATTTTTCCTGAGCAATATTTTGTATATTTAAAGTCTCTGGAACTAAAATCTTACAAAAATGTCTCAGTGCTTATACCTCCTTTTGCTTTCTAGAGATTTGGCGTAAAACAGAAAGAGAAGATTGCTTCATTCAAGACTTCTGTTGATGTGCTCACACTTTCTGCAACACCTATTCCAAGAACACTTTATTTAGCATTGACTGGTTTTCGTGATGCCAGGTATTATCACTTCTAAATATTTAATCTTGGTTGTGGTTAGAGAAAAAGAGAGAGGTCTATTAGTTGAAATAAACTTAATACATGACGAGATTTAGAAATAAACTTAATATCATGTAAGAGAGAGGTAATGGAAAAAAAGGCCTATCTGATGGAGAAAATCTCTGCAACGACTCTGTTGTTTGACATTCCATATTCACTTATGGCTAAATTCAGAGCTTAATTTTGAAAAATATTGATTTTTTATATCACCTGCAGTTTAATATCAACACCGCCTCCAGAGAGGGTTCCAATAAGAACCCATCTTTCTGCATACACACAAGAGAAAGTGGTATCTGCAATCAATCATGAGTTGGATCGTGGAGGACAAGTTTTCTATGTCTTGCCTCGTATCAAGGGTAAAATCAGTATAGATGTCTTGTTACTTCTTTGCATGTTCACATATAACAACATAGACAGAATTGTACACATGCACTGTCCACAGGGCTTGAAGAAGTTATGGAATTTCTGAGACAATCATTTCCAAATGTTGAAATTGCAATAGCTCATGGAAAGGTAATGTTCCTTTACATTCTAAATAATCCGTTTTTTTAGATGCGCTTTTGTTTGTGTTTTAAAAGTCTAAATACGCTGTTTTGAGTTATAATATTGTCTATCTAAAAATAAACTATAGTACATTAGACATAAAAAAATGCATGTAAAGTGCGAATAAATTAGTGTACAATAATCAAATATAAAGTCGTATTTTATACATTTATAAAAATGTAGAAAACTTATATGCATAATCAAATATAAAGTTGTATTATATATGTATATATATATATATATATATATATATATATATACATATATATCTATATATATGCTACTTTAAATTGCTTGTCCGTCAACTTTTTGTTTGGCAGCAATACTCGAGACAGCTTGAAGAAACCATGGAAAATTTTGCACAGGGACATATTAAGATTTTAATATGCACAAACATAGTTGAAAGTGGGCTCGATATTCAAAACGCAAACACTATTGTAGTTCAAGATGTTCAGCTATTTGGCCTTGCGCAGTTGTACCAGGTTTTGCTGTCAGCTCAGCCTTTCCTTTTAATAATTTTCAAGAACATAATATTGGGGTTGATATCATCTTACTTGAAATTAGCGTTTACGTCTCTAGGATATTATTCTTAACTGGTAGTCACTGAGGTTAGAAGTTCACATCCTGCCTATGATTGGCTCAAGAGCTACCAAGCCCCAATTCAGCTCTTCATCTCGTTGGTTGTAAAATTACTGTTACAAGAAGCTTTGTAGTATCTCTGTTTGCCGTTTAGCACTAAAAGCTGTAAATGTTTTTAAGTTACACTATTCTGTATTGGCCATATATGATAAGTGTTGAGGTAAACGATATACTACTCGTATGCAGTACATATATGTTACCAACTCGACAACACTGACTAAAATTTTCTTAGGCTACTTGTTCCATTGAAGAGTCATTTGTTGCATGATAAGTGGTTATAATCTCTCCACTGAATATTCTCAATATTTACATTCTTTATTAGTTGCGTGGAAGGGTGGGCCGAGCAGATAAGGAAGCTCATGCTTTCCTGTTTTACCCTGATAAATCACTGCTTTCTGATCAGGCACTTGTAAGTTCATCTTCAGTTTTTCTAGTATCAGATTATCATTTCGAGCAATCTACTTAAATGAACCAGTGCAAGTCATATTCTTCTGACCTTCATAATACTATTTGCTTTGGCTCTTCAGGAGAGGCTTGCTGCTTTAGAAGAATGTCGAGATCTGGGACAAGGTTTTCAACTTGCAGAAAGAGACATGGCCATTAGAGGCTTCGGTAACATCTTTGGTGAGCAACAAACAGGAGATGTTGGAAACGTGGGGATTGATCTTTTCTTTGAAATGCTTTTCGAAAGCCTATCCAAGGTCTGGAGATTCCTTTTTATGATTCCTTTTAATTATTTGATGTATTCTTCTTAGTGATTTTCCTACATGCAAATGCACATATCGCAAATAAATAGTATAAAATCGCTTACCGATCTTACATGGAGCAATTAAATCTTCTCACACTAATTACCTGAATCGTCACACTTATTTCTTATCCACGAATCAAAGTATGGGTCTTTAACTAAAATAAAGATACCATATGCAACTAGATTAAAATCAATAGAAAGAAAGCCTAGGATCTCATTTTTCCTGTTTATTGAAATTCTTTACTTCAACAAGTGAGAAATCATATTTATTAGCCTACGGCACAAGCTTTCAATGGCATTACAATTCTGTCATCAAATCAATTTACTATAGATCAATCAAGAATAAGGAATTAATCACTCTAGTTTTGGCTACCCTAGACCTATAGATATATGTCTATCATATGCAAAGGTTAATTACACACACATCCGATGAAATTGTACCACGAATTCGTCTAAAACAAGTCTTATCATTAAGGATGATTTTCCAATCACTATAAGGATCAATTAATGGTAGACCGGTCAGGTGTATGGACGTAAGATGAAATAAGTAGAAGAAATAAAACAAAAATCTAAACGAACATAAAATTTAGAATTTAGATCAACAATCCCCACATAGGATCACAAATGGAATCCTAAAGTTTAGCTACTCCTAGAATTCAATATAACAAAATAATTGTCAAATCCCATAAAAAACATCAAAGAAACTAAAGAGAGAAAACTGATTGGTGAAAATAAAGGATGTGGAAATCTGGAAGTCAGGCTTCGTTGCCGCGCTTCATTTTATTACAGTTCTCCTTTTTTACGATATTGCACTTCATTTAAAACGAATGTAAATAAATGTAGCAAAGCTACATGCAAATGCTTTAATACTAACCCAAGATATAGCCCAAAAGAATGCAAATTAGCATATTTTTGTCACACTAACAGACATCCCAAAGTAAACACGACATCTTTAGATATTTTATAGATTACTTTCTACAAGTGCTGCAGTTTATATCAATATAGTTGAACTGTCTATAACTACTTCCTCCAATTCATAGATTAAAATTGTCTTTTCTTCCAGGTGGATGAGCATCGTGTAGTCTCCATTCCTTACCATTCGGTGCAGGTATTGCTTACTTGCAATATGATGTCAGCATAAATAGTAATTTATTTATGTTGCAATCAGAAAGTTGCTTATGATGTTGCACAACCAAGATTATGTATTCTCTCTTGTGTTATACGCTTACACTTACATTTTTTTTCTATTTAAAATTTTACAGATCCTAGTGTTATTTCTCTAATTCTTGAAGTAGAAGAATAATTAACTGTCATCAGTTTTTTGAAGGGTTCATCAAAGGACTGAACTATGTTCATGTTTCATCTACTACAAAGTTTCATTTTTACTGCATTCAGCATTTCTAAATAAGATGACGGATTTGTGAGGAAATGATGGTTACACATGATTATGGCTTCGTAAGAGAAACTTTGAAGCATGAGCTCAAATTGTCTTTGATTGTCTACTCGAAGCCTGGTAAATAGTTTAAGGAAAAAAAATGATTCCTAGCTGAAGAAAGCAATTTGTTAAATACGAGAAAAGATTCATTTGATGCCCACCAAATTTTCAGAAGTCGAGGCAAAACTCTAATGCTAGTTCATGGGGGCATAGCTATATTGTGGTGTGTACTTCTTGGAGTAACTAAGAAGTCAGTCGGGGCAAAACCTTTGGTTGTCCTTTCCGAGATTTAATTTTGCAGCAAAGCATGAAAAAGTAACCAATCAATTGTAGGGTTTCTTTAAGTGGTACGCCACAGTATCTATAGGTACAAGAGCACATTCACATTTTTATTATGCATTTCACTTAACATATATACATAATTTGTGATACTAAATAACATTTCTGTTAACTTGAATGATTGTTCATTTATGCACTTAGCATTTCTATCGCTTTCCTGACCGATATGAACTTAAGATTCACAAACCCTCTTAATCTTATTTCTGCACAGTTTGATATGAACTTGAACCCTCATCTCCCTTCCGAGTACATAAACTATCTGGAAAATCCCTTGGAAACAATTAATGAAGGTGAGAAAGCTGCTGAGAAAGACATCTGGAATCTGATTCAATTTACTGAAAATCTGCGCCGCCAATATGGAAAAGAGCCTTACTCCATGGAAATTCTGTTGAAGAAGCTATATGTGAGGAGAATGGCTGCAGATTTAGGAATTAGTAGAATATATGCTTCAGGTAAGACGGTTGGCATGAAAGCTAACATGAGTAAAAAGGTTTTCAAGCTGATGATAGAGTCGATGGCTTCTGAAATACATCGAACTTCTCTTGTTTTCGACGATGGATCAATTAAGGTATGTTAGTACCTTTTTTTTATTAGTTACTCGAGACTGAATATTTAATGAAAAGAATTGAATCCTCTTGGATCTACCTTGTCAATTCTTCTTATCCCCAATTCTTCTTATCCCCGTGTCAATTACTTGATATTGGTTTATGTTGTCATTTTGGACCACAATATTGAAATAGTAGTTACCTACATTATCTTTGAGGTAAGTTGGTGATATTGTCCGGGATAACACTTCAAACATTGAAGTCTTATCTTATTAGTTATTATTTCCTCTTTCGTATTTTAACTTGCTTGTTACATGGGTAGTTTAGGAATGAATGTTTATGATGTTGCTTTCATGGCTCCTATCCACCAAATATTAGCATGTTTCAGATCTCGTATTTCTTGTGATTTAGGCTGAACTACTTCTGGAACTACCAAGAGAACAAATGCTCGACTGGATCTTCCAGTGCTTAGCTGAACTCTATGCTTCACTACCAGCGCTGATAAAGTATTGATTTGAATTTTGGCATAGTAATTTCCCATCTCGGGAGCTTGCTGCTTTCTTGGTGGTCCTAGAAATGCAAATAGGCCCTCCTAAGGCTCTTACCGAAGCTGCTGGTTCTGTCCTATTGTATCACTATGTGCAGACTTGTACAGCTATGCAAAAAATTCAATGTGGATTACTACCATCCATTTGTGTAAACAAAAGAATGTTGCGCTATCTTTTTTAAGGTATGGTGCATCATTTTACTCGAATAACATTTTTAATTGGGTATTCTGACATTTGTTTTTTTTTTTTGTTTTCAAGGATTTATGGAATGTCTTGGGATGATTCATGCATACGTCCTCGCTGGACTTGACAGGGGCCTGACTTATGAACTTTGTGATCATATCATCACCAAAAGCAAGTCAAAATCTGAAAGCAGTTTAACTTGGTCAGGCTTGATTGATGAAGTACCTCTTTTTGCTTCAGTGATCTAACTTCAAAATTATATATATTATATGTATATACAAAGAAAGAATTTGTTTCTTGTTGGCTAATTACTCTGTATACTGAGGACATAGATTAGTAATATGAAGTTAATGGTTTGCAAATCTTCTTTCTTGGACTCTCTGGCAATTGAATTCTTTCCAGCAGTTTGTGGTAAAGGCAAAATTAAAGTGTACCCGACTGTTATGAGCTATGAATTTCTGGAATAATAATAACTCGAATAATTGAAGAAAATTGGAATTGCAAATCTCAGATTCAAACGATATAAGGGTTCTTACAAAATAAGGATAAAATTGGGGCCATAGTATAAGACACTAACTAAACTACGAATAATTGAGATAAAGCTTGAAATCTTCTCCGCAGCTCCTTGTCTTCTTATAGCAGATATCTAACGGCAAAATTGAAAAGAGCACAAGTTGTACATGTAAGCATGCGTGTCTTCCAAAACGGCACCGTTCCTGATTCCAAAAAGGCAAAATTAATATGAGGAACTGAGCAAAAACATTGCTAAAAAACTTTCACCTAATTGTAAATGTAAAATGAATTCAACGTTCCACATATTTTAAAAAATGATTATGAGAGTTATTCCAGTGTTTTTACGATCATATGTACCGACAGTTAATGGCAAACAGGGGAGAAGCGGTCGGTAAAGTGTCCCCAGATCGCTTTGGTGCCAAAACTTGACCTGTTATTTTCCGTTGAAAATTAAATTCCTAATTTTGAAGGAAAAAGAAAAAGATAAAGAAGAAAGCTGTAGGAGAAAGAGAGAGAGAGAGAGAGAGAGAGAGAGAGAGTTCACGTTCGTATTAGGCGCTCGCTCTGACTTTTCATCGTACATTATCTTGCGGAACAACAAATTCTTAACAATTGCGGTACCTTCTTCACCTGTCTTTCGATTTATATATAGAGAGAGAGGGATATCAATTTTTGCCTTTGTTAATTGATCGATATTATAATCGTGTTGTCATTTCGGTACCTTCTTCTGTCTTTCAATTCGATCCGATCATTTCATAATTCAATCCCCATTGTCCGGATTACAAGCTTCTTTCTTCTAATCTATGTATAACATTTGAATCACCATTTGGAGGTTGGATCTGAAGAATAAGGAGCTGTTGCTGCTGCAATTTCTCCTTCCTGGTTATTCATTCCGACTTAATAAAGTGACTTTTGGTCTTATATTTCACTTGCCTCCTCAAGGTTAGAGCTTCATTAATTACATTTTTCCCTTTTTCGAATCACAATTATGTCAATCCTTTTGAGATCAACATAAAGTGGTCTCTTGTTTTAATTTGGCCAGGTTTTGCTTTTATGACTCTCTTACATTTACATACATCACCGACCACTTTTCTGTCTATTCACCCTCGGGTACAGTTTTGATGAACAAGTTCCAGCCTGGAAGCTGCTGCTCAGGAACAATTTCTCTCATAATGGATGTAAATTGTCTTCTGAACTTGGGTTAGTTATGGATGTGCCTGAATAGCACCACTGTTTTCTACATATTTTTCCACTGTCTTCAACATAGCATTTATCAATGGGAGAGTGGGTTATTGGAGCATTCATCAACCTCTTTGGCAGCATTGCCATCAATTTTGGGACTAATCTTCTTAAATTGGGTCACGACGAGGTACGCAATGTTTTCCAGTTTTCTTCATAATTTCTTCGTGGTCAAAGTGTCTAAATTCTTACTCACTTTCTGAAAATAAAACTAATAGTCAGAGAACTTGTACTCATTTGTGCATTTAAATATTTTCTTCTTCCAATAGTTAAAATAAGAACTTGTTTGAAGTAAGCATTACTACAATACAGGACTGATGTAAAAAGTGTGTTCAATAGTGGTAAGTCTACCAGCTAGGAAGTTATAGCCGTTTAGTTTTTGACTGGAAAAGAAATTTGGCTATACCGGTAAACTAGGGATGATGAAACACATGTACTCGTATAATAAGTTATAAGTAAAGGGATATTAATGGACCAAGTACGCAAATAAAGAATAACTCTGTAAGCTCGTCATGGAGCTAGCTATTTGTCGGCTGGATGTCCAAATAAAGCTGTTTCTTTTGAATTGACCATTCATAGTTGGTATGAAATTAAAACAAGCTGCAAACAGACCTGATTGGTGGTGTTTGATTGGATCATTGAGTCCTTTAGGTGCACCATTAAGTATGCACAAAATCTTCTTGTTGCAGAAGATTTGTGTATATCCTTTTTTATATTCACATATAGTGGCTTAATTTTAACGGTTCTCTACCACTTAATTCCTTTTGATATAGAATTGATTATTGACGGGCATAGATCACCTTGCTAACTTTTTGAGTTGACGAGCATAGACCACCTTGCTAACTTTTTGTGATAGGATTTGATTTAACTAGCTTTTGTGATTGTATAATTTGCAGAGAGAGAGACATTCTGTGGTTGGCAATGATGGGACAAATGGAAAAGCATTAATGAAGCCTATTGTATACTTCCAGACATGGAGAATTGGTAGCAATAATTAAATGCTTCTTGTTTTTAATAGATCACGATCAGTATCTTTTGTCAAAGTTTCAACTGTAAATTTGTTATGTTGTTAATGTACGCAGGTATTCTTTTTTTCATTCTTGGGAACTGTCTTAATTTCATTTCCTTCGGCTATGCTGCACAGGTGAGTAACTGTCCATGGAGTGAACTGCAGATCATATATGCTTAGTATATTGCTTCACTTGATGGCTATAAATAACCCCATTCTAATTTTTGTTCGGATGATGCTGTGCATGCTGGATTATTTTACTGTTTTTTTTTTTCTTTCAGAAGATTCTTCTTTGTTGTCTTTTTTCCATCGTCCTTCACTGATGTCCTTTATTTTCTTTTGGTCGTCTTCTATTTTTTTTTTTCTGCAGTCCCTTCTTGCAGCTCTGGGATCTGTCCAGTTTGTGTCAAACATTGCATTTGCCTTCTTTGTGCTAAATAAAACTGTGACCGTCAAGTATGTACATTTCTAAATCTCAAGTTTGTGCTACTCTACTAGTACCGACCAGTCTTCTCTTTTGGCCTCTTTTCATCTACTTTTTTCCATCATTTTCAAGATGGGTGGTATCACCATGCATATTAATTGTTTTTTCAGAGTACTCGTTGCAACGGCCTTTATTGTTCTTGGAAACATCTTCCTCGTGGCTTTTGGAAATCACCAATCACCAGGTATGTGATCTAAGAGTGTTGAAGTTATTTAACTTTAACTTGCTTCTGATTTGGTCCAGACCTTTTTCTAGCATTTAGTCAAATGACAGATTCCGGACATATAGTTTTGATGGTAACAGAATAGCAGAAGTATACTATTTTCAGGACTATCATTTTTTTAAGGCTATCATGTCTGTTTAACTGGTAGCAAGTTCATTCAGAGAGAGCATGCAGGAAAGGATTTGGTGTAGTTATTACTACGGGCTTGTAGCATCTTGATTGAAAGAAAGCGCTAATGAACTGTTAGTACAGGAGGTTGGTAGATATTAGTGAAAACCAGTGGTACTTCCATGAAGAGAAAAGTTCTCGACCAATATCTATATTTATGATACAGAACTGGAACACAGTTTACCAACGAGCTAGAAAAAGTCACATGAAGTTTACTAGGACCACACATATGTAAAATTTGGCTTATTTTTCGCGATAGAGGCTTCATTTCCATTAAAAAAAAATCAGTTTTTTCGTCGGTCTTAGTATTACTTTCATCATTTACAATTCACAGGAGAGGCATAAGTCATATTAATCCGGGAATTATTTGTTTTCATTTTCTGTTTCTTTCCTTGCTAAACCAGTTAATTTGCATATTAATGTTGAAATGTCGGTCAGCCTAAACTAATAAGTAAATATCCTAAACTGCTCCATGAACTCCCAGCTAAAATCATGAAGGAATTGTCATGTTAGCATGCATGAAGTTGTAGGTTTTCATGTTGATTGTCTCTGCCAGGTTTTAATTATAGTGCACAAGATAATGGTGAATCGAGAGATCCAGTGATTGTATTTTTTTTCTGTCAACAGTTTACACACCTGAGGAGCTGGCAGAGAAGTATGGCAACACTACTTTCTTGATTTATTGTCTCATTCTGGTCATAGTTGTGTGCTCAAGTCACGCAATATATAGGTGAGACTATGGTAAAACTTGACTTATTGAAAACCGAATAAAACTTCGACCTAATTTAATTTATGTTTCAATGACCAACCCCTCTATTCGTCCATGTAATCGACCGATTGCGGAAAAGTACAGAAGAGGAGAAGTGCTGCTAGCTATTCCAGGGAATGACATAAAACCCTACTGGCAGATGCTTCTTCCACTTTCTTATGCTATTGTTTCAGGCGCTGCGGGATCATGTTCAGTGTTGTTTGCGAAGTCGCTGTAAGTCGTGACAATGAGTTTCCTCTACATAGAAACTATTTAGAGCATACGAAGTTCTGATTATTTCTTACTTTTGTAGATCAAATCTGCTAAGATTGTCCATGTCAAGTGGGTATCAGTTGCACAGTTGGTTCACATACTCAATGCTTCTATTATTTTTTAGTACAGCTGGATTTTGGGTAAGCATCAAACAATCTAATTCTTGAATCTTGTGGTGTGATAATTTTACATCATAACATGAGATGATGAGATATTAAATTATGTTTAATTGTTGTTTCTTCATACATGTTTGTAGATGGCTAGGCTGAACGAAGGATTGTCTCTGTATGATGCAATACTCATTGTCCCTATGTTTCAGATTGTTTGGACATTTTTCTCCATTTGTACAGGATTTGTATATTTCCAGGAGTATCAGGTGCTCCTTCTTCCTGAACTCACATTTTTCAATTTCGACATTCTTCGGCAACTCACCTAGTTCTGATTGAAATTTATTTGCTGGCTGTGTGAGGACTGCTGTGGACAAGTTGTGCAGGGTTTCTGCCAACACTCCATTTTTTAATAATTAACAGAACTACGAGGTCATGAAATTGGATAACTTGAGGTCTCATTGTTTGAACTTATTTCTTTAAGACCAGATGGAGTTCATGCAGCCTTAGAAAGACTAAGATTATGTTGAGTGGTGCCTGGTAAATGAGATAGTTATGGTCTATTTGTGTTGCTGAATGTCAGTTTCTTGTTACTCAATAATGGTCTAATTGGCTAAGTTATCTCAATTTGCTCATTTGGTTTAGTACTTAGTCCATTCACATCTGGTTGGCTACATAAGTTGAGCTGTTTTACTTTAGATGTTTCTTCAAGCCATTCATTTTTTCAATAATTTCAGAAGGATGTGGTTAAAAATTTCAACTATATTTAAGCAGGTATTTGATGCATTACGAACTACAATGTTCATACTAGGAATGATTTCTGTATTCATAGGCATTTCTTTGCTGGCACCTGATGAATCAAAAGGTATGCTAGTGTTTATACGCTTATTTCTGTCCTTGTGTTTTGGCATTTGAAAATACAGTAAATAAGTAGGGATTTTGTCAGGAGGGGAAATCAAAGATACAGCTCTGATTTCTGTAGCTGCAAGTCATCCAAATGATATGGACAGGTATGGCACAACTAACTTGCATTAGTTTGACTAGAACTTAACATCTATAACCTAACTACTAGTCTCGCAAACTGATACAGTTCTTATGTATTATCAACCTCTTTTTCGTCACTGTGCTGGCCAAATTAACTGTTATTCTCCCTCACTATGTAATACAGATTTGTGACGCCTTATGAGGATTCACAAATTAAAGACGTGAGATCGCTTGTGCGTATGGTGCGCACGAAAGCTGCAAACTATATGGTCAAGATTAAGGTTCTGGCATTACTTTGTTAGCTATATTGAATTGGATGGTGAATTGAAATAGTAATGTGCAACATTGGGTTTTGCTGCAGGCTGCTTATTCATTATCGTGGGGTTTCGGAGAAGAATCAATTCACGCGTCATCAGTTCTTGTGATGCCCATGGTTTCATCTAAAATAACTGGTTTCAGAGGAAATATTGTTGATAAAAACAAATTATTCTCCTTTAGAGGTAGAGGTTGGAGTAAGATTGATGAGGAAGGTGAAAATTTGTTGCAGACTACAACAATACTTCCGCACAGCATGAAGTAGGACTAATTACCCACACACGTAACCTTGATTCTGTTGTACACACACTCACTGTCAATTAAATTTCATACTAGAACTCTTGTATTTCTGTAACTCACTCTGTAGTATGATTTCCCACGTACAACTTCATTATTCTGGTAAATTGTTAGACGTAGAATTTTCCTGTAGGATACAGTTTTATGTGGCACAAGAAGGAGTGCATGATACCAAGTAATTGTAAGGAAAACTGGGCAGACAAGGAAAAAGAAAAGGAGAGAAGGCAATGAGCTAGTGTGGAGATGTAGGAAAAGAATGGTGATGAAACCTATTTTGGTGATGAAATCTTTGGATGAACAAGTCTGCTACCTGGTCAATGTCCTCCTCCAGTCTAAACTCCTTCCCCTGTGCCTCTATTGCATTCTTTACCATTTCTATGGAGGATACTGAATGATCCCAATAAGATTTGTTGTCGTCGTCGTCGTCTTCTTCTTCTTCTTCTTCTTCTTCTTCTTCTTCTTCTTCGGGCAACAACATTATGCTGTTTGGAGTTGCAGCAAAGGAGTTGCTGTTAGTATTTTCTGATCCGCCATCTTCATCTTCAAACATGTTTTGCACATTAAAGCATTGGGACACCATCTTCTTTTCCTGCAACAGTAGCGAATGTATGATGAGACGAGTCTCTATTTCTCTCATCTTAGCCTTGATCCCCGAATACTTCGATGCCACCATTACCAACACCTTCTTCAGCATTCTTGTTGTTTCAATTATTTTACTGTACAGAGTGTTATTAGCATACTCACATGTCTTTACAATTCCAGGTCCTGAATTTCACTCTTTCATTCTATTGATGGAGTGATGTTTAAGGGAAAAAGAATCCTTTTTTCGTTTTCTGCCTCTCTCCTCCTTTTCCCTTTAACCAACATCAAAGTGAAAGTGAAGAGATGAGAGAATAAGGAAACAGGACAACAGAAATGAGGAAAAGAGTTTTAAGATTGAATGCTTGTTGCTCAAATTAAGCGCGGCCCACAAAGTTCCACTGTTAATTCAGTGTTATAATCCAGACGCCGTACTCGGCCCATCAAATAGCGAGAGTGAGACCATTAAAACGCTGTGTTGGGCCATTAAAAGCATGTTAAAAACACTGTTGGGCCGATGAAAAGCTCGATTGGGCCCAATCATATGCTGTACTAATCCCATGAAAAAGGACGCTGTGTTGGGTTTTAAAAAAATGTAGCGGGCCCATAAAAACGTTGTAGTTTGTATACGGTGTACCTATGCTGACACCCTTGTTGTGCGATGGGATCCCACATTAACTTTTTTCTAGTCTATAATTTGATCGTACCTGCAAAACTTTGTGGTACTTCCCCTGAAAATCTCTAGGACATGCTATCTTTGGTTTTGACCGAACTTTGTCAAGATGATAATCCGATTGTTTAAGCTCTGGATGAATCAGATCAGAACTTGGGGCAATAAATAGGTCCATTTTCTATTAAGAAACATGTCTCAAAGTGGAATAATAACATAGCATTTGAATACAATTTGCTTTGTTCTTTAAACTGACTTTTTAGGCATGTATCAATAGCTCTAAAGATTAAATGCTTCCTGTACTCTTTATATTCCTCTTCCACATGACATAAAGAATGTGTTGTTCCCAGGTGGTTAGCTTTACCTACTAAAACAACCAAACAAAATAAAAGAGTCGAATAGGTATTTAAATTTGATTTAAAACCCTACTCAACCGTGAACGAAATCTAATCTAACACTTACTTTTCCGCAAAACTACCAAACAAAATACAAGAGTGGAATAGGTATATAAATTTGATTTTAACCCTACTCTTATCCACTACATAAAACCCGACAACCCGAAAACTGAAATGTTACCGAAACCGAAAATTAAAATCAAAACTGAATCCGAAAGCGAAACCGAAGACGAATCCAAACCAAACAAAAACAAAACCCGAATCTTAAAAATCTAAAACCCTCAAAGCGTAAATCTAATCCTTAAAACCCAAAAAACCGAAAACATAATCCCTAAAACCTCTAAAACACTAAATCCGAAACCGAAAACCTTAAACACGAAAACCGAAACCCTAAACCCTACACCCAAACACCCTAAAACCCAAAAGCCCTAAAACGCGAAAACCGAAATACTAAAACCCAAAACCCTAAAACCCTAAAACGCAAAAACCGAAATACTAAAACCCAAAATCAAAAAACCCTAAACTCTAAATCCAGAAAACCATAGATAATTGGATATATATATATATATATATATATACACACGTGGTAATTGTTTAAATGAGTGTATAAATGTTAATTAGGAAATAACTTAAATACATACCAAAATAAAATTGGCAACTCACCAATTGAAGAATCCACCTCATCAATTGAACTCCAACTAAGTAATTTTGATAAATGACATCATCATTTGCCACATGTCAATCATTGAGGGCATAGATCCTCTTTTTATATTATATATAGATTAATTCAAGTATAAATATTAACTTTCTCTTATCACATCATTAAATAACTAAGGTTAGAAAGACTAAAATATTTTAGTCTTTATCATATATTTTTCCTAAAATCAGGACATATTTATTGAACTTTTTAATACCTGTGCAAAGCAAAAAATGACATTTAATAATAGGGAACGGAGGGAGTATTAAATAATTTTAATCAAATATATAACAAATATAATATAATAAAGAATTAAAATAAATTAAAAGGACTTGAGCATAATCCATTTAAATCTTACGATTCGATTATAATATTTGAATAGATTGTATCTGGAAAAAAAGGATTAAATCATATGATCTACAATTTAATTGTTACGATTAATACAAATTAAATATTTTATTAAAAGAGAAATTACATCATAATATTTTGTTTATACTAGTCACATATAATGTTATTTTTCAATTAAGAAAATGAACTGAAATGAGATATAATGTATTTTTTGTTTTTAATAATTATCTTATGATAAAATTCTCAATAATATTAATAAGTTTTTGCAAACAATTGAGGTTACACGATTTAAATTAATTGAAATGAGTTATAATATATTTTTTTTAAATAATTTTTTACATTTGATTTTTTGACACTATCGATTTTAACAACATAAGTGAATTCGTAATAAGTCAACGCATTTGTTTATATATTAAATTGATTCAATACTTTATAATTTTCCAATAGTGGAGATTACATTGATACAGTAATTAATAATAAATGTTTTGAAGTATTGAATTATGATTATATATAATTTTTAAAATTTGCATTTGTTAATAATTTAATAAAACATATTTAATAATAATTAATATGAAGATTAATAATTTATTTAAAATATTTATATCTCAATTAAATAATTACACCTGTGTCCCACATTATATTTACTTAATGCCTATCTATTAACCAAACTTGTTTTTGTCAAAGTGGTAAGTAAAGGCATTTATTATTATTCGGTCCGGGTTCGAATCCCTGCTGACCCAATTTAGGGCAATTAACATGCATTTTATACTCGGGGTTCGGGATTTCGGGGTTTCGGGTCTGGGTTTCGAGTAACGGCTATAACATTCCAATTAGCCGATAGGTGTCTAGTCTACCCCAAGGGGGTTTTAGAGGATGTCTTGGTGAAGGTTGATGAATTCATTCTTCCAGCTGATTTTGTAATTCTTGATATGGATGAGGATAGAGAAATCCCAATTATTTTGGGAAGGCCGTTTTTAGCTACTTCACGTACTGTTATTGATTGTGCTAGTGGGGATCTTACCATGACGGTGCATGATCAAACTATTAAATTTATGAATTCATTCTTCCAGCTGATTTTGTAATTCTTGATATGGATGAGGATAGAGAAATCCCAATTATTTTGGGAAGGCCGTTTTTAGCTACTTCACGTACTGTTATTGATTGTGCTAGTGGGGATCTTACCATGACGGTGCATGATCAAACTATTAAATTTAACGTTTTTAATGCAATTAAGAGTCCGCACAATTCTAATGAGTGTTTTTCTATTGATTTAATGAAGTTTTGTTCTTTTGAAAATTTTGATTCGTGACTCTTGGATTCTTTGGAGGCATCTTTGGTTGTAAGTAACGATAGTGGAGATGAAAGAATGGAGGAGCAAATTTGTTGGTTAGATTCCGGCGACTTTCTCGCTCGGCAAAAGTTTGAAAGTTTGGATTTGGCCACCCTTACCACCCCCAAGGCATTCAAAATGTCATTGGAGGAACCACCACAGCTTGAGATGAAAGAATTACCCGCACACCTCAAATATGCCTACCTCGGTAAGAATGATACTTTGCCGGTAATTATCTCACAATCTCTATCTACTTTGCAGGAACAAAGGCTATTGGAAGTACTGCGAGAACACAAGTTGGCGCTTGGATGGAAAATTGCGGATATCAAGGGAATTAGCCCTTCATTGTGTATGCACAAAATCATCTTGGATGATCAACAACATCCGTCAGTAGAGCAGCAAAGACGTCTTAACCCCATCATGAAAGAGGTAGTCAAGAAGGAAATTCGGGTTTTCGGGTTTGGGTTTTCGGGTTTCGGGTTTCGGGTTTTCGGTATATATATATATATATATATATACACACACACACGTGGTAATTGTTTAAATGAGTGTATAAATGTTAATTAGGAAATAACTTAAATACATACCAAAATAAAATTGGCAACTCACCAATTGAAGAATCCACCTCATTAATTGAACTCCAACTAAGCAATTTTGATAAATGACATCATCATTTGCCACATGTCAATCATTGAGGGCATAGATCCTCTATTTATATTATATATAGATTAAATCAAGTATAAGTATTAATTCTCTATTATCACATCATTAAATAACTAAGGTTAGAAAGACTAAAATATTTTAGTCTTTCTAATATATTTTACCTAAAATCAAGACATATTTATTGAACTTTTTAATACTTGTGCAAAGCAAAAAACGACACTTAGGGAACGGAGGGAGTATTGAATAATTTTAATCAAATTATTAACAAATATAATATAATAAAGAATTAAAATAAATTAAAAGGACTTGAGCTTAATCCATTTAAATCTTACGATTCGATTATAATATTTGAATAGATTGTATCTGGAAAAAAAGATTAAATCATATGATCTACAATTTAATTGTTACGATTAATACAAATTAAACCAATTATTAAAAGAGAAATTATATCATAATATGTTGTTTATACTAGTCACATATAATTTTATTTTTAAATTAAGAAAATGAATTGAAATGAGATATAATGTATTTTTTGTTAAAATAAACATCATTTATATTGTTAAATAATTATCTTATGATAAAATTCTCAATAATATTAATAAGTTTTTGCCAACAATTGAGGTTACACGATTTAAATTAATTGAAATGAGTTAGAATCAATTTTTTTTAAATAATTTTTTACATTCGATTTTTTGACACTATCGATTTTAACAACATAAGTGAATTTGTAATAAGTCAACGCATTTGTTCATATATTGAATTGATTCAATACTTTATATTTTTTCAATAGTGGAGATTACATTGATACAATAATTAGTAATAGATGTTTTGAAGTACTAGTAACTCACCCGTGCGATGCACGAGAGCAATTCTAACTTCAATTTTTTTAATGACTAAAACACATTGATGATGTAAATCAAACACCTTTATAAATGAAAAGAAGATTCTAATGCGATGCACGGTTAATATAAAAAAATAAAATATATTCTAAATAAAATAATCGAACAAAAACTTTGAACAATTGATATATAATACGATATAATCTTAAAATTTAAAAACAATATCAATTCTATTTGATTTAAGTATCGAGATAAATAAAATAAATGATAAAAGAAAATATAAAATACAAAAATTGTGATATAAAAAATAAGATACATAATCTGACTCGAATGATACAACTATCTCGTCCAATACACTCGGATCCTTAACATGAAACTTAATTATCAAAGAAGTGTTTTACGGCACATGCATTGACATCACCTATAACTCATCTAATATCTTGCGAGTAACATTTACATTTTTCATTGTT